GTATGCTGAGTCCTATGGGCCTGCACAGAAAAAGGGTGAGGTGAGAAACTCTGAAAATGTGGCTCGTAACTGCGATGAGGCACATTAAAGTTTTCAACATTTCATTCATTTTCAAGGGAGTTGTACACCCAATATGTGATCCAGACACAAAGAGCAACTGTGAATTTGTGGAGGTATCATGCTAAGCATGGACAGATGGCAAGGTTTAGATGAATCTGAGGAGGTAAGGGCATGACCAATGAGCAAAGATCAGGACACAGAAAAATAATGTCAGCTCTCCTGGGATACATCCATTTGTTTGGAATTGATGAGAACAGAGAAGGAAGATGAATGGGAAAGTGACTAGAGTGTAAGCTGTGAAGGTGCTTGAATGCAAGGATAAAAACCACCTTTGCTCTTGTCAATGAAAAGCCACTTCAGGTTCTCAGTAAATAAATAAATAAATAAATAAATAAATAAATAAATAAATAAGACAACAGTGAAGTTAATTCCTGGAAACTCTTCAGGATAATTTCTAATGAATCTGAGAGGGTAATTAGCCAGAACAGTCATTCCTCAAACATAATTAACATTTACAGCCCTTGGCATTTATGAAGTACTTTTCATACATCTACTTTCATTTTATTCTCCCAACAACTGCCAGAATCATGGGTTAGGCTTAACCCCATTTTATAGCAGAGAAGCATGAATGTGTCACACGAGGGCCCAACAGGGAACAGAGGGCAAACTCAAATTAGAGTCATTTAAAGAGAGTTTATTTACAAGGGGTTATAAAAAGATGGGGAAGTGTAGAGGGTCAGAAACCTGGGGCCAATAATAGTGGGAAATCTGTAACCACTCCCAGGCCAGGCGGGGTGAGGAGGGTGAGTTCACAGGAACATAGGAGGAAAGAGGTGTTAAAGAGGATTGCCGTGAGATGAGCAATGACCTTTGGTAGTAAAACTTCAACAGTCCAGGGCAGCCTCCTCCCAGGGAAGAGCCAACGGAATGAATACCCTGGTTTTATTCTCTGCCCTCCTCTCTTGTGTTAAAGATCCTATAATGCCAGGGGTTTTAATCCAGCATCTAGAAGGGTTCAGGAATCTGGAGAAGGTGCTGTGTAAATTAATCAAGAGTCCAGAGATGAAACATAATTTTGAAGGCATTTGGGAGGCCACAGGAGCTTGGCTAAAGAAACCAAGTTTTTTTCTCTCTCTCTGGACCCCTTGCTTTTTCTTAACACAAATTGTCCTAAGGCAACGTAGATATACACATCAAAAGCCAGGCTTTAATATACAGAATCCATTGTCAGATTGGTGGAACTACCTCCAGCTGTTCAGGTGTTTGGCCAGGAGGAGGCAATAACATGTAGACTGAAATGCCCTCAGCTGTCTGGCAGTAAGCAATCCTTTATGCATCCTTTTCAGGTTTGGGGAAACGCCCTCAGCCACATGATTCAGCCCTGCTGACATGCTGGAATTGCCTTCCTGCAGTCCCATCGGCTGGAAGGAACTGGAAGCCAAAGGCAAGGAGCCCATTGATACAGGCTATACCTTTCCCCCTCAACATCCTCTCTGTCTTCCATCCACAAGAAAAATTTATACCCCCAGCATAAGAACACATGAAGTTCCTTAAGAGTGTGTGTCATCATGGGTTCATGTTGATTCAAACACAGTCCCTCGTGAAACCCAAAGTAAGCCACTCTGGGTGTCCTTCATATGTGACAGAAGGAAAAGTTGGGGGAAGGTAAAAGAAAGGGAAGAAGTGAAATGAAACAGCTGCTACAGCCCACACTTCTTTCTGGTCATGAGGGCTAGGTTCGTCATCATAGCACCAAGACCCGCTTCGTGGGTGCACAACCTGTGGGTGGTGGTGGTAAATATATAAACATTGCTTAATAACCTGTTGCTCTCTGGACCTGAGATCTATAGGATGCTCCCTTTATTTGCTTAGGCCTAAATGTGCCCGTGATAGAAGACCCCTCCTAAACACCAGAGGGCGCTGTGCCACTGAGATATCAGCAACTGCTTTTTTTTTTTTTTTTAATAGCTTCTACATTTTTGCATCACATTCAACCTTTCAGAAAAGCCTTCTGCCTTTTCTTTTGGCAGTTCTTGGGCCAGCACCGGTTCCTAGGTTGAAAGAAAATAAGAGGTGAAGAGAAGCTTCTAGAGACCAAGATGCAGAGCAGTAAGAACAATCATAATTGCTAGCCTGCACTAGCAAATTCAGTAATCTCAATCTTTCCGGTCTTCATTATCCCCACTGAAAATTAATACACGATTCAGGCAAACATGTTTAAAGAGCACAGTTAAATTGTTTTCTATTAGGAGGTAAAATGAGATCCCGTTGATTATCGTTCTAATGATTCTGGCCATTCTAGTTAGAATCGTCAACTTAACTAAAATTGTATGTATCTCCTAGAAATTTTAAGAATACACACCAAGTACCACCATTAATATACTCTTAACATTAACCTTTTCCTAAACCTAATTAGTATAGGGGTTTGGGGTTCTTTTTCACAAATACAAATTAAGAAGTAATTTTTATTTTTTTAAAAATTTAGTCGATTTTATTGGGATGAACATACAGATGTCAGGGGTACAGTTCTATAACACATCAGCTGTATGTTAGATTGTTTACCATTCCTGGTCAAGTCTTCTATCTCCATTATCCTCCCTTTTCCCTCTTCTACCTCTCTGTAACTATGAATTTTTGCTTTTTGTTTTTATTTTAGAGAGGAACATTTTTGTATTTTAGAGGGAAACATTGATGTGAATTGATTGGTTGCCTCCCATAGGCACCTCAACAGGGGACTGAACCCAGCCCGTATGCCTGTGCCCTAACTGGGAATCCAACTGGCGAACTTTCAGGTACAGGATGTGCTCAACCATCTTTGTTTTTGTTTGTTTGTTTTTTGCTTAATCCCTTCCCCTTTTTTCATCCCGCCTTCTTACTCCCTCCCCTCTGACAGTTGTCATTCTTTTCTCTGTATCTATGAGTCTGCTTCTATTTTGTTAGTGTTCATTAGATTCCACATGTACGTGAAATCATATGGCACTTGTCTTTCTCTGACTGGCTTATTTCACTTAGCTGCTAAGTCTTAACATATCACTCCTCAATACTCATGAATTCCCTTAACAATTATTGAACATCAACTGTGTGCCATGCTTACATTTGCTAGACGCGGGTAAAAATATGCAGTGTGCTTTTGTGACGTTTTCCATCTAGGACACAATAAAATGACCTTTTTTAAATTGTAAAGTTGAACTGATAATGCTACCATGAGAATTTCAGGAAGCTACCAGCAGATACATCAGGGAGACTTGCTCCATGCACTAGGGGTGGTCAGGAAATGGTTCTCCAAAGAAAACTGTTCCTGAGACCTGACAAATAAATAGATGCTCAACAGGCAAAAAGTGTGCGGGGGCAGGCAGAGGTGAGGGTGGGGAGGCCAATCTCAGCGTGCACCCAAACACTTTTGGGGGAGACTTGGGGAAATAGAAGGTCCTAGGGCTAGAGTTCCGTATACTGCAGGGGTGTAGAGTGTTGGGCTGTCAGAGGCCTACAAAGCCAGGCTATTTTTGTTCTAAGTGTTACGAAGCGAGTCCCCAAGAGATGGACCACCGGAGCCAATTTGATTAAGCATGCTAGAATTTATTACAGATTCGAATCTGGACTCAAACCATGGCTGACGCAGCAGCTGGTAAACACCCAGGTAAGAGCCCCGATGGAGGGGCAGTCCCTCCAGAGCGCTCACACAAAAACACAGACAAACACACACCTACCGCGGCCAGTCAGGCTCTTCGGAATGGGGGTCCCTCATGGTCCTGGCTGGGGATTCCAGTCATGATCCCCAAGGACCACCAGGGAGCCGAGTCCGATGCAATAAACAAAAGAGCCATCTCCATGCTAGCATGGGCTATCCCACTCACGCAGGCAGCATGGCGTTAGAGAGCGAATTTCGCCCAGTCCAGGGGTTTTACTCAGGTCGGTGATGTCACTGCCTTGGCTAACCCTGATTGGCCCCTCAGGACTAAATTCTAAAGCCTGGGGACAGCCCGCAGGGTGGGTTCCCAGTCACACCCTGCTTGACATTGGAATGTGGCCCTATCTTGCCCATAATACAAAAGCAGAACTAAAGGTTATCTACAGTTTCTACCCCCGAAGCCACTGAGTCAGTGGGAGTCAATCTCCTGCAACTACCCTATTGTTCAAGCAAGTAATCGAAGGTCGAAGTCAGATAGCAAGGTTAAAATTCAAACAGCAGTTTTTACCCAAGTATGAGTGCTTCCATATTTCACTAAGACCAACTAAGAGTCACGGGAGAGTTTTAAGCAAGCGGTTCCGTGACGACATCTGCAGACAAGGCTATCCTCTGTGCCCCAAGAAGGAATGAGGACCTCCACCCGGCAGGAAGGAGGCTGCTGTTCTTTGTGGAAGGAGGACCCTGGCGGTGGAACTGATGTTTAGAAAGTAAAATCCATAAAACGCGGTGATAAAGCGCACAAACTGCAAACGAGCTCACTGCGCTTCGTTTCACGTTAGAAACGGCTTTACAAGGGAGCCGCCGCGTCCTTTCCGCAAGCGCATTGCATTTCCGGGGCCCTGCTCCGCCGCAGCGCAGCCGGGCTGGGCCTGTGCTCGGGAACGTCGGCGGGAAGGCCTGGGTCCCGGGAAGCCTGCATGGCTACGAGGAAGACGCTTGCTTTAAGGTCCTGGTCCTTCCCGGAAGCGCCAGCCCAGGCCCTCTCCTGCGCTACGGCGGCCGGGAAGGCCCTGGGCTAATGCGCCGCGGGGCGCTGGAAGGAGGCGCCCGCGCTCAGCGGCCTCAGCGCCGGAAAGGGTCCCGCCCCGAGCTGTGGGGGAGGGGGGGTCTCTCTCCGCTTCCCACGCCGCACTGATTTCCTAGACCCGCCCCTACAAGCTTTGCCATTGGCTTAGAGACGGGAGGGCCCGCCTCTCCACCTTGCTGATTGGCTGTCCGCGAGGAGGCGGGGCTTGGGCGCTGGTGGATTGCATCAGCGGGTCCTCTCCCAGCCTCTGGCAGTGGCGCCGCGATCCCGGAGCCGAAGCGCCCTTCAGGCCGCCCCCTCCCGCTCCTCTGCCCCCGCCGCCGTCGCTGTTGAGTTCCGTCTTCTCTTCCCGGTTCGCCGATGTCCGAGGAGAAGGCCAGCAGCCCTTCAGGGAAGATGGGAGGCGAGGAGAAGCCGGTGAGTGGGGTCGGGAGCCCGGGAGGGGGTTCTTGTTGGTGCCCAGCGGCCCTCCGGGGAGTGGGGGCGGAGGAGGCCGCGGCCGCGCGTGGGGGGCGGAGGGACCCGAGGCGGATGGGGGACGAGGTGGACGAGCCAGGGCCCCCTCGGGGAGGAGGCGTCCATTCATCCAGCAGGCGGGACTCGCAGGCCTCCTCCGGCTCCATCCTCCCCGCCGGCGAGGGACCTGAGTGAGACCTGGAGTGAGCTGCTCAGGCCGCACATCTGATTAGGAGCCGGGACAGTTGGGGACCCTCAGCCTAGTGGCTTCACTTCACCTTCGGCGAGAAGACCATGGCGGAGCCTCCTTGAACCCCAAGACCCCATTTAGGGTGAAAGGCTCCAGTTTAAGGAAGAGAAAGCCGGGTTCCCGAGGTCTGGCCACCCTGCCGCCCACGTTTGGGTGGGTGTCCAGTGGCGAGGCCGATGCCCTGACCTGACCGCCTGGACAGGTTCCAGGCTTTCCCTGCCCGGGTTGCAGGCCTGCCTCATCTCCAGGCACACCTGCTGGTCGTTTCGCCTTTGAACTTGACCCTTGTGTCATCCTTTGCTTAGGAACATCTCCCAGGTCACTTACATGCCACCAGGTCGAAGTGGGTTTTTGTTGTTTGTTTTTAGTATTTTTTTTTATGATTAACAAATAAATGTCAAGTACTCATTCTGCATGCTGGGCCCCACACCTAGGCAGGTGGATAGGCCCCCGGGGAAAGGCAGGGAAGGCAGCGAAGAGGCGGTGAGTGAATGAATGGGCTCTGGGGTTGCTTTGCTTGGGAGAGATGCTGAGGAGGAGCCACAGCCCTCAGCGGTTGGAATTGTTTCCCCGCAAGTGGAGGCTTCTAAGCAGGGCAGCGGCAGAGGGGTGAGCTGTGGTTTTAACAATCACGCTGGCCGGGGGGTGGGAGGTGCGTGGGGAAGAGGGGACACCACACACAGGAGGCTGCTGCACTGGCCCCAGTGAGAGGTGGGCATTCAGCTAAAGGAGACTCCACCCAGCGGGGCCGGCCAGGCCACTGAAAGCCAGTTTTCTCATCAGTAACACGAGGACGTCCCTAACGCAGGGTTTGGTTGGGGGAAAGGCGTGTACACACATTCTAAACGATATAAGTTAAGTTAAAAGGAGTACAGGGTGTCTGTTTATAGACTTTTTCCCATCTATGTTTTTTCACTTAAAAATGGTGTCTTTCCTTTCTAATTCATAGTCTGTAGACCAGTGTTCCATGTCCATAAATATTCTGCTGTGCCATTCTTAATTGTAGGTACAGCTAATATATATATGATTTCTCCCTTCTATGGTAATAATTGCTAATACTGATTGAGTACTAACCATGGGGTCTGGCACTGAATACATGCATTAATTCTTTCAGTCTTCAAAATAAGATTAGAAAGAGCAACCGAAACCTCCAGCTGTTTGTGAAGTGAGTAAACAATGAAAGGAAGGAAGTACTGAGAACTCCAGATAAATTCTCCATTAATGGGATGTTTCTTGACAATCAAACGGAAGGAGTTAGATTGAAATATGAAACGAAACTTGGATGGTCTTGACACCATTATGCAAGGGAAACAAACGAGTCACGAAAGACCACATATTGTGAAATGCTTCGAATAGGGGCCACTGCAGCGACAGAGCAGATTCGTGGTTGTCAGGCGCTGGGGAAGGGGCATGAGGTAGGGACAGAGTGACTGCTGATGGGTGAGGGTCTCTTTTGGGTGATGAGAGTGTTCTAAATTGATTGTGGACTGTGGTGACAGTTGCACAACTGTGAACACACTAAAAGCCATTGAGTTGTATACTTTATTTTGGTGCATTATAGGAAAGCATCTCAAAAAAACACACTGTGAACCCCTGAAATGAAAGGTCATAAACATTCAAAATTATAGTAAAGCCCCCTTCACGTCCGTCGTTCTACTTTCAAAGCTTCCTCACTGTGATGATTGCAACTCCTTAGAGTTGGCCGCTGTCAATACCTGCATGGATATCTTTCCTGCCACTCTAGCTGGGAACCTAAGAAAATTGTCTAACCTTTCCAATTAATTTATCGGTAAGATGGGAATAATAATAATAGCCATCTGGGGTGGCTGTGAAGATCAGCTGTGATTGTGGAGGAACTTGGGCACTGTGAATCTTGGTGCAGTTTGCCTCGGGTGTTTCTGAGGTGACGGTAAAGTAAGGGATGCATTTCTGGGGGAATCCTCTTCACGCTTTCCCACCTGCCGGTCAGGCTTCCTCGCCCTCCTCGCTGATGACATTGTGGGGGCTGCCCTGTGCGTCACTGGACGCTTGGCAGCACCCCTGGCCTCTGCCTACTAGATGGTAAGTGGGCCCCCAAGTTGTGACAACCAACAATGTCTCCAGGCACGGTCCGGTGTCCGCTGGGTGAGAGCCACTGGTGTGGGCTGCCCTGTGCACCGGCCTTTCTCTAACTCTCTCTGTGGCTCCGTGTACTTCTAACTGAAGTCCACATTCCTTCTGGGAACCTGGAGGGCTTGCTTTGTCTGAGCCCTGCTTTGTCTTAACATGTTATTTCCTACAACAACCTGCCTTCGTCAGCCCCGGTCTGTCTGTCCCTCTCGCTCTCTCTGTCACTGTCTCTCTCTTTTTAGGATTTCTGACAGTGAGTCTGTGTACGCCTGGAACACAGGTCCTCCATCTTTGAGATCCAGCCCGTGGTCCTAGCTTATTCTACATGGAATCACAGCATTGCAGCTGTGTTCTCCACCCCCTCATGGGGTTTTCACAAACGCTTGCCTTCATTTCCCTGGAGAGATTACATGTGCACATGGCAGGGATGGGTCTTGGTTTTGCTTCTTCCGCAGGGTTTAACAAGCTACCATGAGCACAGAGGTCTTAGTACGTGTGGAATGAATGGATACATGTTGCACTGATTTCCCCCCTGAACATGTTCTTGGATAACTCTCGAGCTTGTTTGTGGCTACATGTTTAGCATGTGTCCAGGCACACCTGCCGCGAGAGTCATGGGAACAGGCAAAATACATGGAATGGGAGGACTTGAACATTGTCAAGAAACCTCTCTGCCTTTGGGACTTGTCTTTATTGTAAGCTGCTAATTTGCCCTTTACAGTGGTCAACAGCGTTTAGGTTTTCTAGTCTTCACAATCAGAGTTTTACTCTTCAAAAAGTAGATGCTAAATGGCATCCTCTGAACTTTCCTGGGGCAGCATGGAGGGTGTGGCATTAGACTGAATGATGAAGTCGCCTTTTCTCTTTGCTCCTCTAGGTGGGTGCCCGCCAGGAGAGGCACAGGGAAGACGGCAAGAAGAAGAGCAAAGAAGGTTCCGGAGATGGAGGGCGGGCAGAGGTCAGTTCCTGGGCTACATCAGGAAATTCATTAGGAGGTGGCCAGCAGGGGCGGGATTGGGCAAGTCAGGCCGGACATGCCTTGGAGTCAACTTCCTGTGGTCCCTCCCTGGCCAGGGCCTATCCACGTTATTTTCACTTGAAGATCATAACTTATGTAAATGTTAGTGTTTGACTGTTTTGTGACCATGGTTCACCACCTGGTTTTTTAAATGTTTTGAAAACTGGAGTCTCCAATGGTAGAGGAAGTCAAATCTCTGATTATGGTCTTTTTCTTTTTTCTGTGTCAGACTTTTGGAAACATGAGTAGGTGTTTTTGTTTGTTTGTTTGTTCTTATTGATTTTTTACAGAGGGGAAGGGAGAGGGATAAAGAGTTAGAAACATCAATGAGAGAGAAACATCGAGAGAGAAACAATGAGAGAGAAACAAACCCCTACTGGGATGTACCTATAAAAAAGGTACATTCCCTTGACCGGAATCAAACCTGGGACCCTTCAGTCCATAGGCTGAATCTCTATCCACTGAGCCAGACCAGTTAGGGCCTGAATAGATGTTTTATAAAAAATATTTTGGTTAATTTAATGTATTTAGACTAGGGGTGTCGAACTCAATCAGAGAAGGGGCCAAAATCTAAAATCCAGCCTAAATCGCGGGCCGAATGGTTTACTGAACAGTCATAAACTGTCATTGTGATGGAAACGCAGCGGAGTGCAGTGATGACAGCGCGGTGCGGGCCACATTGCAAGGCCTGGCGGGACGGATTTGGCCCGCGGGCCTTGTGTTTGACACATGTGATTTAGACAGTGGTGTTACGCTATTTTCTTTTATTTGCTAATTAAATATTCCCAAGAAAGATATACTCAAAGCTCATAGCTTCTTTGAATTTAGTAAATACTTTCCTTGAATAGGAGCCCTTAAATCAAGTACATTTATAGTTGGTTAATTAAAAATTATGAGTGGACATACAGTCTGACAGCTTCACAGATCATCCTTTGAACAACACTGAAACAAAATGGAAAAGCCAGCCAGCTTTTATTCCCAGTATTGTTTATAGTTGTATCTTTGGAATAATTTAATTAGAAAAGTCCTTAAGAGAATACCCTAAAAGAAAAATATTACCTTATGCAAATAATAGCAAAATGATAATAATTGTCCATTTAGAATGTTGGCAGCCAGATGTTTATTATTATTGTATTTTCCTATTTTTAAAAACTTCTTAAAGATATAAGAAGAGAGCATTAAATTCCTGTCTTTTATTTTAGGACAACATTTAGGAAAAGCTTGTTGATTTTGGCAGCCCATTTAACAAATGAATTAGTAATCATGTTTTTTGTATTGTCTATTTTTAGTATTTCCCTTTTCTGAAAAGGAAAGCAAGTACTTACTGCTTATTCCTTTCTCCATTTGTTGTCTTGCAGTTGAATCCTTGGCCTGAATATATTAACTCGCGACTTGAGATGTATAATAAACTAAAAGCAGAACACGATGCCATTCTGGCAGAAAAAGCAGAAAAAGAGAGCAAACCCATCACAGTCACTCTGCCGGATGGTAAACAGGTGGCTGCGGAATCCTGGAGAACTACGCCGTATCAGATTGCGTGTGGCATCAGGTACAGGCCGCACCTGTCCTCCTCTGCTGCTGTTTGTAATTAAACTTGAACATATTTTGCCAGGTTTTATCCTCAAAACATTTTTATGTTCCTGTTCAATATTTTTAATGTTTAGTTTACATTATTTGGGATTTTTTCTACATACCAAGAGTATGTAGAGCTTTATAGTCAAGATTCAAAGTTAATTTCTTAGATGCTCTAGTTTGGTTTTATCTTATGTAAGATTTGATATGATTAGTTCTTCTACCTTGATCAGTCATGTCACAAAAATCAAGTCGATAAGGTTTCACAAACTATTTTGATTTAAATGTCCCCGTTTTAAAGTTAAATGAGGGTTGATCATCTCACAGAGGAAAATTAGGAAACTAATTTTCAACATGAGAAAATGTACTAATTTTATAAATCTGAAAGAGGGCCATGCCCAGCCTTAAAACAGAACACTTTTATCGGGTTGGGAAGAAGTAACAGAATCAGATGCATACTCTGTAGTAGATAATGCTTTCTTAATCTGATAGGATTTGGGACTCAGTAGTTGGGTCAGTTTCCATGTGAGATTATAAATAATTGGATAGACCTTTACTTATCAGTTAAATCTGTCGTTTTGAAGGTGATTTTGAAGGACATTTGGTGATGCGATTTCGCCATTGTTGCACATTGATATTGTAGCAATGGGTACTAAAATTCAGGCACTTCCTCTCTACATTCTACAATACCCTCCTCCATTGTAACTTGGAAAGTGGCCAGTTGAAAATAGTTTTTTGAGAATTGCCAAATTTTAAATTGAATCACATGAGACATTGATGAGCTTTAGAGCTGGAATTCAGTCATGATCTGCAAGAGGGTGCTTGAAGACATTTTTACACAAGTCCAGAATAACTTAGTGTTCTGTAAAAAATTACAGCACTAATAACAGGCTGTTTAAAGGTTCAGATGATTAGGAATGAATATGAAAGGGAAGCAGAAAGAAGGCATGTTCCATTTGCTTCAACGGAGTTTCTTTGAAGTTTTTTTTTTGTTCTAAGTCTTAAAATATGGATTATTTTGTCCCTTCTTCGGAAAATTGAAATGATCCAGTATGGTCCATGTGAGATTATTTAGCATTGACTCTCAAAAAGATTCTGTTAAGATTTCAAAAAGGAGGTAGAGCAGAGAAGTTATTTAGTACCACCACCACCACCACCACCCCGCCCCCTTTTGCCTTTGGAATCTATCATAAGTAGCTTGGCTTTGTGGAGAACTTCTTTGGAGAAAGTAAAGAATAAACCAGACTACTGAAAAGTCTCATTGTTTGTTTATTAGAGTTGCTATATCTGTTTAAATAAGTATTAAATGTCATAAAATAGTGTTCTGAATTTTCAAGATCTTGTAGTTATATTTTTAGGTACATTGGCACATTTTGGGAGTTTGTTGCTTTTTTCATTTTATTTCAGAAAGATACATATATATATTTTTTGTATAGTGGTATAGTATAGAATACTATAATACATGTCATCCTATATAATAAAAAGTTAATATTCAAATTGACCGAATGGTGGAACAACTGGTCGCTATGACCACACTGACCACCAGGGGGCAGATGCTCAACACAGGAGCTGCTCTCTGGTGGTCAGTGTGCTCCCACAGGGGGAGCACCGCTCAGCCAGAAGACAGGCTTACAGCTGGCAAGCACAGTGGCGATGGCGGGAACCTTTACCGCCTCCGTGGCAGCACTAAGGATGTCCAACTGCTGGCTTAAGCTCGCTCAGATTTCATGCATGCACCGGCTTCTAGTAGTATTATACTATACTAGAGGCTTTGTGCACCAGTGGGGTCCCTCAGCCAGGCCTGCACCCTCTCACAATATGAAACTCCTCAGGGGATGTCGGACTGCCAATTTCTGCCTGATCCCCACAAGAGATTCATCAGTCTGTTCCATGTTTCCATGCCTGTACATTGAGCATTTGCCCCTTAGTGATCAGTGCTCGTCATTGCTACCAGTCAAATTGTCCTTCTGTTGGTTAGGCTTTTATATATATAGGTATGTATATATATATTACGTAGTGTTTATTTTCCTGTTCTTACTAAGTCAAGGCCTGGCGGACAACACTGTTATTGCAAAAGTGAATAAAGTTGTCTGGGACCTAGACCGTCCTCTGGAGGAAGATTGTACCCTGGAGCTGCTCAAGTTTGAGGATGAGGACGCTCAGGCAGTAAGTTTTTATTCCGTGTTCATTAAATTTCAGGATAGTGATTCTCATTTGCATGGTTTTCCAGCTCATTACCACTGCCAGGAGGTGATGAAAATGTATTGAAGTCTCATCATATTCGAAATCTTCATTTTTGTCTTCCGCTAAGGGAACATAATAAAAATGCTTGCTTTATGAAATCAGGTGAAATTGAATAAATTTATTTTCACTACTAGATAATAAAAGGAGGGCATATTTATGGAAATTCTATTACAATTTTATTAGAAATTGATTAAGCAAGTAAAACTTGCTGTCTACACTGTCAATCAGCACTTAAGCAAGGTGTATGTATATATTTAACAAATAAATTTGAACATTACCTGAAGTATTTCTTATATTGGGAAGTTGATTTCCATTTTTTCCCTCATCTTTAAATGCAAATCTGCTGAAAAGATTTGTACATTTGTACATATTAGCCTTTTATTATATAGGAGAATAAAACCAACTTGCATCTGATGGCAAGGTTTTCTCCTTATTTTTTCATGATGGTATACATATAAAAGGAAATAAAATGTGCTGTTTTAGTTTGTTTCATTGATGATGGTTTACTTATGTATGTGGATCAATAGTTTTCAGAAGTATTCTGGAGTCCTTAAGTTTTTAAAGAGAATTTTAAAACCATCTGGGTACCTTACTGTTAAATTTTAAAGACGTTGGTTTGGATATATTGTGACTCATCTGAATGACCACTGTAAAGCCAGGTGCTGCCATTTGCTTTTAGTGTTCATCGTCCTTGCACTTTGTGGTATTGTGGGATCCCGTTGGGCCACCCTAGTAGTTTGGGGCCAGTAGGAAAAAGGCAGATAGAATGCTAAGTGATGCTCCATAGTCGCCAGGTAAAGGCGGACACGCCCGTGGCTGGGCGGGCACACTGCCTCAGCAGGGCTGGGCCCTCGCAGTCCAGAAGGCAGTCACGTGGTGAGTGGCGATTGTTTCCAGAGAACAAAATCCATCCCATTTAATTAATGATGCTAATTGGAATTTAATTTGAAAACAACTAGGTAATTTCTAAGGTAGAAATACACTTTAGCAGTTAGCATTCTTTTAAATTATTTTGGCTCTATATAGAATCACGGCAGTTTATAGATTTGTACATTTAAATTTTTCTGTCTGGGTTTATTTATAATAAATTCTATGTATCTCTTTCAGGTGACCATATTAACTTATAACACTTAGGCCCAGTCTCAAACCTTCTCATTTTTCTTTGAATTTTCAGGTATACTGGCACTCGAGTGCCCATATAATGGGTGAAGCCATGGAAAGAGTCTATGGAGGATGTTTATGTTATGGTCCACCAATAGAAAATGGATTCTATTATGACATGTACCTTGATGATGGGTAAGTTATGTCACTGGATAAAGAGAAATAAAACCTGAGTTACCCTGAGCCCATGCATTATGTTTAAATAGTTCTCAGTAAAGGAGGAGGAGTATAATGCTCACTGTTTCATGGTCACCAAGCATTCCGCCAGTAACGCCTGAGTGTGCAGTGACTCACAGAGGTGCGGGACTTCCTGAGAGCTCTCTCTGGTCAAGGAGGCAGGGCTGAGGTGCCCTGGGAAATCAATGAAGCCAGTCCTCCCTCCTTTAGCTGCCAGAGAGTGGAGGAGGAGTCCTAGTGGGAGCAATCTCCATGGTGACCAACGCAGGAGCCCATGGGAATATCCATTATTAAAATGATGTATGTAAAATGTTTAGTTTACAATTCTGGTATATGATGCAAGAGTAATTTTTTATATTAAATCCCTTGAAGTGTTCAAAAGAAACATCCTCCCTCTGACCCCCTCCCTCCCATGGTGTGAGTAGAATGGAATGGAAATAATTTTATATTTCCTTCTCTTCCAGGGGTGTGTCCAGCAATGATTTCTCCTCTTTAGAGACTTTATGTAAGAAAATCATTAAGGAAAAACAAGCTTTTGAAAGATTGGAAGTTAAGAAGGAAACTTTATTGGAAATGTTTAAGGTACATTGAACTGTAACGTGGCATCTACTCTCCTATCATTCATTAGTGTTATTTGAAGCCTACTCTGTTCCTTAGAAAATTTATATATTATTGAGTTTTTATAGAGAGGAAGAGAGAGAGATAGAAAGCTAGAAACATCAATGAGAAAGAGACAGATCAGCTGCCTCTTGCACACCTCATACTGGGGATGTGCCTATAACCAACGTACATGCCCCTTGACTGGAATCAAACCTGGGACCTTTTAGTACGCAAGCTGACGCTTTATCCACTGTGCCAAACCGGTTTCGGCTGTTCCTTAGAAAATTTAACACTGCTTTCAAAATGTGAAACATTAACATATAAGTATGCAATGCTTTGATAAGATGTATTTTGAGTTCTGTGTTAGCAGTATTTAGAGGTAAAAAAGGGTTGTCTTAAAAATGTAATTTTTTCTATTTTCAGTACAACAAGTTCAAATGTCGGATACTGAATGAAAAGGTGAATACTCCAACTACCACAGTCTACAGGTGAGTCAGTCAAATGTCATGAAGCACAATTGGTGGACATGTCATTTTCAGTCTTTTCTAAAATTCCTTTCACTCTGCCTTTAGGTGCGGCCCCTTGATAGATCTCTGCCGGGGTCCGCATGTCAGACACACTGGCAAGATTAAGGCTCTGAAGATACACAAAGTAAGCAGTGCCACCCAAAGGCGCTCTCCATGTCAGTGTATTTGTGTCTGATGGCTCGATAGCTAAATTGCCATTGATTTCTCTTTCTCCCTGTTTGCTCCTGGGTGGGTTTTTCTCGTGCTCTCTCCTGCCTGTTCTGCTATATGTATGTCATGAGGCATTTTTAGCAGAAATTCTCTCACGCAGTGGCTGACCGCCACCCAGAGCACATGGGGGTGGAGTGGGGGATTCACAGAATCACGCAGTTACGGGCCTTCTAGATTCGCTGCTTTTGCTCTTTGTGTGTGTGAGGTAGTAATTACCCAAGTGGTTCCTGCTAACCCAGTTAGTCCTGCCATTCTCTACTAGTTCAGAAATATTTTATGGGCGATGACTAAAATGCACTTAACATCATAAGCACAATTGAATCATTTCAAGATTTCTTTTGTTGCTTTTTTGCCCATTTTTGCTTGCTCAGTCTGAGAGATGCTCTGCAGTCAGTCATGTTGGTGGAGCTGTGGTTCAAGGGGCGTGGCGGGTGGGTTTTCTGAGGGAACCGAACAGCCAGCTCTATGCTGCCAGTGAACCAGCTGGTCAGCTCCGCCCCAGGGTCACTTTTTGTGACTTTACCTGTATAAGGCGACTCTGAATTTGATTCATAAGGTGCCTATGAGAAATAACGTCTAGCTCTTAAAATAAGTGAGATATTGACAGATTTGAATATTGTCTCACGGTTGATCCTTGTTTTCAGAATTCCTCCACATACTGGGAGGGAAAAGCAGATATGGAGACTCTTCAGAGGATTTACGGCATTTCATTCCCAGATCCTAAGCTGCTGAAAGAGTGGGAGAAGTTCCAAGAGGAGGCCAAAAACCGAGATCACAGGAAAATTGGGCGGGTATGTTAAAAAAGAACAATAATGTGTCTCGACTGTGTTTATTTCCCTCTGAAATTCAGCTGTGTTAGGGATTTAGCTGTATTAACAACTCCCCTTTGAAGAAATACTGTTGATTTCAAGTATCACTGTGTTGTGTCCTAGATAAGCCATAGGCTACTTTCTGATCGCCCACATTATCTTTCTAGAGTGTGCTCAGTTCTGCACAAAAACTCACTCTCACTGTTCCTTTTATTGAGGGCAAATGCTGATGACCCGCAGTTTTCAGTAAAAGAAGTATAGCAGTGCCTCATGAGCTGAGAGATCCTTTGGAAATTCGCCTGGTCTCACTGACTTATTTATTTAAAAAATATTTTATTGACTTCAGAGAGGAAGGGAGAGGGAGGGAGAGAGAAACATCAATGATGAGAGAGAATCATTGATCGGCTGCCTCCTGCTTGCCCCCTACTGGGGATTGGGCCTGCCATCTGGGCATGAGCCGTTGGCCGGAATCGGACCTGGGACCCTTTAGTCCACAGGCTGATGCTATGTTCACTGAGCCACACCGGCCAGAGGACCAGTGACTTCTTTTAAAGATGTGGAAACTGAGTTCTAGAGAGAATCGTATGCTTGTGCCCAAGGCGATGTAGCGAGTCATCACGGGATTCCATGGTGCATTGCTCTTACCCCACTGCCCCTGAGTGTTTTCAGACTGGAAGTTAGGTATCAGGAGAAAACGTTTCTTTCTGAAATTGTGTTCACTCTGTGCCAGGCGCCCTTGGTTGGTGGGGTAGGAAGCTTGAGCAGGAGGCAGCTGTAAGGAAGCTGCAGGGACTGGTGCGGCACCTTTGGAAAAGTTTGGGCATTGAGGGGTGGAGGGGGAGCCATTCACCATGAACCGGAATCAGCCAGCTTTTCTGTTTCATTGTCAGTGTCTTTTTTCCAGACTCCTAACTGCCTCTCCTACTTAAAAAATAATAAAGAAAAATTGAAAACAGCCAGATCTTAGAGCTTTGAGGAATTAAAACCATGTGAGCTCTCTCGGTAAAAGAGAACTAGACCCTTGTTCCATGTCATCTTCGGTGCATTTGACTAGATTTAGGAATGGAACAGGCAGGGAACGAAGTTGTAAATTACCTCAAATCTATACCATTGACGCACGCCGAGATGTGCGTCTGTTTTCTTTGCCCAGGGGGTGGCCCGGTGGGAGGAGGAGCCATCGGGGCCATCTTCTCAGGGAGACTGGGTGTTGATGCTGTGCACATGGGCAAGCGGCGAACATGCTTTGCTTCCTGTTTTCCAGGACCAGGAGCTGTATTTCTTCCATGAACTCAGCCCGGGGAGCTGCTTTTTCCTGCCGAAGGGAGCGTACATCTATAATACGCTTATTGAGTTCCTCAGGGTAAGCCATACTCGTCATTTTCTTCTGTAGATTTAAGACATGCATCGGTTTTATTAAACAAGGTCTGCTAAGAGGAGAGATCATCTTGTATTTTGAAAGAAAAAATTAATAGAATAAATAATGGTAGTCTGAGATCTCATAACATTTTAAACACATTTTTCCTGATGTGTAATGCCCATATGCACGGATGTGCACACGAGAGAAGCCAGTGGCTGCATGTGAACTAGGCTTTAACCCTTCGCACGGGGGCTCTGGGTGCTCTTTGGCCTTTGTATTTTCCTTGGAAAAGCAGGTTAGTCTTTACCTTGCTTTTTGTCTTTGTAAAGTATGAAGTGTTGAAAGCATACGTTGATAAAGAATAATTACACCACCTAATGTAACACATTTGCATGCGTTATGTTTGGAGTAAAGTAACCCCCACACAGTGGGGGCATGAGCTGCTGCGGCCCACCTTTCCTAGAAGAAGCTGCTCTCGGAGGCAGCATGGATCCGTTCTGTTCATGTTGTCCTCCTGCCCCCCCCGCACCCCCCCCCCCCCACACACACACACTCGTGTCCTCCGTGGTTTGTGCATTTCAGATTTGCGTACAGGGAGGTCATTGTATCGGTCAGATTGTTTTTTTAAGATGCACACAGATCCCGCTTATTGTCACTTGTTACATATGACTCTGCCACATAGCTACCGCAGTATGTGCATCCCTTATCGGCGGGCACTGACGTCATTTCTGATTTCCCCATGTTACTGTTGTGCTCCGAGCCTCCTTCTGTGGGGGTGTAAGAGCTTCCTCTTTGGTGGGATTTCTAGATCACAGCATATGTGCATCTTACACTTCACCAGAGGGTAGGAGTTTAAACTCTTTCTCCACCAGGAAGGAGTGTGAGCACTAATTTCTGGACTGGCGTTGTGTGTGTTCCCTAACAGAGTGAATACAGGAGACGCGGGTTCCAGGAGGTGGTCACCCCCAACATCTTCAACAGCCGGCTGTGGGTGACCTCGGGCCACTGGCAGCACTACAGCGACAACATGTTCTCCTTCGAGGTGGAGAAGGAGCAGTTCGCGCTGAAGCCCATGAACTGCCCCGGACACTGGTACTGAGAGCTCGCGTCCCATTTGGTCCCGATTGCTTTCTCCCTTTGGCAGAATTGTTCTAAAGCCCTCATGTAACCACAAGAGTATTTATATGCGGCATTATCGTGGTGGTATAGCCTTTGGTCCTGAATCTGTAGACATTGAAGAATAGCAGGGAATGGGCAGAATATAAAGTTGTTTTTAAGAAACATGTTCTATGAAAACCTCAAAACTTGGTGCCAGTGAATTAATGTCCTTGGGAGTCTGCCCTGGCTCCTCCTCTTCCCGCCCGTGAACAACGGGGGGGGGGAGACACACCAGCTGTGGCTCCTGGCACTGGGTGCGCACAGGTGCCTGTGGCAGGGGTGGGAGGAATGACCCCGGGACCGGGCTGTAGTTCCTCCTGCAGAGTGGGAAGTCCCTTCAGATAACGGAACGGGAGCCCTCTGGGAATGACAGGAAGCACCGGCTTTGGTTTCCAGAGTGACCGTGCTTTGTGGGCAGCCGAGTCTGTTTTACCTTTAAACGGGGCCTTCAGGGCCGTCCTCGGATGGATGGAGTGATGAGCAGGGACAGGCTGCAGACTGGGGAATGCATGTGTTATTTTTCTCCCTTAGTTCCGGTGCTGGTGGCAGTGTATTCGCTGTTCTGCGCATGCAGTGCTCACGCGCTGTGTGGGGCCCAGCGCTGGAGACCCAGTGCTGGTCTGCACCCCCTGGAGTCAGTAGCTTTGACGGCCTTTCGTACACTCACCATCAGAGGAGCGGTTTGATGGCATTAACTATCGGTGGGTGTTCCTTCTCTTTCCAGCCTCATGTTTGATCACCGCCCGAGGTCCTGGCGGGAGCTGCCTCTGCGGCTCGCGGACTTCGGGGTGCTGCACAGGAACGAGCTGTCGGGGGCGCTCACGGGCCTCACGCGGGTGCGGCGGTTCCAGCAGGACGACGCGCACATATTCTGCGCCATGGAGCAGGTGCGGCCCCGGTGACATGCACCTGAGGGGAGGTCAGGGAGGTCCGGGAAAACCACCACCAGGTCCTTTTCTTTTTTTAAATAATTTATATCGTGTTGTCTAAAGTTTTACTCATGTCTCCTTTCCCCTCAGTTAATCCCCCCAGCCATTCCCAGCCCAGGCAAGCCCCCACCGCCCAGTGTCTGTGTCCATTGGTGATGCTAATGTGCATGCACAAAGGTCCTTTGGCTGCTCCCTACCACCCCCTGCCATTTGTGTCTGGACCTATTCTTGTTCATCTCGTTTTCTTTTATTTAAAGATCGAGGAAGAAATAAAAGGCTGCCTGGATTTTCTGCGCACAGTGTACAGCATATTTGGGTTTTCTTTTAAACTGAACCTGTCTACTCGGCCGGAAAAATTCCTTGGCGATATTGAAGTCTGGAATCAAGCTGAGAAGGTAAGTGGTGCTTTTCAGCGTCTTGAATTCTGTGGCTGGAAGTGGCTTCCCCCGCGTTGTGAGAAAGCCCGCTCCTAACGGGTGGAAGCAGAAGGAAAGTGAAAAGGCTCCTCGGTCAGAGTACGCTCGTCATTGCCTGTTTGCTTTGGGTGTACAAAGGCTGGGATGTGCTTCAGTCATCGAGCTGTGACCTCGGGAGGGGCTTGGGTGTGAGTGTGTTCAAGTGGACAGAGTGACGAAGCAGAGAAGAGCAATCTGTGAAAGTAATTGTGGAAGTTTTAAGTTTTAGGCTAAATTAGACCGGTTGCAGAGGAACAAAGATTAAAGTCCGTGTTGCTTTGTCTTTAGCAACTTGAAAACAGCCTGAATGACTTTGGCGAAAAGTGGGAGCTAAACCCTGGAGACGGAGCTTTCTATGGTCCGAAGGTCAGTGCCAGCGTCGATCTGGGTAAAGTGGCGTTCATTTTGGGGTGAAGAGATTGCTGCAGGTTAAAAAAGGGCAGGGGAAACCAGCCCTAATAGAAATACTGAGCAGCTTCACCCTGGCCAACTCCTCACAGTGGGTCTTTGCTTCTCAGATTGACATACAGATTAAGGACGCCATCGGGCGGTACCACCAGTGCGCAACCATCCAGCTGGACTTTCAGCTGCCCATCAGGTTTAACCTGACCTTCGTGAGGTGAGTTCCTAGTGTCTGTTCTGAACACTCTTTAAGGACATTTAACGGAGTGAGTGAGTGTGTGTGTGTGTGTGTGTGTGTGTGTGTATAAAATATAGGGGTGTGTGTGTGTATAGTAGTATATATAAAATAAAGGAAAACAAATTTTTCTTTTCTTTCTAGTCACGATGGAGATGATAAGAAAAGGCCGGTGATTATCCATAGAGCCATCTTGGGATCCGTGGAAAGAATGATCGCCATCCTCACTGAAAACTATGGGGGCAAATGGTAATTTCCATACTGTTTCCTTCCGGGCAATAGAAATTGGCTGTTAAGAAACTTCTGCTGTCTAATTCAGCCTGTGTTGGAAAGGGAGAGTGATTGCGATTAGTCGCTTATATTTATTGACAAATATTCACTAAATAGGAAGCAGTACAATTAAAACCAATTTTTTTTAGCTTTAAGAGTATTTATGAGGATTATTTTTATTTCAGAACTTGATGTGTTGAATGTTACACTTTCTAATTAGGAATTATTCAGTAAGAAGCACATTGGCTATTTTGATGGCTTTTCAAGGAATTGATTTGTCTGTCTGAGCAGACATAGCAGGCGTTGGCTCCCCTGCTGACTGTCATGACTGTGATCAGCATGTAGTTGACACCTTCCGAAGCCATGCGTTTCCATGGAGAGGACGGACTCCAAAGCATCAGCATCTCATGTCTTGCTTTTATCAGGCTATGTTTTTGCTGGAAACATCTGAGCACATGACTTTCGTTTTACTTTCTAAGCTGCTTTGTGCGGCCCGCAGTTTGTTAAGGCAGTTGGTTATATATAAAACACCCGTTTTGTAGAGCCTGCTGCATTAATTCTGTTGATACAGAACTTCCGGTAAAGTGTGGTAGATCTGTTCTGTCTTACACACGGTAGGTGTTTCAGTCGTATTTGTAAGCTGGTTAGTTCAGACTTGAAGGGAAGTGTGTCATACTTTTCAGTGAAATGAAAGTCTGTTACATTTCACAAAATCAAATCAATTACGGGAAACATTCTCTACAAGAATCTAGAGAATAGGGGATCCACTAACTGCTCTGCCAAACCTGTGTTTGGTGGGAAAAGGCACAGTTTGGGTAGAACTTAGTGCCCCTACGCCCTTTCCCTGATTAGCCAGACAACTTAAAACATAGAGTGACCAAGGGAAACACTGGTGTCTGCAGCTTCGGGAAGTTGGACACTGAAACACCCCAGAGAGAGTTGCAGATGGGTCCTCTTTAATAAGGAGCAGAAAACACTCACCTTTACCCAGTACCCTCCGCAGTCACCATCAGTTACAGCCTGCTGAGTCCTGCAACGTGGAGCTTGAATAAACTGAAGACTGTCTGTGCCCCCTCATGAGGAATAAGCAATACATAATGCTTGTGCAAAGTAACTTTTGAATAAAATAGCAGTAAGAGTGGTTCTTTAGCATCGTGCTAACCCCGCTGCACGGTGAATGGCCTGTTACCTGCGGCATTGAAGCGAGGGGCATAGTCTGCTCCCAGTCCGCTTTGCCATCTGCTTAGCAAGACAAAACTTCGTTACAGGTTTTTCTCTCTTAGGATTGGTTTCCTGCTCTTTCGTCTCCCTTTAGACTTTATTGGAGATTAAAATAAAAGCCATGGTTTTAAACGGCCCACGTTTCAGGAAAAGATACGAAGGGTTGACTGATAATGAATGTGCCGTCCTTGTGTAGGAAAATCCACATTAAATGCTTTTCATTTCTTCCTAAGGCCCTTCTGGCTGTCTCCTCGCCAGGTAATGGTAGTTCCAGTGGGACCAACGTGTGATGACTATGCCCAACAGGTAATCCTTAAGTATGACTTTTCTTTAACTTTCACATCTGTTGTTCGCTATCAAATCCCGTAAGCTATATCCTTGGTAGGTCAAGCTGCCTGTGATATAAAGAACTGTTACTATTTTCCATCTGCGGTAAGCTTAAATAGAGCACATTACCTCTTTAATGCTTTCCTGTGTGGTTCTGTGGTCAGAAGACGGAGTGGGTTGTTTGATGCACTCTTGTTTAGTGTTTCGTGTTAGCAAATAGGGAAAGCCTCAGTATGATATGCAAATTCAAACGCGTAATACAGTTGAAGTTACTTTTTGACTCGGAGAGTAGTTTTGCTTCATGTTCAATGCAGATTTATTCAGTTATTTGGAACCTTTTTCCAGGTTAATGGCATGCCAGACCAATGTTTTGCCCTGCTGGCCAAACAGCTACCTCACTGACAGATATGCAAATGTCCATTCACTCCTCACACCTTAAAACTATGACAGTCTGTTTTGTCACAGCAACAATTCTTTATTAAGGAATGTTAAATATTCAAAAGTTGTGTTATTAAGAGCATTGTTTCAGAATTGCAAATTAAACGTAATGGTTAAAGAGATAAAAATCTAAATATCATTGAATAGTCTTATCACACCAAAATCGTGTTTCAAGACCATCAAAATACATTTTAATCAGGTCTCAGCTATCTTTAATAAATAAATAAACTTTAAGCCAGCTATTAAGCAAACCATTCAGGCAAACTGTATTGCTATTACTGCACCACCGTAGTTTTAGTTATAAATGATGAAAATGGCTAAGTCATTGTTTTTTATTTTATGTGCATTATGAAAGCTCACACAGCAGGAAAATGTTTATATTCATTTCTCAGCTGGAAACAGTACAACCTCCTCCACTTTAGGAATAGAGTGGCATTTGGAATTATGTATGGGGTAGGCTTTTATTTCATTTTATTTATTTTTTCCCATTATATTGACTGATTTTAGAGAGAGAGGAAGGGAAAGGGTGAGAAACATGGATGTTAAAAAAACATTGATTGGTGTATGGACATTGCCCAGGGCTAAGCTTTCTTAAATCAAAAAGGAAATCACTGTTGAGGGGGGAAAAAAAATCACTTTTCAATATTTCTTAAGCCTGATACTTTCTTTTTATTAAGTTGCTAGATGCCTAGTGCACAAATTCATGCTCAGGTGGGAGCCCTCAGCTTGGCCAGTGATTGGGGCGAATCAGGGCTTTCTCTCCCTGTCCCAATCGGGGCCAATCAGAACTGGTTGGTCAAGGGGAACGACCGCAGGAGGTTGGCCAGCCTCAGGATGTTGGCTGGCTGTGGGAGGTGGGCTGTGGGAGTGCACTGACCACCAGGGGGCAGCTCTTGCATTGAGCATCTGCTTCCCAGTGGTCAGTGCACGTCTTAGTGACTGGTCAATGGTCATTAGGTCACTTAGGCTTTTATATATTTAGATTCTTATAGACATCTATTTAATTAGGTCATTGTATACACAGAATTATTGAGTAACTAATTTTTAATGCTTACTTGATTTTCCAAATCACAGGTTACATAAAATCATTTAAGATCAAAATATAATTCTAATTTTGGATCTGAAGAATTCTGTGTCTCTGTTTAAACAGGTGCGGCAACAATTCCATGATGCTAAATTCATGGTGGACATCGACCTGGATGCGAGCTGTACATTAAATAAGAAGATCAGAAACGCACAGCTAGCACAATATAACTTCATCCTGGGTAAGAAAGGAAACTGAACCAAAGGAAAACTGCCACAACCTGGGGAAATTCTGAAATCTTGAGACTTCGCTTGAGAGCATTATGGTCATCAGTTTAGTTCCTTTTAATCCTGGTTCTTAATCTATGAAATTTGTTCAGTTGACATAAGAAGGGAAAACTGTGGTGAGAAGACGAATAATTTGTACAGTTCTGTCTAAAAACTTTTTCCCCTTCACCTTTTATTTCTTCCCATGGTCAGTTTTTATTAAGCCAGCTGGACTTGGTGACTCAATGAGCAAAACGGTGTTGGTATTGCAGAATGGGTGTGTTTTTAATGAATAACTGTGCATGGTCACCTGCACATTTTTTTAAAATATGGATTTATTGATTTTTTTTAAGAGAGAGGATGGGAGAGGGAGAAAGAGATAAAAATACTGATGAGAGAGAATCATTGATCAGCTGCCTTCTACACGCCCCTACTGGGGATCAAGCCTGCAACCTGGGCGTGTGCCCTGCCCGGGAATGGAACCATGACCTCCTGGTTCCTAGGCTGATGCTCAGCCACTGAGCCACACTGGCTGGGCTCGCCTGTACGTTAGTCAGAAGCAGCAGAGGGTGGCCTTTGGGTGCTGGGGTCCTGGCTGTTCGGATGCCCGATAAGAACGCTTCCATCTAAGGGTTCTCCTGTCTTTGCTCAGTTGTCGGTGAGAAGGAGAAAGCCAGCGGCACCGTGAACATCCGCACGAGAGACAACAAGGTGCACGGAGAGCGCACCGTCTCCGACACGGTGGCGCGGCTGCAGCAGCTGCAGGGGGCCCGCAGCCGGCAGGCCGAGGAGGAGTTCTGAGGACGCGCGGTGCCCGTGCTCGCTCACGCTGCTGCCGCTCCGGAAGGCGCCGTCTGTCCCGCACTGGGAGCTGTGCGGCAGAGCCCGCGGGGGCCGCTGAGGGGAGGACCCGCTTTGGACCTCGACAAGCTTTAGATGATGTGTATCTGCTGGGGATAATTAAAAGAGACTCATTTACATGATTGTATTCATTAATTACCTGAGCGCTGGAAATAAACCACAAGGAATGCTTTAGTGTGATGAAGGAGAACACTTCTTTGTAAATGTAATGCAGTTGAAAGAAGTTTTCAAATTTGATTCAGGTAAAAGAAAGATTTTAACTGGATTATGACATAAAAATACTTAAACTCGTGTAAGTTTCATGACTTCTGACCGTCACATACCTCCTACCCAGAACAGATTGCATGATTCAAGATTCATCTTTCATGTTTGATAGCAAACATGTTAGGGGGGTAGAGGGGAACGGGTCGCCAGTGTGTGCGGTCTCGAGCTGGGCCGTGAGCGAGAGCCTGCTTCCCGGTGACAGGATGGCACCTTCAGGAACTCCGCCCTTATCAGCCTGTTCTTGGACATAAACCTTTTAACAACTAAAGCCAGCCGTGGTCTAACGGAGAGTATTCGCACAGGTTTTTAAGAAACATTCATTAGAGGAATCTGTTTATGGCACACTGTTTTGGGCCATTCAGTCCCTTATTAATACAAATTCCCAATTCTCTCTCAGGATAATTTTTGCATTTTTCAATCAGAGAATGATGAGTGACAGAACACCACGAAATAAGGAATTTCTTATGTAGATAGGTGGGAATCTAATCACTTTCAAAAGGCCACCTCTTACAGTTCCTGATATCCCCATAGGGTGTTTGCAAGGGTCACTGAAAGTAGCCAGTTTGCATAGGTTACCCCTCACTTTGACACGAGTGGAAGGATCTTATTAATCAGGGATTCTAGGAAATTCTGTAATAAAGCCTTGCTTCTGTCTGAAGACTTAGCCCTCAATGGGTTTGTAATTTTTTATGTTTGTCTTGAGGGAAGCTATACTTAAACCAAGTCACAATACTAACGTCAAGAGCATCTAGTGTGAATCATTTTAAAACTTTGTGTTTTTTTATTCTTTAAAATTCATAGTATCTTAGTTTCTATTTTTCTTTCGTTTTAAAAATTTCATGTTACATATTTAATTTGTAGTCCAAAGACTATGGTTTTAACTGTTGGTATAACAAATGTGTAACATAGATTTATTTATGGCTTATACAGTGTGTTAGCAGTGTGCTTGCGATCATTGCAGGAGCTTTATTGACCTTTCAGAACTTTCCGCATTAAAGACAGGTGGACAGAGCTGTGAGCAGAAGAATCCTCTCTGTAGCAGGCCCTCAGTCCTTCCCGGGAGCCTCAGGGGACCACCCGTTAGGGCTCTTCCAGTCTGCAGGCGGGCTTGTCCCATCAAAGATCCCTCTGTGGCCTGTTTGACTTGCTTTTTTGTCCCTTTTCTGGAAGCAGAGGCTGTCCTAGTTACTGACTTACTCACCTGTTCTGTTCAGGTACACGGCATAATAGAAAGACTCCAACTGCTAATTTTCTAGGAGCGTCTAGTCCAGTGGTTGGCAAAACTCATTAGCCAACAGAGCCAAATATCAACAGCACAACGATTGAAATTTCTTTTGAGAGCCACATTTTTTAAACTTAAACTTCTAACACCACTTGTTCAAAATAGACTCGCCCGGGCCGTGGTATTCTGTGGAAGAGCCACATTCAAAGGGCCAAAGAGCCGCTTGTGGCTCGTGAGCTGTGGTTTGCCGACCACTGGTCTAGTCTATTGAGAGTCATCTTAGTAATCAGATATACAAGAATGATTTGAGAACGATGACAAGCAGTTGCAACCGCCATGTGATAAATTCTGTAGAGACAGACTGGTGAAGTAAGAAATAGGTGCCCCAAAGTAGGTACCAAAATGTATGGAACCGGTCAGGAGAGTAGAGCAGTAGGTTAAGCAGTATAGGCGAGTGACAGGGTGAGGGACCCGGATCAGTGACCTGAGGTCACACCTGAAGCCCCGTCACCATGTGCCCAGTGACTCCTAGCTTCCTTCCTCACCTTCACTACGGCGATGGGCACTGGCCCGGGCACTGGGACTGCTGGACCAGCGCTTCCAAGTCCACTGGGCGTAGAGGTGGCAAGTGCAGACCCTGGTTCTGCAGGTCTGAGCTGGGTCTCAACATTCTGCACCAGCAAGCTCCGAGCAGATGCTGAGGAGCACACTGAGAAGAAGGCTCTCATTTCCCACTCTGACTTGCCTTTTCTCTTTGCTCCTGCCTTTAAAAAGTCAAAAAGTAATAAAAGGATTACAGGAAAAGCAGCCTGTTGTCCTGATGAGCCTCTGGGTACCATCTCCAGGCAGCTGCCTCGCCTTGCGGCCATGTGCCTGGAGCCATGCAGGCCTATGCCTATAACCATGCTGGCGTGTGCCTCTGCTCTGGTTCTCGCCTCCTCACTGTTGGAGCTGCTGCACTGGCCATGCCAGAGAGGATGGTGTCAGTCACACCCTCCTTGCCCCTCCGTGCTCTGGTCTCCGCTTTCTGTTGATCCATCCCAGGGTCCTTTTCACTGTGTCCGCGAATAGGCTCTCGGTTACTGGTAAGTCGTGCCCTATGATTTCTCCTAGAACTTTGTAGACTTAAAATGATCCCTTTTAACAAATACTGTCAGAGCTGTGTACCGGCGAGGGGGAAGGAGGGTCCTTGAAATGTCGGGACCACTCTGTAAAGTGTATAATAGTCTATGTTGAGCACCTGAAACTAATGCAGAGTCATATCGAATGGGATCTATAATTGAAAAAGAGTGGAAAATTGTATGTTGTATGTTTTTCATCACAATAAAAAATAAAATGACTTCTTTGAATATCTGTGTTGAACACTCCTTTATACCTTGCAGTACAGTTCTTCCAAAAGTCACATCTCCCCCTCCCTGGCTTTATTTGGACCCCATTGGCGGGTCTTTTGCCTCCATCACCCGGAGCAGCTTTTTCATTCCGGAACCCAGGTCCTCGGTTCTGAGAAGTGTTTTCCGTGTTGTGTTGGTATTCCACTTAGAGGAGATATTTCAAACATTTTCTTCTCAATCACTCATGTGTGTGTTTACTTAAGCTTTTGTATTTTCTTAGCCTTCAAGTTGTCTTTTTCTTATATTATTTCCTATATTAAAGCATTCTATTCTTGTTCCTTGGACTCAATTTCTCTTACCTCAGGTACGTCTTTAAATGGCATTGGAGTCCTGTGTAACACCCCATATTATCTTCACTTTCTTTAGTCCCTTTCTTTACATTCTGGTCTCTATATTGTGAGCAGGCCTGACTGCCAGAGGTCCTGGGTAAAGGGAAGCATCGAGAACTCTGTGAAGGGGTGTGTGCCTTGTGCCTGCTCTTTGGAAAGTTGGGGGCTATTCTAATTCCGGGCAGCAGAGGGCGGTCTTGCCTTACCCAGGCTGATGGAGCGGACAAGGTGGAAGTGAAATCAGTTAAAATAACCTTAGTGTGGCTTGAACTTCCAGGAGAGCTTTTTCTGCTCCCTGCATGCTTCCACCCACATTTATGTCCACCGTCTCAGGAAAGCAGCCTTTAGATTGTTAGAGTGCGATGCCCTCAGATGCCAAAGCAGACTCAGAGGACCCTCTTCCTGCGTGTGCGCTCACTGAGGAGGGCGTGGAATCAAACAGCAATATCTGATTATGTTTACATCTTGAATCGGCACCTTGCCCTGCCCTGCCCGGCTCAGCTGCTCCTCATGACAACCACTGACGACAGAACGTGATGACAGCCCAGAGAGCTGCATGGGGTGCTTTTCCCGGCCCCACTGTCCTGGGAGGGGGGGGCAGTGGAGTGGACGAGGCTCGGCCCTGGAGGATGGGGCAGATTCTGGCTTTAAGCAGGAAGAAGAAAGGTCAGGATGGGAAGGCGAGCACCTGGGGTGCCGGAGGAGCGAAGCTGAAGCAGGATAAGGAAATATCTGTTAACTAGTGGCCTGGTGCACACAATTTGTGCACATTAAAGGGGATTAATTAGAGGAAATAATTTAATATTGCTATTTGCCCTTTTCTCTATAATAGAAGTGACAGAGATGAGAGAAAATTAGTAAAATGTATATGAAAACCTTCCTCCTGTCAGAGTCTGGGGCTTACCACGGGACCCAGAATCATGTCCCCACCCACCCACATGCACCTCAAAACCGCATGAGACCCAGACCTGGTTGGGGGGGCCCCCCTATTGGGCTAGATCCAGACCCATTAGCTAGTTCAGTGGTCGGCAAACCGAGGCTCGAGAGTCACATGCGGCTCTTTATCCCCTTGATGTGGCTGGGCGTTAGAAAGACTCATCCAGGCCGAAAACTGACTTCGCCCATGGGTCGAGAAGTTTCAATCGCACTGTAGGTGATTTCTTTGAATCGTTACCAAAACCCATAGGACTCATTAGTCCACAGAGCCAAATACCAACAGGACAACGATTGAACTTTCTTTGGAGAGCCACATTTTTTAAACTTAAACTTCTTCTAACGCCACTTCTTCAACATAGACTCGCCCAGGCCGAGGTATTTTGTGGAAGAGCCATACTCAAGGTTATGTAACAACAGCCCATACATGAGTAGGTCTAGGTTTGGGACCAAGGCATGTGGCTCTCGAGCCGCAGTTTGCTGACCACTGAGCTAGTTCATCTGTGGTCCAAAATCCAGGACGGATGCATGGCCATCGGCTGGAAGCATGTTGCCCTCTGGGCAGCTGTGGAGCGAAGCTGGCCCTCTGCAGCCCCACCCGTGGGCCTCTGTTTGCCATTCTTTCCTCAGACTTGGAGGAAGTGATCCCGTGGCCAGCTGGTCAGCACCGCCACTGCCTTCCCCTGGCTTCTCCTCACACGGGGCTTCTTTCCTGCTGAGATTCAGTGCTGATTTTTTTTCTTTTTCATTAAACTCATTGGGGTAAAAAAGAACAAAGTTTCAGGTGTGCAGGGTTATCACTCTACATCTGTGTTGGAAATACCAGCTATGTGTTGACTGCACAGCTGTTCTCTTCCTGAAGTCAGCCACCAGGGGGCAGCCCACACATGAGTAGGTCTAGGTTTGGGGCCAAGGCAGAACCACGACCTGGGGCAGGGGGAGACTGAAGAGGTTTAGAAAGGGCAGCTGCTAGGAGACCGGGAGGACTGCGCTTGCCCTGGAGGCCCCCTGGACTGGGTCTTCAGAGAGGAAGAGGCTAAGAGGTGTGGGAGTGTGAGCTTGTTAGGCCCAGCCTCAGGTCCCCCTTCAAGCCCCACTGGGCGGGGTGCAGCATGAGTTCCCCCAACCCAGCATTGAGGGTGCACCCGGAGGTCCCCTGTCAAGCTCTGCCAGGCAGGGGGCGTGGCCTGAGGTCCCCTAGCCCAGCACCAGGATGGCAAGTGCACCTTGAGGTCCCACGTTAAGCCCTGCTGGGCAGGGGCCATGCCTCAGGTCCCGGGCCTGGCACTGGGGCCAGGGGTGTGGCCTGAGGTCCCCAAGCCCTATCGGGTGGGGGACACGGCCTGGGGTCCTCTGTCAAGCACCATGGGGATGAGGGAGAGCATAGCCTCGGGTCCCTGGTGCTTGATTAGGTTGCTTGTTAAGGCTGATTGTTGTTAAGGCTCCTTATGGGAACTTGGCTTCAGCTGTGGGTGCAGCCATCTTTGTGATGGAGTGATGGTCAATTAGCAAAGTCCCTCTTTATTAGATAGGATCATCCTGCAGTGTTTCCCAAAGTGTGGTACGCGTACCCTCAGGGGTACGGAAAAGTTTAGTGGGGATAGGCGTTGCACCGGAGTTTGGTGGGGATATGCACTGCACCATGCTTAGCTGCGCCTAATTCTGCGTTCTCATGAGTACAAGGGGTACTCAGCATGACGAAAATTATAGAAGGGGTACACATATGTCAGAAGTTTGGGAAACACTGGTCAAAGAATTGCATGGTATGTATTCATTGGGGCAAAAGTTTTTTCACTCAGCATAATGTCTTAAGGTTCTTGCATATTGTTATGTAGCAACAGCTCATTTCCTTGTGTTTATTGTATAAATAGATCAGTTTGTTTCTTCTTTCTGAATAAAGCTGGATGAGCATTCTTGTGTGAGCTTGTGGGCCAGTCCTGCAGGCTAAGGATAATAAAATGCAACGCGAGTGCTGGCCCCCCAGCCGTGTGGTTGTATAATAGCATGTTCCACAGAGATCATGCTCCCCCACGTTCTGGCCAATGTCAGGGAGCACATCACAGCCTCTGGGTCAGACACACCGGCGGGCACTTCCGCACTGCACCTGGAGGCCACCCTAAGTGCCAAATCCCCGACATGAAAGCACCAACACGGAGCACTGGAAAGGAAGTGGGCAGGGGGAAAAGCAGCAGGGGGGTGCCTTGTCGCTCTCGCAGGGAAGGATAGCTTCCCAGGGAAGCAGGGTTTGGCTGAGCTTTGTGGGGCACGTTCGTTGCCTAGTAATCGCAGAGAAGAGAGTTTTGAAGATACAAACAGGGAGGTGTTCCTGGCCCTCCGTGGTGTCTTCCCAGTGGAAAACAATTCCAAACACTCTGCGTGCCCTCCGACATCCTAGGGATCGCCCACAGGTGTCTGGCTCTTCCCTGCTTCCATGATTCTATTCACCCCGTGGGCATGGATTCCATGTCCACATGTTCAGATTCTATCAATACCTTTGCTGCTTGCACTTATTGTGCTTGTGCATGCCTTTGAAACATGACTGGATTTCCAAAGCAAATTCCCCTATATGTGGGCTACTTTTTCTCAAGCATCCTGTTTATCCTCTAGATAAAACAAGGAGTAGGTAATGCTGAGTACATTGGCTCTGGCACAGTACAGAATTTTAGGCATCACTCCCAATTATCATGGGGTGGGTTGCCAATTACTGCATAGACATTCATGAGAAGAGACCTAAGTTCTACCTCACCTGGGCTTTGGCTCATCTGGCAACATACTGATCATGGGGAGAAGGAGGAGGGAGTCTGCAGGGAGCATGGAAGGAACCGACAGCATCCCCATCAGGGCTGCTCAACTCCCGTCACCTGTGGTGGCGGTGGTGCTGGAGGGAGTCTCGCAGCAGGGGTAAACGAATCACATGGAAACGCCAATGCATTTGGCCATTTATTGATGCCACGCAATGGCAGGCTATGATTACAGTCAGGTTTTAAAGATGGCTGCACCCGGCAGGTGTCCCTTGAGGCTTGGGCCTGGCAAAGCAGCAGAGATGCAGGGAGGCACACAACCATTCTGGAGGACAAGGATCGGTAGGCTTGTGCTTCCCAACCATGTTTTTTACAAAATTATATAACTTAAAATAATAATATTAATAGAAATAGGAATAATACCAGTATTCGAATGAACAATACAAAACCCAGGAGTAGCGTCAACCATGTTGGCTAAGTGGTAGCACCAGGAAGTTCACGTCATGTGGACTCTCTCAAGAGTGGATCACTGTGCACCGGGTACCAGACACACTGCCCAGCACTTCCCCCAGGTCAGAAGGGAGGAGAGCTGAGACCGGCTTCTCTGGGGTAGGGACGTGTAGCTCTCAGAGTTTACAGGACTTCAGCCAATTGATTGGGAAGTTATGACCTGAAAGAATATAAATCCCTCAGACAGTTTCAGCACCTTGATGAAGGTTACAAAAAACTCACTCAACGTCTGAAAGCATCACCCTGGGATGACTCTGCCAGTTGGGTGTCAGGAGAGAAGGTGGAGGTGCCTTCTTATTGAAGAAAACCCGTCATGAAGTCTTTCCTACCAACAAGCTGATTGTTGTCTCGCCAAGTTTCACTATTGAGTCTCTTAAAATGTTACTTCCTCCTGGTGTTGCAGTATGTCTTGTGTTCGAGAATTAAATTAACCCATCACTTTCCAGAGACGCTCTAACCCTGCCACTGAGAAAGGCAATGGAAACCAGACTGGGTCTGAGGATCTTAATGGATTGGAGCACCAAGCCCGGTGGCGGCCCTCTCTAGTTCACAGGAGACGAGCGTCCAGTGTCTCTTGCTAGACTTCTCACTCACTCGTTCAAGTTAGGATGGGAGGAGGACATGGACAAAACAAGCCAGCAGTGCTGCCTCCTGGTGGCCCCTGTGAGCAGCGAAGGAACGGTATGGACGCCATCTGTGTTTTTGCCTTCAGGGTCTCCCCGATAACCGGAGGCCCCTCTCTTGTTGCAAGCACAGGGACCCGTCCAAACCCTGGGGACCCAAAGTGGAGTGACTGTCAAGGCCACAACCATGTCCCATGACTCCAGTAGCAAAGTGGGGTCCAGGTGGACAGATGCCACACAACTGGCTCACCGCACAGCCCCCGTAGGGGAGGTGAATGTCCATGATGCATGATGAGGGGCCATTATCCCACCTTGGAGAAATCGGAGCAAGGCCTCAAGTGGAGCACCTGGCCAGGCCCTGCCATCTTGGCCACCCGGGTCACAAACAACCTTCAGTGGATTGGGAAGACCAGCCCAGTCACGTTTGGTGAGGTCAGTAGGAAGCCAAAGCTGTTCCTGAGTTTTGTTAAGACTGGTCATTTCAGGTCTCTGGTGATATGCGTGACCTTGGGATAGTGAAGCACCAGCTTAAGTCAATCTAGTTTACTCAGTTAACCCCCTGAGGGCCTACACGACACTTCAGGGACAGTCTTCGCAAATTACCTTATCAGAGAAAAATTACTTTCTCCTCCGCTCACATCCCTAACAATTAAAGCACCTTTTCTCGAAAACTATTATTTCACCGGGTTGTCACCGGCCAGCGATGCTTGTATTTGAAGACAGAGAATTATGACTTAGACATCAGTTTCCTGGCTTTAGGTAAACATGTCTACTTGCCTCCTGTTCCTGGTCTGTCTTGAATTTCACCCCAACCCCAGTGCTTTGTGTGCCACAGAAATGTCTCAATAATAATACATTGATGGCTTGAAAAGAAAAGCTCACATAATATAAAAATGGTTAAGTTTCTGGTATCCAAGTAATAGAACTGGTATTGGCCAGCAACACCATCACACATTGAACAGAAGATGTATGTGGTCTTGCCCACGTCTACATCTATGTACATGTTCCTGTGAGTTCCGCCACCATCTAGATTTTAGCACCATTTTGCATTAGCACCATCTGCTGAACGGATAGATAATTCAAGATACGGGACGCTGTGTTCCATGGGGATGAACTGCACCTGTGTGGGACTGAAAAACACTGCCCCATCACATGAAGGCCGCTGTCCTGCCTTCTCTGCCGGGAGCTGACCCTGAGTGCTTCTTCCCCTCGAGGCCTCACCCCCATCCATCCCCCACCCTCTCCCTCTAGGTTCAGTTCATGAAAATGCCTCCCCTTAGAAACCAGGAATTCACCTTGAATTTGAGACCACGGCCTACTTTGGCTCCTGTTAGGTGGTGGGAACATCCAGGATAAGCCTTCTAACGTTCATTTTGGTTTTTGGACCCCCAACTGCCTTGTTTCCCTCAAAGAAAAAGATCCTCCGAAGCAAGCCCTGGGAAGCAGATCATCTTTACCTCACTTTTGAGGTTCTTTGTTTTTTTCCCTAGACTAGAAATCTGTATTTAATACAACACACCTGATTCTTGGAGGTATTTTAACCTGGAGCTCCATTTTCCCACCTGGATTGGGGGAGGGGGCGACCATGGACCAGGCTGGGCCAGGCTGGAGCAGTTGCTGTGTGTGAACCCAGCAATGAAAGGATGTTCCACCTGAGCTGATGGCTCAGACAAGGGATGTGCCACCAGTCAGACAGCAAGACCCATTTGCTCATCGCCAAGGGAAGGAAATTCCCCAGGCAAGTGGGAAGAATAAAGGCCCACGTTCCCTCTCTTAATGGCTGGCCCTGGGACAATGCTGGGGTCGGGGTGCCAAACCCCACGCAGTGGAAAATCCACGTATAACTTTTTACTCCCCTGAATGTAATTCCTCCCTTGCATCCAAGGAGTATGCCAGGGCCCAATCTCAACTCCTTGCCACACAGACACCAAAATTCATGGATGCTCAAGTCCCCTACATCAAATGGCATAGCTCAATGCATGCAGTTTGCCCTCCACACCCACAGACTCCCACTGCAGATGGAAACAGCACAGGTCTTAACTGGGGAAAAAAATAAAAAAAAAAATAGAATCCATGTATAAGTGGACCCACGCAGCCCAAGGCCATGCTGTACAAAGGTCAGCTGTACTAGCACACAATTAACTTCTGTTCATTTGCTTTTTAAGCGTTTCACAGAAATTACCCTCCGCTCAGAGGCACACAACTGCTCCAGCCTGGAGTACTGGGGAGCCAAGTGCCATAGCATCACTAAGCCTCCGGGCCCTGCCTGCTCCCTCTTTCTCTCGTGCCTCTGGGTGGGCGTGGGGGTCTGCACACTCAGATCGGGGGTCTCAGGGGTGAGGGACTGACCGAGGCTGGAGGGGCGCTTTCTCCTCCTCCCTACCTGAATGCTGGGTGAAGAAAGGGCGCTCTGCCTGAAAGCTCTCCCATCATGCCATAAACAACAGCTGCCCCTGCAGAGAGGGGTGACGGCGGCAAGATGATTCTACCAAGGCCCATTGACAAGACCCTTTGTTCCCTGGATCAGTGTGGCTCTGTTTCCTGGTCCCGTGAGGTAGTCTGGGAAAAAACTGGCCTCTTGGCTTTCCTCTTTGAGGGATGACAAAGAGACATCGTTTCACAGACCTGCCTAACCTGGCACCTGTCCCAGGAGCTGAGCCGGGTGTCTCCCTGCCGATCAGGGGAGCAGCGGTGTTCAGGGCCCACCCTTCCTGCAAGGGGCACTGTGTGACGAGTGGGATGCAGCGGATTTGGTTTTGTTATGACGCAAAGTTGGACGTGAAGTGCAGAGTAACGCCTCCTGGGCGGTTCCCGGGGTAGCAGGAAAAGTCAGCAGGCTGCGGCGGCTGTGGCGGTGGCTCCCTCCTGGACTCAGGGCGCTCTGGGGTTCTGGAGCAGCCGTGGCTTCCGTGGCCGTGGGGCGGGGGCCCCGTGGGCCCGGGCGCAGGAGACGCAGCACTGAGCCCTCACGGTGGGCACCGAACACTTCCTCATGGTCCTCAGCGTCTGGCAGAAACCGGCCGATAGGTTGTCCTTGGTGCACGGCACATCTGCGGGAGGAGAACATTCAGGAAGTGCCACAGTTATCCTTTGTTAGTGAGTGAGCCAACTGCCATTCATTCATAGGGAGGACATTTATGCGTCTACCAGGAAATGTTCCGTAACAATCTATAACAATAAAAGGTAATATGCTAATTAGACCGGACGTCATTCCGGCTGTCCTTTCTGATGAAGCCGGGGCTGGAGGGAAGCCAGCCAGGGTCCAGGATGCCTGCCGGGCCAGAGGAGGGAGGCAGGCTGGGTCCTGGGTGCCTGCTGGCAGCTGGAGGAAGAGGGAAGCAGCCCGGGTCCTGGGTGCCCAGAGGGAAGCTGGTGCCGGCAGCTGGGGGAAGGAGGGCCTACTCTTGCACAAATTTTTGTGCATCAGGCCTCTAGTTCATCATAACACTGGACATGCACCGAACACTGGTTATGTGTCAGGCGCTGTGTGAGGTATCTGTGTTAAATGGAATTATCAGTTGTAAGCCTTCACCTGTAGCTTGTTAAACACTCCTACCCTTGCCGGGTTACCAGGGGGTGATGAGTACTAGTAAATAGTTCTCTGCTTCTGCGCTTTGGGGTCAGCTCTCTGACCTGCTTGGGCAATGGGATGCCAGGAGACACGATCCCTGTGGGGCCTTGGGATGCGGGAAGGGTGGCCCTGCCCTGATGAGCGTTGGCCATCACCATGAGGACGTGGCTCGTGCAGACACTGAGCCAAGGAGGATGAGAGATTTACGAAGCCGGCCTCAGCCCAACCTACAGCTTGTGGCCAAGGCCAAGTGAGGCCTGGCTAGATCAGCTGCACCGTGGTGACCTGTGGAGACTGAACAAAAAGGACAGGAGTGTAGTTTTAAGGTCCTGGGTGCAGAGCTGCCTTGCTGTGCGGTGTTGTTATGTGACAACAAATGCAGTGTTTTATGGGCACCACTTCACTGCCTCTTCCCAGCAGTGCTGCCGGTAAGGGCAGCAGTTCTTCTGCTTTGCAAACGTGGGATTGAGAACTGGCCCCATGGTATCTGGCTGACCAGCGGCGCAGCTGGATCTGGACACAGGCTGTATGGACCCTACGGCTCCTGCTTTTAGCCGTCATGCCATTCAGAGCATCCAGCACTGGTCAGCCCACTAACCATGCTCTCTGAGCATCGCTGAGTGAGTCACGTGGTCCCTGCCCTCCAGAACCACACACGGAGATGAAGGCATCAGATACACATAATCCCCATGACACGTGTATAATTCCTCACCTGCATTCTAACCCTTGTTCCCTTCTAACTAGCTCTGGGCAAGAAGCTCCTTAATATGGCGTGTGTGTGTGTGTGTGTGTGTGTGTGTGTGTGTGTCTGCTTTCCTCAGACACAAAGCAGTGAATTAGACGAGATTTCTCAGGAGCTACCACCACACACACCATGGGTGAGACGCAGACTGCCTGGCCCCCAGACTCAGTCTGCAAAGAATGAATTAAGGTCCAAGTCACAGCTTCCGCTTCTATAAAGTGAAATTGTTTCAACATTGTTAAGTGCCTCTCTGAGCTCCGGGCATCTGTCTTTCTCCTTCACAGAAAAGACTTGAATAGTCCCGGAGAAAAGCGTCTTCACACACAGGCTTCTGTCCTTTGTGAACAGAACTGTAGGTAGAAGTAGGAATTGGAAATACCCTTGTTAGTCTAAACCTGTAACAATATTTTTGCCTCTCACTGCTTTCCCACCTTGAGGTCATAAAGGCAAAATATTCTTTTTACCTTTTCAGGACACATAATTCCCTCGACAATGCCTTGCTTTTTGTTTATTTTTTGTGGAGAAATCAACGTCTTCTGTCATCTCTCAAATTCCATTTGTGAGCAGATTTTAAGTGCCCTTGACGACAGGTAACATGCAATGCTCCTGGAACCACACACCTCTCTCTTGCTGACTCTTTCCTTCTTCAGGCCTCTTCTTACACCGTCATGGCACCCCGTCTCTCCTAAAACCCCACAGTTACTTTGGTGCAGCCCAGATACATGCAAAGGGTTTTCATAGTCCCTATGACAGAAATGGCCGTTTCGATTTAGATTTGAAGTCATTAACAGGTTAGATGGCGCCCAAGAAGTGCAAAGGCCTGGAGGAGGACAAACTTGACACAAACTCACGCCCGATCTTACAAGATGGACACAGCGGGTATATTTACTTGATGGCTGGATGGCTGACAAGGATATAGGCATTGAATGACTTATTTTCAAAGCATTTTAGAGGGCACAGCAGACAGGGTGGGTGGGTGGCTTTTCCATTGAGAAATTTCTTACAGCTGCTCTTTCGTATTGTTCTCCATGAGTAAGCATGGCTCTGCCTTCAAGAGGAGCTAATAATTAACTCTGTGCCCTGATAATTGTTGGCAAGTGGAATTCATTGTTATTTCCACCCATTGCCAGCCAACTGTTAGTTACCATCTCTTCAAAGTTTGAATTCAAGATTAAATACCAGGGATGCATGTAAACCAGTTTTGATTATTGTAGATTATATTAATCAGCAATAAGACAGTTAAAGAGAATCTAACATATTAAAATAACTGATAATACTTGGCATGTTCAACCAAGACTGTGTTGCTTCTTCAATGAGATAAAGTCAACAACACAGAAGGATTCTATTGCCTCAATATCTTATTTTTAAATTAAGCTTATTGGGGTGACTTTGGTTAATAACAAGATCATGTAATTTCAGGTGTGTAGCTTTATAATATGACATCTGTGTACTCTGTTGTGTGCCCAACACCCAAAGTCATCTTTTTATCACCATATATATATCTTCCCCCACTGCCCTTCACCTCTGATGATATCATTCTGTTGTCTGTATATATGAGCTTTTCCTTTTTTTGTTTGCTGGTTTGTTGCTTTTTAAAATACCCTACATATGAGTGAAATCATTCAGGTCTTGTCATTTTCCATCTGACTTATTTCACTTAGCATAGTACTCTCAGTATCCATCCATGTTGTGGAAAATGGAAATATTTCATCATTTTATGGCTGAGTTCCACTCCATTATACACATACACCACATTATTAACATTTTTAAAAATCCATTCATCTGTCAAAAGATACTAAGGTTGTTTGTTCCATGGCTTGGCTATTGTAAATAATGCTGCAACAAATATAAGGGTAACCTGTATCTCTACAATTTGTTTTTCTGGTGGATAACCAGAAGAGGATTGCTGGGTCATATGGGAGCTCTGTTCTTAATTTTTTTTGAGAAACCTCCATCCACTTTTCCACAGTGGCTGTACCAATTTACCCTCCCACCAGTTGTGTACGAGAGTTCCATTTTCTCCACATCCTTTCCAACATGTATTTCTTGTCCTTTTGATAACAGCCATTCTAACCAATATGAAGTAGTATCTCATTGTAGCTTTGATGTTCATTTCCCTCATAGCCGGTGATATTTAGCATCTTTTTATATATCTGTTGGCAGTCAGTGTGTCTTCCTTGGATAAGTGTCTGTTCAGGTCCTCTGCCCCTTTTAAAACCAGATGGCTTGTTTCTGTGGTTGCTGAGCTGTATGAGCTCTTTATGAATTTTGGATATGTTAATCTAGCCCGGTGGTCTTAGTTCTGCAGGAATAGACCCTGAGGTGCAAGTTTGTGTCCAGAGGTTCATTAAGATGGCGCTCCCAGGGAAGACCATTACAGAAGCTCATGGGAGGAAGACAGAAAAAGAGGAAGCCCAGCCAGCTGCCATCTCCAGCGCAGTCCTCACTGCAGCCAGGTCCCACGGGGCAGCTCCAGGGTGCAAGTTCTGTCTCAGCCCAGCTCCTGAGGCCAGTGAGCTAGACTGTCACACCCCACACTCTTCAGCCGTTGGCCAACGGCTCTTCAGGGGCAGTGAGTTTTCAGGCACTGTAGGCTTTCCAGGTGGAGAGACAAAGCTGCTGGAATGTGTGACAGACAACTGAGACAGAGCGTGCCTCCTGCAGCTCCCCCAGGGGACCAGGCTGAAGCGAGGACTGTCCTGGAGATGGCAGCCTGGTTGAACTTCCTTTCTGTCTTGCTTCCCATGCTCACCGAATGGTCCTTCCCAAGAGTGTTTTCTTAATGCATCCCTTGCACACAAATCTGCGTCTCAGGGTCTGTCCCTGTGGGGCCTAAGGTAGTGTGCCTGGATGGCAGAGGGCCATTCGGTATTCTGAGAAGGTGGGAGCATCTCTGAAAAATCTCTGAAGGAGGAGAAGTGGTTCTCATCCACGTGGATGGCAGTGTGGATGTGCTTTAGGAAAAGGATGAGACAATCCCCAAGGACTTAGAGTCACTCCTCACCGAGTCAGACTGCTTCCTCCCAGAGATGCGGCTGGCCTTTCGGCATGAAGTGCCCGGCTCAGGAGAGGGACTACGACGACCCAGGAATGAAGTCATGCAGGACAACTTCCCTGTGAAAAGCCTCCCCCCTGAGCACCGCCCCCCACTCACCAGCACTCTTCCTGCAGGCCTGCGGGTTGCACTCTTGGCGTTCGGGAGGTCTGGGTTCATGGTCACACTGGCATTGGTCTTGACCTTCAGTGCCATTGTCCTCTGAGGAGACACAGTGGACAGTCCTCTTCTGAAAGCCACCCCCACAGGAAGCCGTGCACTGAAAGAGGGGGGCACGTGGAAAATCAGAATTCTCCCCAGACCCACCAGGGGAACTCGGCAGAATGCCGCCAAGCCACCGTGGTCAATTAGAAAGTCTCAGGAACCGTTTTGGAGTCACTGAGTCATTAGTCAAAGGCACTGATAATGTGGGATGTGAGCTTAGGAAGAGTGTATATACAGACTGTGTGGACTGCAATTGGCTTAATTTACTATTCGCTTCTCAGTAGAATGTGTGCAGAGGTTGAATTATGTATAAAATAGAAAAAAAAAATGTCTATTTGGGCCCTGGTTTCTTGGCAACCCAGTTTCTTTGAACTAGCTTTGATCTGGGGCTAGAAATCCGATGTGAGGAGAGGGCACAGAGCTACAAAGAAAGCTGAGAGCAGGATAAAAAGAGAGGTGGGAGAGGAAACCACAGTGCGATGGAGGAAGAATGAGGAATGGACCCAGCTGGACCACGTGTGGCCCCAAGCCATTCTAAAGGTAAGGCTCCATGGGAAGGGTATGGTGTGGCCAGCGCAGCAGAGGGAGGTTTGCTGGCCTGTAGAAGCAATTTAGACAAGATGATTCCTGGGCATGTCAGAAAATGTGTCTGAATTTATCATATATTTGCTTTTAAAATTCTAGGTATACCAATCCGAAAAACTTGAAAATAAAACTGATAGTTTTATTTATACAAGAAAACAACTTTGAATAAATCTTTCCCTCCTTTCCAGTTTAATTCTTTTCCTTGTCTCTCCATCCAACTGGCTGCCACCTGGCAAGCGGATCAGCAGAGGATGAGAAACCTGGAGCTCGTCAGGCTAAGCCGCAACCTCGACGGCTCATGTGATTCCCATTCGCTCTAAGAAAAGCCAGAGGATCAGAGACAGCCAGGCCCAAAGTGCCTTTCCTTAGGCTCTGAGCCGCTGGGATAATTCGGTATTTGATCTACATCTTTTGAAAGTCTTCCATCTTTTTCTCTTCTGAACTCAGGACAGAAAACACTGAGCCCCATGTCAGCTCTGGGTCAACCTTAGGAGACTTAGAGACTAATGGACAGCAGAAAGATGCAACCACTAGAACATACGGAAACACACTGTAGGTCAGTGGACACACTGAACATTTACAATGAATGAATATATGTTCTTTTGAAAAGAAAAGAAAACAAATTGCCTTTTTTTAGACTAAAGATGTGGAGAGAACACCACTGACTCTTACCAGGTCCCAGTTTCCGGCGGCCCAGTGACAACAGGGGTGCTGGTTGCAGGGGGCAGCAGACGCCGGCCGATCTGCCCAATCACAGAGGCCTCTCGGACAAGCCACGCGCCTCTCCTGCACTCCGCCCCCACAGGACCTGGAACACTAGCACACCACAGGGACAGGTTAGGTGAAAATCACACGCCACATCTGCAGTGAGAAGGGAAGAACTTCCTACGATCACTTTTGTCGTGTGCACTGTTACTGAGAGTATTAGTGTCTGTGCTGGAATCTGAGCATCTGAGAATATTGCATCTGTACGAGGTCCTGACGGCCACCCAGTCCCTTCAAACAACAGCGGGGCGACAAAATGAGAGAGAAGGACGGCACAAAGGAAACTCTGAGGAGAGAAAAGCAGAAGATGCCAAATAGCCCCATGTCAAATATGTCAGACAGAAGGCATTTTGGTTAGAAATCGCAATGAGTCATTCCAGAATGGATGTTGTTGTCTGAGCTTTGCCTTCTGGCCCCGGTGTCTATAAATGGCGATGTAAAATGTAGGCACTTTCATTATGATTCGCTGTGAGCAGGCACATTTGCAATACAAGTTTGTTCGTTTCCTGTTAAAATGGGATTCAGTCTTCTTTTCCGTCCTCAGAAAGCTGTGAATTAAATCTGTGTCTATTCTGAATAGAGAAGTTAGTCAGTTCGCTCAGTGTTCTGATGCACTGGCTATTCTGCTCACAAAATAAATCTGAAATGACAAGTTAGGTTCCTGAAGGGATACAACTCTGAAATGTGTCAGCTTTGTGCTCATAATTTTACAAGACTTACTGTCTCTTTTGCCTAACATTTTTGGGAGGGAATTAAATAATTCACCAAGAACCTTTAAAAAGCTCTGTGAGTACCTTGAAGATATCTTAATTATGATGTAACAACAACAACGAAACAATGGTGGGTGTCAGCATCTTGCCCATATCATGTCAGGCACTATGTGTGTGGTGGTACCACGGAAAATGCAAATGATATACAATTAGCCCTTTCTGCTCAATAAAAAAAACAACCGACTGCTTCCACAATGTTCCAACTTTGAGAGTTAACATGGACTTCCCCCCATCTACTCATTCCATTTTTAACTCCTTGAGGAGAAGAGAGTAACCCCACATTTGTGATCCTTATGTGTACCTACACATGTGCATAGAGATTCAGGACCACCTGAGCTGGGCATTTAACGGAGAGGTGGAAGTCTAAAACATACCATGTGTGGAAAGGGTCTGTCCATCACCCCCAGCCCTACACACAAGCCCAGGAGAGGATGGGAGGCTCCCATCACAAGGGTCCATATGCACTTCCCCTCAGGGACCCACACCCCCTGTATACCCACTGGGACACTAGGTTCTAAAAGACACTGATGTGTCACCATGGAAACCACACAACACAGTTCACGCTGTGGACCCCATGGGCCTCCCCACACAGCGTTGGGTCCCTGAATGGCAGCCAGTCATTGGCACATGACACGCGCGGGGACACAGACAGTCACGTTGGTCGGGCCGTGTGGGTGGGGAACGAGGGGCTGTACCTGGCCCCAGGGCTCCACCTGCCACTCCTCGCAGGGCTCCGTGTTGCAGCTCATGCTCCGAGGGGGCGGGACACCGGCCAGGAACTGGCAGTGGAATGGCCTCAGGCTGCGGTGCTCCCTGTCCACGCACTGAGTCTCCCGGATCTGGAAGCCCCCGCTGCAGTTCCTGGAGCACTGTGTGGAGAGAGGAGCACCAGGCCCTCAGTGCCCGGGCCCAGGAGGGGTCACAGCACTGGACGGTCCAGGCTGCAGTCACCAGAGGGTTAGTTCTAGCTCACGACGCCCCGGGAGGGATCATCCACGTTACAGACAGGACATCCGAGGGTCAGGGTGTTTCTGTGACCTGCCCAAAGCTCCCGATGGGAGAGTGAAGAACTGGACTTCAGAGGGGACCGGGGCAGGGGAACAGAGGCAGACCCTTGTGCTTCCCAGCTTTTCTCTGCCTGGTTCTGTGGATGAACAATATGGGTGAACAATACATCCCGTGGCCCTTATGTCCTGAGTGTCCTCCTTCCATCCTTTGGATTGCCCACCCGCCACTGATCTTCCTGGAGCTCTGGGCTTCAATGTCACCCCTCAGAGAAGCCTTCCGTGAACAGACCCCTCCAGTTTGATCACAGGGACAGGAGCGATGGAATGACTTTCATTTATCGTGTCCGTCCTTCCTAGTAGACTCCCTGCCATGAAGCTGGAGCCCTTCTCTCCTGGTCACCACTGTGTCCTGAGCACCTGGCACGGTGCCAGGCACAGCAGAGATGCCCCACCAAACCTTATGAATGAACAGATGAATTCCAAGCAGAGGGCAATCAGGGAGGGCTCTCCAGGGGCCAGAGAGATCCGTGGTTCCCACAGGGAGGAGCACATCCTGCTTTGTCCTCTTCCTCCTTTCATCCCTCATCCCATTGCATTCGTGGCCGAGAGAATGCAAGCGTGTCCATAGCTCCAGGTATGTTTTCACGTGGCCCCCTCTCTGCTTGGAACAAAAGCAGGCTCTCTTTCTGGCCATGACAGGATAATCATCATTGTAGGTTCTTGTAGATGGAAAAGGAAAAGCTCTCAGAACTTTCAATCGAGGTAGATCCCAAATACCACCCCTTCCTTCTGCACCCCGGCCCCCTGGGCCACAGCAGGGGGAGATGCGGGGGCCGTGCGAGGGGGCAGATGGATGCTCCAGTGCTCCCATAAACCAACTGTTTAGCTTCTCTAAATAAGCAACACTTGAAGACAGCCCCCAAATCAACTAAAGACTTCGTTTCCCTGCCGTGCTGTAAGCAGCTGCCAACTTACAGTCAGCCAGAGGACATGAGGAAGCGAGCTAATCATTTCCACACAAAGCGGCCATTTTCCTGACAAGCAGACTTCTGGGAGAGAGCACGTGGTTAGAATAAGAAGGCTCGTTACTAGGAAAAGGACTTTTACAGACACATGTGTAAGAAATATTTCCTTAGGCTCCATCCGATGCTATCCTCTGACATTCCTACACTGAATTTTCAGAACAGCCTTCCCCTTTGGTGACAGTGGGAATTCCCTTTCAGTGACACGTGGAGTTTGTTAATGTGCTGAACGGAGTCATCAGGGAGGACACTGAAGCTGTGACTTTTCTGCTCCATTAAAAAATATATATATTTTATTGATTTTTTTTTTTTTTTTTTTTTTTTACAGAGAGGAAGGAGAGGGACAGAGAATTAGAAACATTGATGAGAGAGAAACATTGATCAGCTGCCTCTTGCACACCCCCTACTGGGGCTGTGCCCGCAACTAAGGTACATGCCCTTGACCAGAATCGAACCTGGGACCCTTGAGTCCGCAGGCTGACACTCTATCCACTGAGCTAAACCGGTTAGGGCTGTTCCATTTTCTAAAGTCCTCGGATTCTGCCAGCGCGAGGGGAGGGTCAGGCTATCCCATCACTCCACTCCTGAGGCTGTTTCACCTCTGGGTGTGAGGGCCAGTTCTCACATTCCTTTCCTTATTGCCCTGCAGGAGGGTCGTTTGTGTTCCTGCTCTCCTAACCGGTGGACCAGCTTGAGGACAGGAGCCAGACTGGGGAGACTAGACACACCGGTGAGGCCCTGCTATGACCAAACAGGCCTCACGCTCTACAGCTTGCTCACCTGGCAGAGCCTGCAAGACAAATGCCCTCATACAGGAGCCATGGGCAGAGATCAAATGAAATCACAGTGGCTTCTCTCTTGCATTGTTTTTTAAGTTATGAAACGCACACAGGTGTTCCGATGTGAAAATTAACAAACAGGCTCAGGAGGGCCGTGGGTTCATCCCTCCTCTGAGCCTCGGCTTCCCATGGTATCAGAGGGATAAGCTGGGTGATTAAATACCCCGACATTCTGGAGGGTGTAAGTGTCGGGCCACTAGGTCTGTCCTCTGTTTTGATTTCAGAATACTTCCTTGCTCCTCCAGTCGCATGCCAAATGCTAAACCAGGAAACAGAAAGAAATTCTTTTCGGCTCCTTTCCTTATGCTACACAGATTCCTAAGACCCTCAGGATCAAATAACGCATTCCACACATTCTAAGTTGAACTGCATCAACATTCGCCCTCCATCTGTTCCCTCTCCCCCACCCTACCTCCCTTCCTCAAGTCCTGGGCACTGTGATGTCCAGGCTCCGAATCCCAATCTGGCAGCAGGGGGCAGTGACTCCAACGAGTAGAAGTGATAAAGGCTTATGTGTAGGCTGCCCATGATCTAGTGAGGGCACAAAGGAGGGGGCCGTGTCCGAGGAGGTCAGGAAAGACTGGGACAGAGGGGCCAAGGCTGGGGTTGAGTCATTTAAGATGAGCAGATGCTGCCGCGACTGGCAAATCAGGACGGGAGACATGCGAGGTGTAGGGATGGCACAGGCAGAGGCGCAGTTTGTTCGGAATCGGTCAGAATGCTAGAGCAGAGGGGAGGTGGGCAGCGGGAGAGGCCTCCAGTCTGGACATCAGTCCTCAACTCCAGCATCTGGCTTCCTGCTTCCTGTGGCTGCCACGGCTCTGATTTAACTGCCATTCCTCTTTAGGGATCCCTCCCCCTCTTCCTAAAGATCAGAGCCGCCCTCTGGCAAAGCCGGGAGAGCAGTACATGACATTCCACAGTCCGTCTGCAGCTCAGGCTCCAGGGAGCAGAGATGTCAGTGAGACCCCCATAGTGCTGCTTGTCAAGGCAAAGTGGCTCCCCAGAGAGAAGATGGGGGGTGGCGGGGTGCGGGGGCATTTGGGGCTGTGTGTGCATGCCTGGCTCCCACCTCTGTGCCGCCCACTGCCAGGCAGCTTTCAACCTCACCACTGACCAGGGCCAGGCAGCCTGGGTGGACGCCCCCAGAGGCTGGTGGAAACCGGAGCGGCAGGCCTGTGAGTGGCCCAGAGCGCCCACGCGGTGAGGTGAGCAGCCTTTGCAAGAACTTCGCAGACAGCACAATGAAACGGTAACCTCAGCCCGATGAGCAAGGACAATAAAATCACAGCACGATCGCTGCTTTGGAAGATCAAATTCTCCTTTGCGGTTCAGCTTTCATGTTGCGTCTGGCAGATTCAATGTAATACAGGCTTTGTGAGCAGCTGCTGAGCTGTGATTTAATTATGCGTACGATAACGGATACTTATTACTTGCAATGCTAAATGTAAGTAATTTAGAAATAGTGTTGCAGGCTGGACAAGCGATTCATTGCACAAGTGTAAGTCACCCGGTGAGGGAAAGGACAGACAGGTAAAACACGCGGCTAATACACACTCTGTACTGTGCTAGACTGCTGTCCCCAGGGCAGCAGGCCTATGGCCACGCCTACGATTTACTCACCCACCATTTTCTCACAGAAATGGACAGAAGGGAGGCAGGGAGTGAGGAAGGGAGGAGAGAAACCAACTTAATAGCAAAGGCTTATATAAGACCTCCTCCCTCCAAACCACACCCATCACTGAGCCTGCTCAGTTACCCCCTGCCCTCTACACCCCCATCACAGCCTGGTCAGCTACCACACCCCCTTCACACCCCACCACTGAGCCTGCTCAGTTACCTTGCTCCAGTTGCCCACTCTCCAGCTGGCACAGGGACGGAGGTGGCATCTCTTGGCGGGGTCAGGCCTCTGCACGGCTGCGCAGTCGGAATCCACCAGGGTGCTGCACTCCACTCGGCGCCAGTAGGCCCCCAGCCCGCATGTGGTGGAACACTGGTGGGGACAGAACACAGAGCTGGGACACACCACGGCACCTGCTGTCAGAGTTCCGTCTGGCTGCTCACTAAAACCCCCAGCAATCTGAACACTACCAGCCCTGCGCCCGGCCCCGGGCCAATGGCTGCATCTGGGCTGGCAGATAAATAACTTCCATTCCAATAAACAACCCCGGTTGAGAATCTCTGATTGATATGCAGGAGGAAAAAAAAAAAGAGGAGTGGGGTGGGGCATTTGTAATGCTTTCAACAATAAAGTGTAAAAAGGAAGGGTTGCCTGCTTAAGTGCCACCTACCGCATTTCCCGCCTGTGCTATCCCAGGGGTCGCCAGCCCCATGCACCTGCCCCCCACTCCCCTCTGCACCTCACCGCTGACACCACCACAATCTCATCATCTCAGTCAGCCCTGCTCACACACTGCGGTGTCAAAGGGCATCGCTATAAGAAACCCAGGCTTGGGAAGCTGGCTTGCTCCAGGAGTGAGACTTGGGATTTTCTGCTTCTAAACCACAGGATAATATTGCCACAGCCGTGTCTCAGCCGCGAGTGGCCGTGGGAGTCACGGGGACAAGCTGTGGCAGGCAGGCTCTGACTCCGGAGGTCTGGAGGGGCTGGAGACGATGCAGTTCTAACCGGCTGCCAGGGTGCAGGTGCTGTGCGTCCTCAGACCACAGACCACATGTGGAGTTAGAAAGATGCTATGACATGATGCTTTTCACTCCTTGACCCCATGGTGGTGAATAAATCAATGATCGTTTGCCATAGGCATAGTCCATTCCTCACAACATGTTTTAATTTGTTTATAACTCTTAAATAACTCAGGGTTAGCACGGGTTCACCTTGAAAACTGCACAAAAGCCCCCCCTATAATTTCTTGTATTCTATGCGCCAGGTGCTTTCCTGTGGATGCTTTGACTTCATCCCCTCTTCCCTGCCCAACCTCAGAAGGCAGGGCGGTTTCTGGGCCTGTGAAACCCAGCTCTGGGCCAATAAAGAAAAGGGGTGGGAGTTCCACCTATGCCATTTTGGGAAGTTTCTTTTGATTAGTTATATAAACAGCCTTACAATAATTTCTCTTGCTGCATTTTCACCCTCCATATAATTCCATGTTTCACTCTGTGCAACTTCTTGGCTTAGAACACATGTATGACAGATAAATTCACTGCAGAGTCATAGCAAAGCAGAGTAGAAAACAGCCTAGGTCTGTGGTCGGCAAACTGCGGCTCACGAACCACATGCGGCTCTTTGGCCCCTTGAGTGTGGCTCTTCCACGAAATACCACGGCCTGGGTGAGTCTATTTTGAACAAGTGGTTTTAGAAGAAATTTAAAAATTTGGCTCTCGAAAGAAATTTCAATCGTTGTACTGTTGATATTTGGCTCTTTGACTGATGAGTTTGCCGACCACTGACCTAGGTCATCCATGTTTCCAATGGGCTCATCTCTCCTCCTTCAAGTTGTTTGGGTTTTGGTTTGTATCTCTCAAGTTCCCAGCACTTTCTCCCCTGAACTAGTCCACGTGTCTATAACAGAGACAATGACAGCTGAAGTGCGCTGAGCACTGCCCACCAGCGGCCCCTCGTTCGCACCATGCGCTTTGCGATGGGACTTGGCAGCTCCTCCCGCTGGCGGTGGGAGACAGTGACTTTGGCGGGTAAAACGCAGTGGGTGATGCTGTGCCTGTTCTCAAGGGGCCTGGCTGGTGTCAGCCCTCTTTCTTGGACCTCATCTCCGCCACGGGAAGAAGGCCAATCTGCTGTGTAGATTTGGGGGGGGGTGCCTCTGAGTGACTTGGAGATCATGTGGAACAGAGGGGGTGACCCGGCCAAGGCCATCCCAGCGCGGCCAGCTTCAGCCAACGCTCCAGCAGATGCAGGCCCGGCCACGCTGAGATCAGCCCAGACAGCACAACCTCCCAGTTGACCCACAGACTCGTGAACAAACATAAACGTTTACTGAGGGGTCATGGTGGTTGGCTATTGAGCGTCGCTATAGCAATGGCGAGTTGTGGGGTAAACATTTTGTTTCCTAAGCTGCTGAGACAGAGTAGGCACCGCGCCTGGCCATGAAGGCGGCTCCTGCCAAGTGTGTCGGGTGGAAAACTGCGCTCTGGGCGGTTCCCTTCCCCAGCCACGCTCCCGGGAAGTGGTAGCGCTCCCTGGCTCCCGCGAGGCTGATACATTTTTGCTGAACTACAATGCGTTCCATAAGACAGGTTATTTCTGCCAAAGCCAAGTGGCTACGTTTGAGGTGGAATTCATTCTGTGTATCTTGATTAGAATATAATAAAAATGTGTCAATTAACCTCTGGGCTCCAACAGTCGTAAGGTTGAATGTGCGCTTTTATTTATTTGGAGACAGTAATTTCTCATAGAATCGATGAACATTTATCAGGTAGCACACATTAAGAATCTTCAGGACAAAAGCATTAGGACACATTTGAATTTAATAATTCCACAGCTGCTTTGGGATGCGTGGGTCAGGTTAAGAGATGAGGGGATGGGAGAGAAAATAATTTCTGGGCCATCCTAATGCTGCTTTTACATGAAGCTTTTGAATTAACTTGTGGCCTGAGAAGGGCTGGTCCTTTCTCATTCGCAGCCCCACTATGCGGGCTCTTCCATCGGAGGACTGTGATCGTTCACCGAGGGGTCTCCCCTTCGGACTGCAACCTGGCACCTCCCTCCGTCTCACTATAAACGCCGTTCTCCCCACAGTCACCAGTGACCTGCTAAGTGCAAAATCCATTAGGTCCTCTGGCAGCCCTTATGTTCCTACACATCCATGTGTCATTTCTCTTGGCTTATGTCTTAAATCGTAGACTATTCCTCACTAGCCTTCCCCTTGGGACCTCTTTGTTAGCCAGGTCCCATGCCTGGCCCACCCTTCCTTGCATCCTACAGGTTAATGGGTGGCCTCCTTCCCTCTCAAGGGCCTAACTTGTACCTACTGGTCTTGACTATCAAGTCTCATCTCCAACAGCCTCAGACTCACAAACATCTGCTGGTTATCACCCGGATATCCCAGGGTCCCACCAATTTAACTTGATCCATAACTTCACTCATCCCCTTTCCTTGTCTCTGCTAACACTCTCTCTCCTCTATAATGTGCGGTTTCTCCATGTATAGGAGCACAACCCAACAGACAGCCAAATTTATTCCAATGGAACAGTCATGGCCAACTCCTCTCCTCCTCTTTCCTTCCAAAGCCCACATCGATTATTCACAAAGCCCTGTGGGAATTCGTGTTAATTAGCACAAAATCATGCTATTTCAGCATGAGACATGCTTTAGAAATGCTCGCTGTCAGCATCCTCCTCACAAAGCCCATTAGAACTTTGCTAATGAAATAAGAAAAAAATCAGAGTAAAATGTCAGCAGTCTCCATACTCTGAGCATGAAGATCTATTTCCTCCAGAACCTGTATTTTTCACATGCACATGGAGATGGTAAGATGCCACTCCACGGACAGAAAATGCGACAGTTACTTAAGAAATCAAACACGAATCAATGTGCAAAGAGTTCAAATGTAAACAGAAATTTATGAAAGTTTGAATTTACCTGTTTAATACCAATAGAATCAATTCTATGACCTAAGATGATGATTATTTCATACCAAAATACTTATACAGCTAAGCTGTCAATTGGTGCTGAAATTCACAAGAGACCGTAGAGTATTATAGAATAGAAAAAGTTAGAAGATTCATCATCCAAAGGACACGTGTGTCCTTAAACAAGTCAGTGAACCACGGACTATCCTAGTTTCTCTATTTATAAATTGCTATCAATCAGATCCTTCATGCTCCTCAGGGCTGTCAAAAGGAAAAAATAAAAGATTACGTTTGAAGTGGCTTGGAAATTAACATCCTTTATAAATTAAAGGTCTGTTGTTGTTTTTTTAATATTAGCTATTATTACTTCACTTCCTCTTAGCTACAAACATGAGCCATGAAATGTTATAAAAATGATGAATAGTTTGAACATGCGATTATTTTGCCACAAAGTCCTCCTTTGAGTTATGAAATTACTTTTAACAAGCACATACACTGTGCATTTGAAATTAAAATGGTTGAGAAATGATTTTGATGCCACCCAGGATTGAATCGGTTGTAGAAATGGAAAAACAGATGTCACGCCACATTCCTGCAGCCGAACACCAGCATTTTTTCATCATATGTTTTGTCTCCCTCCATATTCTAATTCTTTTAACAAGCTCACATATCTTTTGGAATGTAAGCAAACACACCCACAAGAAAGAAAATAATTGATACAGTGAGCTTCTTTAAAGAAAGGGTGCTAGAATTCCATTCTACTTGTTCTTACTCGATGGGGTAAGAGTAGGGTCTCAAACGTCAGCTTTCTGAATGACACGTGCCCTTTCAGTTGGCCTTCATCACGAGATGATCACAGTTCACAGCTGGGGGGACCCTGGAGAGGACCTACACACTAGCTCATTGTTCTGCAAATGAGAAGCAGGCTCAGTGGAATGGGCCCAGTCTCCCTATCACACAGCTGGCTGGCCAGGCCTCCTGACAGGGTTCCAGATTCTTTTCACGGTATCTCACCACATCTGTTCTCTTCCCTGGAGATTTTGTTTTTTCATTTTTGGAATTAGGAAAGTAAAGAGGGAGGTGAGTAAGCATAAACCTGATTGCTTCAATGCTTACTCCACATTAGACTACATTCCAGACAAGCCCGTTTTGAAACTTGCACAAGAATGCATCAGCCCTAACTATTTTCCAGAGAGAAATGGGCATGCGGTAAGAAATGGAACTCCTGCCTTAGCTGGTTTGGCTCAGTGGATAGAGCACCGGCCTGCAGACTTAAGGGTCCCAGGTTCGATTCCCGTCAAGGGCATGTACCTTGGTTGCAGGCACATCCCCAGTGGGGAATGTGCAGGAGGCAGCTGATCGATGATTCTCTCTCATCGATGTTTCTAACTCTCTGTCCCTCTCCCTTCCTCTCTGTAAACAATCAATAGAATATATTTTTAAAAAGAAAAAGGAAGTAGAACTCCTACCTCACTCCAGTTTCCGACGACCCAGCGCGCGGGGCTGCGGAGCGGGCGCTGCGGGTAGCTGGAGGCGTTCAGCAGGAAGCCCTCGGCCATCAGGCCGGCTGCGTCCTCCTCGGTGAGGACCGGCCCCGGGCTCTGCGTGGGGCTCACGCTGCCGGGCACCTGGGGGGCGCTGTGGCTTCCTGACTTTTCCGAGGGTGCTGGCGGGTGGCCGCCCCCCGGAGGGAGTGCCGTGGAAGCTGGCTTCCCAGGGGCCGCCCCCTCGGCTCTGGGTGTCCCGGCTGTGAGAGTAGCAGGTCCCTGGCTGGGCGGCCGTCCTGGCACCGTGCTGACCACCGGTGGCCACGGGGATGCCCCCCGAAGAGAGGGCGTTGGCGGAGCTGCCAGGGACACGTCTGTGCTTCTCTCCACGGAAGCATCCTCCCCGGGGGCCGCGGTCCGGGTCCACAGCACAGCGCTGCCGTCAGTCCTGTCCTCGGGGGGCTCGCCGCCGGCCCCCGAGCCGCTGGGGCTCTCGGCGTCCGGCTCCTCGCTCAGGGTGCTGGAGGGCGGGGCCGCCCGCCGGGCCCCGGGGCTGCTGGGCGATGCCCAGTCAGAGCCGCTCACGGTTGTGGCTAGAAGGCCCCCCTCGGAGGTGGGCCCCGGCTCTGAGCTGGGGGCACTCTCTCCCTGTGGCTGGCTGCTCGGCGGCCAGGCCGGGAGGATGGGCTGGGCGGCACCCCCCGTGGGCATGGCATCAGGGGTGTCCAGCTCGGGGTGGATGGAGCTGTTCTGCCACCGTGTCGCACCCAGGTCTCCCTCCCCGGAGGCTGTGGTGGGACGAGGGCTGCTGGTGGCCCTGGTCCCGGGCGCTGTGGGTGTGGGCAGCGATCTGGGGCCAGCTGGGGGCGGGATGGGCTGCTGGGGGTGATGCCCAGAGCTTGGCGGCCTCCTCCCGCTGGGCACGGAGCCTCGGCCGGGGACCAGGAGCCTGCGGCTGGTCGGGCACTGCTGGAGGCCGCACAGGGCCCGGCTGTTGGGCTTCCTCGTCACGTCGCAAGGTTCGTTGTGGTTCTTGGCGCAGGTGACACTGCGCGTCCGCACACCGCCACCGCAGGACACGGAGCACTGCAGGAGGGGACAGCGGTCAGGGGGCTGGTCTCACTGCAGGAGGGGACAGCGGTCAGGAGGCTGGTCTCACTGCAGGAGGGGACAGCGGTCAGAGGCCCTGGTCTCACTGCAGGAGGGGCCAGCGGTCAGGGCCCTGGTCTCACTGCAGGAGGGGCCAGCGGTCAGAGGCCCTGGTCTCACTGCAGGAGGGGACAGCGGTCAGGGCCCTGGTCTCACTGCAGGAGGGGACAGCGGTCAGGGGGCTGGTCTCACTGCAGGAGGGGACAGCGGTCAGGGCCCTGGTCTCACTGCAGGAGGGGCCAGCGGTCAGGGCCCTGGTCTCACTGCAGGAGGGGCCAGCGGTCAGGGCCCTGGTCTCACTGCAGGAGGGGACAGCGGTCAGAGGCCCTGGTCTCACTGCAGGAGGGGACAGCGGTCAGGGCCCTGGTCTCACTGCAGGAGGGGACAGCGGTCAGGGCCCTGGTCTCACTGCAGGAGGGGACAGCGGTCAGAGCCCTGGTCTCACTGCAGGAGGGGACAGCGGTCAGAGCCCTGGTCTCACTGCAGGAGGGGACAGCGGTCAGGGGGCTGGTCTCACTGCAGGAGGGGACAGCGGTCAGAGGCCCTGGTCTCACTGCAGGAGGGGCCAGCGGTCAGGGGGCTGGTCTCACTGCAGGAGGGGACAGCGGTCAGGGCTCTGGTCTCACTGCAGGAGGGGACAGCGGTCAGGGGGCTGGTCTCACTGCAGGAGGGGACAGCGGTCAGGGGGCTGGTCTCACTGCAGGAGGGGACAGCGGTCAGGGGGCTGGTCTCACTGCAGGAGGGGCCAGCGGTCAGGGGGCTGGTCTCACTGCAGGAGGGGACAGCGGTCAGGGGGCTGGTCTCACTGCAGGAGGGGACAGTGGTCAGAGGCCCTGGTCTCACTGCAGGAGGGGACAGCGGTCAGGGCCCTGGTCTCACTGCAGGAGGGGACAGCGGTCAGGGGACTGGTCTCACTGCAGGAGGGGACAGTGGTCAGGGCCCTGGACTCACTGCAGGAGGGGACAGCGGTCAGGGGGCTGGTCTCACTGCAGGAGGGGACAGCGGTCAGGGGGCTGGTCTCACTGCAGGAGGGGACAGCGGTCAGGGGGCTGGTCTCACTGCAGGAGGGGACAGCGGTCAGGGGGCTGGTCTCACTGCAGGAGGGGCCAGCGGTCAGAGGCCCTGGTCTCACTGCAGGAGGGGACAGCAGTCAGGGGGCTGGTCTCACTGCAGGAGGGGACAGTGGTCAGGGGGCTGGTCTCACTGCAGGAGGGGACAGCGGTCAGGGCCCTGGTCTCACTGCAGGAGGGGACAGCGGTCAGGGGGCTGGTCTCGCTGCAGGAGGGGACAGCGGTCAGAGGCCCTGGTCTCACTGCAGGAGGGGACAGTGGACAGGGGGCTGGTCTCACTGCAGGAGGGGACAGCGGTCAGGGCCCTGGTCTCACTGCAGGAGGGGACAGCGGTCAGGGGGGCTGGTCTCACTGCAGGAGGGGACAGCGGTCAGGGGGCTGGTCTCACTGCAGGAGGGAACAGCGGTCAGGGGGCTGGTCTCACTGCAGGAGGAGACAGAGGTCAGGGGGCTGGTCTCACTGCAGGAGGGGACAGCGGTCAGGGGGCTGGTCTCACTGCAGGAGGGGACAGCGGTCAGGGGGCTGGTCTCACTGCAGGAGGGGACAGCGGTCAGGGGCTGGTCTCACTGCAGGAGGGGACAGCGGTCAGGGGGCTGGTCTCACTGCAGGAGGGGCCAGCGGTCAGAGGCCCTGGTCTCACTGCAGGAGGGGACAGTGGACAGGGGGCTGGTCTCACTGCAGGAGGGGACAGCTGTCAGGGGGCTGGTCTCACTGCAGGAGGGGACAGCGGTCAGGGGGCTGGTCTCACTGCAGGAGGGGACAGCGGTCAGGGGGCTGGTCTCACTGCAGGAGGGGACAGCGGTCAGGGCTCTGGTCTCACTGCAGGAGGGGACAGCGGTCAGGGGGCTGGTCTCACTGCAGGAGGGGACAGTGGTCAGGGCCCTGGACTCACTGCAGGAGGGGACAGCGGTCAGGGGGCTGGTCTCACTGCAGGAGGGGCCAGCGGTCAGGGCCCTGGTCTCACTGCAGGAGGGGACAGCGGTCAGGGGGCTGGTCTCACTGCAGGAGGGGACAGCGGTCAGGGGCCTAGTTTCACTGCAGGAGGGGACAGCGGTCAGGGGGCCTAGTCTCACTGCAGGAGGGGCCAGCGGTCAGGGCCCTGGTCTCACTGCAGGAGGGGACAGCGGTCAGGGGGCTGGTCTCACTGCAGGAGGGGACAGCGGTCAGGGCCCTGGTCTCACTGCAGGAGGGGACAGCGGTCAGGGGGCTGGTCTCACTGCAGGAGGGGACAGCAGTCAGGGCTCTGGTCTCACTGTAGGAGGGGACAGCGGTCAGAGGCCCTGGTCTCACTGCAGGAGGGGACAGCGGTCAGGGCTCTGGTCTCACTGCAGGAGGGGACAGCGGTCAGGGAGCTGGTCTCACTGCAGGAGGGGACAGCAGTCAGGGCTCTGGTCTCACTGCAGGAGGGGACAGCGGTCAGGGGGCTGGTCTCACTGCAGGAGGGGACAGCGGTCAGGGGGCTGGTCTCACTGCAGGAGGAGACAGCGGTCAGGGGCTGGTCTCACTGCAGGAGGGGCCAGCGGTCAGAGGCCCTGGTCTCACTGCAGGAGGGGCCAGCGGTCAGGGCCCTGGTCTCACTGCAGGAGGGGACAGCGGTCAGGGGGCTGGTCTCACTGCAGGAGGGGACAGCGGTCAGGGCCCTGGTCTCACTGCAGGAGGGGACAGCGGTCAGGGGGCCTGGGTCTCACCCTCAGGCTGACGACCAACAGAAACACAGTAGGGCTCAAACGGTCACACCTCACCTCTGTTTCTGCTTTGGTGGCTATGCCTTCAGTTTCCCATGGAACTAAGTATCTGCTGGAGACCATCTGAGGCTCAGAACCAACCACTTTCCCTCCACACACAGAAAACACAATCCACGAGGGTGTAAATGAGGTCTCCCTGGGCTCTGAGTGTTGGGCAGTGGATTCACAGAGTGCAAACATTTAAATAAGCCACCTAGTCTTTTAAAGAGACAGTAGTCATCTCTCCCCTAGGGTTTTGATGCTGTTTGATGAACATAAAATGCTTACACATTCTCTGGAGTCCATGAGGTTGGTTCCAATGAGCCTTCCCCTTTCTATGTAGGGAATACCCATCGAAACTCCCCTAGCCTCACCCACCAGCTCCATTTCCGCTCGCCTGTGTCAGTAGAACCCTAGAGAGGCTAGACATGCTCACGCCTGTGTGGAGATCCAGGACCTTTCCTGCCATTTAAAGTGGGTGGTTAATCAAGGGTGGGAGCGACCCTTTACAGAGTGTTCGGTGAGCCCTGCAGCGGTGCTGAGCTACATGGGTCCTGGCAGCGACCCCTCAGCCCCCAGTGTTCCCTCCACGTTCTGCAGGGCGCTCCAATCCTGGCCTGTGCTGGGAGGCTGCATGACCTTTGAAAAGTTTCTATGCCCGAGTTTCTTCACCTGCGCAATGGGGCTTACTAAGGCCACTGTGAGATACTGTCGTGCCCAATATGTATTTGCTATTGATATGTAATTAAATACTGATTGCCAATTTGGCAGTGTCCTTTTGTTGCTATGGAACATTAGATCCCCCCTGCCACACGCGGACACACTTTTTTTTTTATGTCTCTCACATTTGTGTAATCCCTTAGCCCTGGGCTTACAGTGCTCTGTGCATCCAAGCGTCCTGAGTTTAGCTACTGATTTATGGCCCCCAAGTGAAGGAGGCCACAGATCAACTCCATCAGGATATTTGGGTGCCCTTGACTGGACAGAGCGGAGACCTTCTAGCCAGAAAGTAAGTTGGGCAAAACCAGGAGATGAGTCTTGTTGAAACTTGAGATTGGGAGTAGAGGAGGAGGGGCAGGTCACAGGGGGCAGACAAGCCCTCCCTGGCAGACAAGCTCCCACTAGGTCTCTGCTCTGACTAGGTCTCTGCTCTGGTAGATCTGCCTTGACTGAGAAGGGCAGCTCATCAATTAGCCTTCCCTCCTTCTTCCCTCCTGGGGCAGTCCAGGAGGACCATTCTATAGGAGTCCCGGAGCCTCACGGTTCCTGTGTCTTTTGGCCCAGTCACGTGAGAGCTTTAGACTCATCCACGGTGATCCGAAAGGCCCAGTGCAAACCAAATGAGCAGGCATTTCTTCCCATTACCCTGCTTGAATTAAGGTCAACCGCAAGACAAAATCTAGACCATGAATACTATGTATATATATATAGTAAGAATCATTATGTCTTATCTCTTAAAAAGTAGCTAATCAGAGTTAGAATGTCAAAGCCATTTCATTGTATTCCGGCAAACAGAATATGTGATAAATTGAGGGCGAATGGATACAGCCATTAGCAAAATGGCAGAGGGAAGAAAGGAAGACACATTTGATGAGTATTTTGATTCCGATTTAACTACAGGCACCTGTGCTGGCAACATTTGAACGCAGGCAGCAGCTCAGCCTTTCCGCTCTGCCCTGTCAAGTGGAAGCTGGAAACCGCACTCCCTGTCTGCTAACAATCGCCGGCGAGCGCCTGTGTTTGAACAGACGCAAGTACTTGTCACCGCCTGCCAACATGTTGGTCCTTTGCTCCAATTAAGTCACGTCATTTTGCTCCCCATAAACAGGAACACAATAAAAAGAACTCCTCAGCCAAGCATGTAATTGAAGTTCTTTTAAAAAGCATGAGGACTCTGGCAATTAGTAAATTCTACAAGACAAAAATTAACTGCAGCCAAAACATTTTTGGTAAACAGATTTGATGGGCCAGCCGCTATACCCCACTCAGCCTTATTTCAACAGCAGCGTAATTTACAACGCTGGCTCTCCTTGTTCCCTCGTGGGAATAGCAGGGGGAATGTTCTGGACTATTGCTGATAAGGCCACATGCATCAGTGCTGCTATCGGCAGTGCACCTGTATTAGTATGTAGGTACATTTTCTTTACAGGTGTACCTCGGTCTTTTGTTTTTGTCCTCACTCCCCATTTGATTGGAAGTTCCTGCAGTACAGGGACCATACTTGCCATTAAAAAAAAAAAAAAAAAAAATTCAGCTACATGACCTGGACAGGATTAGAAGCTAAATAAGCCCGAGCTGTGACTATGAGCTAATCAATGAAATCGAGTTTTGGAAATAAGGTCATCAAGGTGGCTTGTAGTCAGAGGCGTTTGTGTTCAGTTAGTTATCTTTAGGGGTGGAAACGTTGCTTATACAAAATTTCAAATTCCTCTTCAGTAAACACTTGCAGAGGAACGTTATACGTGATTGAAATCAATCTCATTTACTTATAATAAAATATAATTTTTTAAACAGAAAGGTTTTATCTGAATTGGTCATATTCCTCCCTGACCCATCAAACTTAGTTCTAACTGATTTTCTAATTGATTCTCCTTAACCCAGTGTTTTCCATTTCTCTGAAGGGAGTTCTAAGAAGCGTTCCTCAGACATCCTGGCCAACGGGAGTATTCCTGCGGAAAGCGTGTGGCTTCCTGAGGAAGCCTTTGGGAGGCAGCATCCATGGATAAACTCTGCCCAGCTGGTGGTTAGAAAGCATCTGTCTTCTGTCACTCCTGAGGTCGCTGGCTGAAATGTGCATAAGGAAACAGAGTGGAGCCCCAGGGACTCAGGACCTGGGAGGAAAAGGGGTCCATTTCCACATCAACCCCGTGAGCAGGAGCCTGGGTGTTACCAGGTGCCTTGGTGACCCCAGGAAAACGGAAGCTGGAAGTTTTCATGACCGAGCCCGCTAATCTCTAGCTCCATGCAGAGAATTAAGTCAAGTTAACTTTGGGATTTGAATGCATGTGGTGAATAACAGCGGCCATCCTAAGCCTGGGTCAGGCCTGGCCTGGCCACGTGCCGGAAAGATGGGTGCTTGAGAGGCATCTTGGAGGGTCACCACCTGTCACCCCACCCTCAGAGCAACATTCCCTGGTTTCACTTGACTGGAGTAGCTCCAGGGACACATAAGCACGGCCAGTGTCTCACGCACTGGATCTCGGGGTGGGTGGGAGCCCCGACGTGCCGCCGGTGGTGTAACAACAGGCCGACAAAGCCCTGATGGTTTATCACTGAGCTGCCTGGGCCTGTGAGGCAGGCCCAGCTCTCCCTCACGGGTGTCTGACCACTGGACAAGGGAGAGGAAGAGCCTGTAAGAACAGAAAACAAGCCAATGGGCCGAGACCAGTGTGGCTCAGTGGATAGAGCGTCGGCTTGGGGACTGAAGGGTCCCGGGTTCAATTCCGGTCAAGGGCATGTACCTTGGTTGCGGGCACATCCCCAGTAGGGGGTGTGCAAGAGGCAGCTGATCGATGACTCTCTCTCATCGATGTTTCTAGCTCTCTATCTCTCTCCCTTCCTCTCTGTACAAAATCAATAAAATATATTTAAAACACACACACACACACACACACAAAAACAAGCCAATGGAATCCCGGGCAGTGGGGAATGCAGGAGGCAGGCCAGAGGTGCGATGCTGGCCACTGGACCATTTTCCTCTAGCGCCGTGGTCAGCAAACTGCGGCTCGTGAGCCACATGCAGCTCTTTGGCCCCTTGAGTGTGGCTCTTCCACAAAATACCACGGCCTGGGCGAGTCTATTTGGAAGAAGTGGCGTTAGAAGAAGTTAAGTTTAAAAAATTTGGCTCTCCGAAGAAATTTCAATCGTTGTGCTGTTGATATTTGGCTCTGTTGACTAATGAGTTTGCTGACCACTGCTCTAAGGTCACTTGGATTGACGAGGAAGAGGAGGGGCTGGTGAGGGTGGGGCACGGATAATGCCAGTCTCCCTTTGGACCCCTGGGCTCACCTCACTCCAGTTGCCTACGGTCCAGTCCGATGGACACAGGATGTCCCTGTTGCAGGACACGAGGGCCTTGGGCTTCAGCAGGTGCCGACAGTTCGTGGCCGGCAGCGCCCGCTCATCAGAGTCCATGGTCTGGATGCACAGCACCATTCGCATCTTCTCTCCGTGGGGCCCACATGTTGCCGAACATGCTTCCCACTGCCCTGCCCACCACCTGCAGACACACATGGACATGTGAGAGAAGATCTCCCAAACCCCCGTTACACTATTGTTAAAGCAAGCAAGTTAACTTAATTCCTTTTCTTTAATCCCTTGGTGACTCTGCATGCTTGACTTCAATGTAGTCAGATTTTTCTGCTTGCTTATGTCATTTTCATTGTGTTTTGATGTGTGGGAAATACTGTACATTTGGGTAGACTTGGAGGTTCAGTCTTAGCATGAGAACGTGTCCATTCTGAGGTCCTGGGCAGCAGCATTATGTGGTTGTACTGCTCAGCAGACAGATCTGGGTTCAAATCTAGATTCTGCCCTTGTAGGTAATCGCGTGGTTTCCTAGCTTAGGAGCTTCTGTGAGCTGGTGGAGGGATCGGCTCTCCCCTTCCCCAGCTTTTACATCATGCCTGCCGTAAGTCGCCGCTATTAATTCCTATAACAAATCACCTCACACTTGGCAGTTTAAAACAACAGAAATCTAGTTTCTTACAGTTCTGGAGGACAGACATCCCGTCAGTATTACTGGCATGAAGCTGAAGTGTAGGCAGGGTGGCACTCTCTCCGGATGCTCTGGGGAAGGCCTGCTCCGGCCTCTTTGGGTCTGGGGTGGCTGCCAGCATTCCTTGGCTTGTAGTTCCTCATGCTGATCTTAAAGGCTAGTGTCTTAGCGTCTTTCAAATCTCTCTCTGCTCCATCTTTGCATTGCCTTCTCGTGTGTGTGTGTGTGTGTGTGTGTGTGCGCGCGCACGCATGTGCATGTGCGTGTGTGTGTGTGTGTGTGTGTGTGTATTTTCCCTCTGCCTCTCTCTTATAAGAACACTTGTGATGACATTTAGGGCCCAAGTGGATAATCAAGAAGGATCTCTTCATTTCAAGACTCTTACTCACATCAGCAAAGATCCTTTGCCAAGTTTGCAGCTGCGGGAACAGGACATGGCTGTCTTTGACCTAGTTTCCAGCCACCCCATTCAGGGCCAATGTCCAGTCCCGAGAGCTGAGACTGTTAATTAAGAGTTACTTTGTCAGGGCTCCTCCTCTGGGTTTACAGGGGTTCATCCTTGGCTCCTTTTCTGCCCACCGACCTCTGCACTCTTGCCCAATACCCATCTCCTTCGAACTCTGCCTGTATCTTATTATAGGTTTATCTCAAACCAGAAAGTTCTGGAAATTGTAGGAAGAGATAAGCACCCTCGTGGAAATGGAATTCTGGAAAGAGTGAAGTCCAGTTTGTAGCTACAGGTGAATAAGAAAATGTCAGATACAGGCTGATGTCTGTTATAAAACAGAGCATCAGCTGATAGCCAATCCACAACCTCTGACCCCATCGTTTTCAGGCACACAGCCTTGGCCTCAGCACGGGAGTGTGTGCATGAGATGTTTTGGTTCCCACCACACCGGCACAGCGCTTGCTTCGCTTCAGACCCAGCCTGGAAGAGAGGACGGGTGCCGCCTCCTGTGGGGGCATCTGCTGCTCACAGACCTGCTGCGGGCTTAGGAGCTTTGGATTCCAACCTCGGCCATCCCAGCTGCATGATGTGCGCGAGGCAATGAACTTGCCTTCCTCTATCAAACTGGCACAACCACAGCTACTTCCCAAGTAACCGAGAACAATAACGGGAACATATCAGGCCTCTCTAAACCGTTGCCAAGACTGAAGGAGGCACTTAAAACACCCCTACTGTTTACTTCTCTTCCACTTCCACAACTGCTGTTTCAACACTGAGCACTTCTGACCCCAGCTGTTTGGCCTGCAGGGCTCCATCCCACCGGACTGCCCACGTCTGCCCTTCACACACCCATGGCAAGTCCGTGTTGGCCCCTGCGCTTCTGACCTACTGGCTAGAAATAGAGGGTTCCCATGCTCCTCCCCTGCTCCGGTAATCTGCCGGTGGCTCACAGAGCTCAGGAAACATCTGATTTGCTAGATTACTGGAGCAGCATTAGAGGAGACGCTCAGGAACATCCAGAAGACAGAGGCGCAGGGCACAGGGCACAGAGCTCCCACACCCTCTTCAGTACTTCCCTGTGGCTCAGCACCCAAAAGCTCTCCTTATTTATTTATTTATTTATTTATCTATTTATTTATTTATTGGAGGCTTCATTACATCAGCACAACTGATGAAATCATTGGCCATTAGCAAGTAACTCAACCTCCATTCCCTCTCTCCTTCCTTATCCTTCCTTCCTTCCTTCCTTCCTTCCTTCCTTCCTTCCTTCCTTCCTTCCTTCCTTCCTCTCTCCCTCTCTCTCCCTCCCACCTTTCCTACCTCCCTCTTATTCTCTTTTTCTTTTTAACACAAACCCCTCATAATACCATCCAAGCTACCGTCTGTGACCCCAATATGATTAGTAGAGATTAACCTCTCTATTAATGTGGTTCCCACCACGGGTGACTGTTCCACAGCAGACATTAGGAGGCCTTATGGGTGTCATGGGTGTGGCCGGGAACACTGTTAGGCACCCTACAATGCACAAGCCAGCCCCCCACAGCAAAGGATTATCAGCCCTAGGTCTCAACAGGGCCGAGGCTGAGGAAGCCGGGGTTGTAACCCTGCTCCTCCAGGCAGGGTGGGTACCGTGGGCACCGGGACCGAAGTGTCCACGTGCTGTCTGGAGGCGGCTGTCCCCCAGGGAAGATGCTCTCGGAAAAGCCACAGGCAATAACGGAAGCACTTTTGGGTGACTAGAAAGCACTCTCCTGAAACTGGTCTTCCTAGAGAATCACACACAGAGCACACAGCTTAGCAGCCAGCACCGCTCTCTGCGGGGTGTCCTCGCTCACAGTGTCCGCCAGCTCCAGCAGCGTAGCCAGGGGGGCGGTGAGGGCTCCCCGTACTGACTCTAACAGCCCGGGCCCCCGGTCACCGGGCAGTGTGCAAGGCAGATCAGCGCTCCAGCTGCCGGCGGGCTCACCTGGGCGGACAGTCCTTCTCCCGGCACTTCTTCTGCCTCCCGTTGGGCTGTGTCTCTGGGTCACAGAACGTGGCCTTCACCATGCCGTGGCCCTTCCTCACGCAGTGGGCCGTCTGGCGGCGAATTCCTGACGGGGAAGGGGAGACAGGAAGGTTCACACCCATTCAACCCAGCCCACACCACATGCTCGGTGTCCGGCCCCGGTCATGCCAAGGGCTTGTGCTCATAGCTGATGGGAAAGCTGTCCAGAGGCGTTTAGTTCTTAACGTGGGGCAAGTTCCGGCTCCTCTTAGTGGCCCCGCTCCCGCTGCAGCTGGCAGTGCATGGAGGGACCGGATATGCAGGTGGACTCATCTATAGCCTAACACACATGTTAGATTCCAGCTGTGGGGATCAGACTCACACACACACACACGCCAAATAAAAATCGGAGTGAGATTTAAAGAAGGAAAGCAGACATCGCCGCCATGTGTCCCAACCCAATTGCTATGTCACGTGCTTAGTACGGAAATAGAGGAGGCAGAAGCCTTCCTGTTTGCTGGGCTCATCCATGGAAGACAGGAGTCAAACACAAAACTGTGTGGTGAAGTCTGAGGAGTTCAGCTCTTCAATAAGGTGACCAGATGTCCCGATTTTTAACAATTTGTCTCGTGGAGTTTTAAAAAAGTCCTGATTTTTGGAAAGATCCTTTAAAAATTGGGACTTTTTTAAAACGCCGCGGGATGCGGGACAAATTGTTAAAAATCTGGACTGTCCCGCCAAAAGCGCTTCACGGAGAGGCCTGGCAGCAGGGGCTGAGAAGGCTGCTGCCTGTGGCCACCAGGTCGGGAAAGTACAGAGCGGCAGGCACACAAGCCCCTCTGCAGCGGGGCTCGGTCTCAGACGTAACAGCTGGCCCAGCAGTGCTGGCCTCTGCCAGGTGTGACCTAACCCAGGTGTGCCCCAGACAAACACAAACAGAGAGAAATGTGGTACCTATGACCGATTTCAACATAAAACCGCAGCCTCATAACAACCCAATGAGGCCAACACTGTCACCACCGCTACCTGACAGAGGGAGAAACTGAGGCCCAGTGAAGGCCCACGGGCTGGGCAGGGGGAAGGACCCTGGCCTTGCTAACGAGGATGTCATTTGCAAGAGAACTTGAGGAGCGGCCAGAATGTCCTGTCCGAGGTGAAGGGATGGCAAGGAAAAGTGTCAGCATCCCTCGGAGAGAGAGGACACTTCAGTGCTGAATGTGAAGCTGGGGTGAGGAGACTGAGACCCCGGGGGACGGAGCCACCGGCTCGCATAAGGCAGGCACCCGCAGGCACCGGCCTGGAGCGCGCTCAGGGTGCCCGGAACTGGAAAGGCCCGCGTACCCCAGGAGACGGTCACCTCCTCACCCTCCTGGCAGGACGTGGAAGTGGCCCGCTCAGCCACACGGCCAACAGCACCTGAACTGCACCAGGCCTCCACAGCCGTCCCCTCCACCTGTCTCACTGGTTCTCAGCCAGCCCAGAGGCCCAGGCTGGCACCTCACCCTTCCCTGAAAACATCGGAGGGAGCTGCAAATAATAAGAAAACCCTTGAAGCTAGCTCAGTGGTTCAAGCATTAGCCCAAGTACCTGATGGTCTCAGGTCAAGGGCATGCACCTGGGTAGCAGGTTCAATCCCCGAGTGGTAGGGGTGCATGTGGGGGATAACTGATGTGTCTTTCTCACATTGATGTTTTGATGTTTCTCCTCCTCCCTCCGTCTCTCCCACTATCTCTAAAAAAAAAAAAAAAAATATCCTCGGGTGAGGATTAACAACAACCAAAAATATTCTTTAAAATGACTCAACAGCAATATATTGTTAAGCAAAACAGTATTTTTATCCTTTTTGAAAACAGACGTAAGCTTTCAACTATGCAGGCTTTCTCAACTGATAGACGATGTGTTATTGTTATTTTGTCATACAAATAAACCACTTTCCTCAGCTGGAAGCAACACTGGAAGGGGAACTTTGCTGGCGAGTCATTGTTTGGAAAGACAAATTCCCTCAGAGCATCTCGCATCTCGGACCGTGAGTGGAGAGGGATGGGAAAAGGGCTGACACTGGAAAAGCTGGCATGTACCTGCCACTGCAATGTAGAAAAGAGAAGAAGTGTAGATACGTAGAAGTTTTATTAAAACATTGGGTCGTTTGGCAAGCTCTTGATTTCAGAAAATCAAAGGAAGCGAGCAGGTGACTCGCAAAGAGTTCGGAAACATTCCCAAGGCTTGCTTCTGCGCAGGGATGGCAAGGACCAGTGTGCTCAGTGCTCCTGGCTCTAGGGGGAGGAAAGGGGCACAAAACATGAAACGAACCCCCTTCAGGACGATAGTGACATCACCTGGGTCAATCTGCTGGGCCAGCAGTGAGGGAACAGACCCACTGGCCAGGTACTTACTGTCGAGTGCATAACTGAAGATTAATAAGGATGTATCAGTGTTTCTCTGTTGGAATGAATGGTCTGAACTGATCTAACAGTTTGTGCAAAAGAATAATGCCAGCAGCATAGTTGATTATGTATGTTTATGTGTATATCTTATGTGTATATGTGCTTATGCATTCTTATACATAGAGACGTGAGTGACAGCAATGACAGAAAGGGTGGGAGGTAGCAGGTAGGGTGATTTTATTATCTTAAGGGACTCATGCTACCCAAGAAGTGGGACAGTGTTATCTGGAAGTGGATTCGGATTAGCTGTAAATGTACACTGTAAGCTCGAGGCCGATCACTAAAAGAAGTAACTTGGCCACCCCAGGTTAAGGGTTGTCATTAGTTCATTCACAAAGTACAGACCTCCACTGCATATCACTTGAAGTTTATTTTATATGTTTAAGCAAGTGATAACCCCCTCATTCCATAGCACATGCTTAATTAAGCCCATCTCAATAAATCCTCCTATTATCTTCATGCAGTCCTACCTTTAATATAAACCCTCTAGCTATTGTTAGAGATCAGTATCTGGACTTGGCTGGTTTTCCATGACAATGACAGTGGACAAAGTCAGATGGATTAGCACCAAGGTCTGTTGAGACAGTAAAAAACATATCTGTCTCCGGTTTTGCAAGGAAGTGAATTCTGTCTGTTACACATCAGCATGTGGTCACACATCAGCATCTGGTCACACATCAGGGATGGAGTGGAACATGTGTTCCCATTTATGGTTCTCCTGTTGTGTCTACATATTTGGCCAAATCTCAAACCACATGGATGGCTGAGCTTTCCGAGGAGTGCTGTCAGATACACCCTGTAAGGATGCTTCAATACCCCTACCCACCTGGCCCACACGGTTTGCTTCCAATGAACACGATCTAGTTTCCCAGGTGGCTTAGGACAGCCTGAACCATCTCTAGGAGTGCTGCGTGGTCTTTGGGATTTTTGCTGTTTGCCTTTTTCCTACTGGAACACGATGCTCCTTCCACAGAGGGTCAATGGCGACCTCCAGGGAGCATCCAGCCACACGGGGGAGGGAACGCCTGCAGCTCCCGGCAGAGCAGGGACGCGTGCTCCCCTTTGTGCCGCTGTCGTGCCTGTAGCCTCGAAAATGCAGAACAGAGGTGTCCGCAGAGCACACACCAGAGAAGGTCACGATCAGAAGTGATGACCCATTTTCTAACAATGGCGCCGTCAGTACGCGTTTTATAAGAAACAGGAAATGTCGGCTAGAATGGGTGACAGCTGACTGAGTGCTGCAGTATTAGAGACGCGATGGGGCAAAAGGGTAGTGGCTTTTACATCTTTACAAAAGCAGTCTATGTTCTTGTGTAATGAAGAGTCCTGAAGCTTCCTATGGAGCCCAGCCTCTGGGCCAAGCCATTTCTGCAGCTGTTTCTTCCCAGATGACCCAGTGGTTGGACTTTCATGGCTGATCTTTTGAAGGACAACTCAGGTGAATTTTCCCAGCAAGCCTTTCGTCATGGGTGGTAAGCACTTGTGATTCCAACTTTTCCTGGAGGACAGCTAGTCCTAAATTCCCCCAGGCTCACCCCAAAGTCAGCCCTGGGGGTAAGGCAGGAGGGAAAGCATGTGAGGCTGAGAGGACAGAGTGGACATGAGCACGGAGACAGGACCGTCGCTGGGCTCCATGGAGGGTCCCCTTGACCTCTGAAAAGTGGGCTATGGAACAGGCTGGCTTTGTGACATTTCGCTAAGTTTATAAGATTGTGTTGCCAGTTTTTAGCATGGATTTATGATTTGGGAGTACTTTTCAACTTGCTGGGTTTTTTTTAAAAAAATTAGTTTTTATTGGTTTTAGGGAGAGAGGAGATTAACTGAAGGTCTTATACGCATACTAAATGCCCAGTGCATGACCAGTGGGGTCCCTTGGTCTAGCCTGTGTCCTCTCTGAATCCAGGGCCTCTCGGGGGATGTTAGAGAGCCAGTTTTGGCCTGATCCCTGCAGGCCAGGCCGAGGGACCCCACGGGTGCACGAATGCGTGGCACTGGTTTGGTATTAGTTTCTTAACATTATTGTAATATTTATACTTTGTGAAACTAGCAATTCCATGTGCAAAATAACACTAACAAGATCATCCTTTGCAAGGGTTAACCATTGCCTGAGTGAGCAGAGGCAGTGCTGAAGGACCAGGCTGTATCAAAACATGATGCTGACTCACACTTCGCAAGGAGGCCACATGCCTTAGCCAGCTAGGGGTGCACCGTTATGATCACTGCACGAATCGGCCAGTTCCCTTGTACTCCCCATGCTCTGACACATGCCTGTGCAATGCAAAGGGCTTGTTCATTACCGTTAAAGTCCCCCAATGAGCATACGGCCCTGAGCCCCGCCCTCGTGGGCCCTGGACAGGCTCACGGCGCCCCACAGTGGGAGAGCCGTGCTCTCCAATGTCTACTCGCTCCTCTGAGTTCCCAGCCCCTCTGTGCAGGGAGATCGTGCCCAGAGAACTAAATCCCACAATGAAACATGATCAGGAGTGATGTGTGTCCATTCCAGGCCAAGGCCCTTGCTGGGAGGTGGTCTGCCTCTCCCATTTCTCTCTTCCCCTGTGGGGCCCGCTGGAAACCCCGCATTTCAGATGTCTTAGCTTGGAGGTTAAGCGGGGCCGCCCAACCTGCCTCAGACTTGGAAAGGGTTAAAAACAAACCATTGTGTTGAATTCCTGATTTTTTTTTTTTGTTACTGTAGCAAAACCTACCCCAACCTCATACTTGACAGCAAGGAATCTCTTGATTTTGTGAAGAAAAACAAAAAAACAAAACAAAAAAAACAAAACACACAAAAAAACGACTCTCCTAGTTGAGCTAAAAACTTCATAAATTTGGGCTAGGAATTAGTTTTTTGGGGGGATTTGGCCACGATGTATAGCATGTCTTTGGGTGTGTTGCTTGACTTTTGTGGTCCTCATGTCCTCAACCAGAGCAGAGGCTGTTTTAAGTCTTTCTGTTTTGGTTTTTAAAAAATACATGGAACCCTTTCCCTAATCAAAACCTTTCACAAAGGTCAGTCTATAAGCCGATGGGAGAAAAACTGTCTCTCCATTTAGACGATGAGTTGTACATTTACTCCTCACGGGGCCCCCTGGGCCATCTCTGGGGAGCCCTCCGGACCATGGCACAGACGGCAAACCACTGGCCTAGATGCCCCCTGGCCCGCTTGGAGCTGACGGGGGCTCCCAGCGAGAGCGCCGCTCCTCACCTGTGCCACACGTCACGCTGCACTCTGTCCAGCGGCCATACTGCCAGGAGAACGTCGGCTTCTCCACGTCGTTGTCAAGGCCATCTTTCCGGATCGTGTACTCATACTTGATGCCAGGGTTAGGGACCAAGAACAGAAGCTAAAAGGCAAGAAGAGAGGGTCGGGCCTAACAGTCACGACTTCACACTGGAAACCACAGTCACGTAACAATGCTGCACCGTGTCCATCAGCTACAAGGAGTTACGAAGCAGGCACTGGAGCAAATGCCAGTAAATGCCGGTGCCTCTGTGCCCCCCTGTACACCTGATTCACCTATATCTACATTTAAACCCACCAACCATCACCCTCAAATAAACAGCCTGTGCCAGCCACGCTGGAAATGGAAACCAGTCCTCCCAACGGATGGTTTTAGGGGCTCTGGCATTTCATTATGGGGGTTTCAGCCACTTGTAGTCAATAAAGGATTGACGGCACAAATTAATATCTTGCTTCCCATCTGTTCCTTAGTAGAAGTTTTTTAAAAAGAAATATTTTTATTGATTTTAGAGAGGAAGGGAGAGGAATAGAGAGAAACATCAACGATGAGAATCATTGATCAGCTGCCTCTGGCTTGCCCCCTACTGGGGATTGAGCCCGCAACCCAGGCATGTGCCCTTGGCCGGAATCGAACCTGGAACCCTTCAGTCTGCAGGCCGATGCTCTATCCACTGAGCCAAGCTGGCTAGGGCAGTAGAAGTTTTAAGCATTCTTTAGTCGTGTCTCCTAGCAATTAGGAGAAATTAGAAAAATTGGAAAAATTGGGAAAAATTAGAAAAATCCGAACGGAAGTTCATGTAGCAGTTCCCTTTCTGTGTTACCTGGAGCCACAGGGACTCGTTGGTGGGGCCGGCGGCCATGAGCTTCTCCTGGTCTCCGTTCCTTTCGTACTGAAAGACGGTGCCCGCCAGCTTGTAGTTCCCCTTCCACTGGATAGTGAGGGCTCCATTGAGGTAATACTTCTCAGGGTCTTCGCTTTTGAGGGCCAGGAAGTTCCCAGCTCCCTTCACCTCTATCACCCGGATGTCCCGTGCTCCCTTGGGGATCAGTCCGATGTCCACATAACCTAAGAAGAGAGGACACGACACGGTGAGTGAAAGAGGCGTGCTAGCTCAGCGGAACACAGCTGGCTCCCGGCACTTCATTCATTCTCATTACGTAGCGCCCTTGGCCTCCTCCTGGGTGGGCACTGGGGTTGACAGAGGTACGGAGTATGGAGAACTTTAAAGAGCTGGGCCACCAGCAGAATTCTCAGGAGCTTTGTGACTCACAATGTAAGCAATTTTTCGAGAAGTGAAATAAACGCAGATTGTACTCTGAAGCTTTTGAGCTTGACCCAGCATTTGTTTTTCGGTGATTTTTGTTGATGGCTCAGACATTTACATCCCCTAGCTAGCTTCTCCGTAGCATCTCTGCTCCCCAAGTTTTTGCTGCTGCCAGAGTAAGCATCCTAACGTTGCGTTGGCTACATCCTTTTGCTCATCCTCAGTGCCTGCAAGTAAAGATGGAGTCTTAGAGGTAATTTAGGCACAGTGTAAGTTCTGCAGGAGAATCTTGGGGGGACTCTTGGGTTGATTGCCACCCTGGTGCGCTTACATTCGGCCTGTGATGAGGAACGTAGCCCTGAGCACAGCTTTTTATTGCTAGACAAGTCTGCTCATTACAGAGTTTCTTCTGAGGTTTGCTGAAATATGAACTTATATTTTACTCTCATGTGTTCTAATCCAGCCTTCTAAAAAAGCACTGAGGACATCCATTTAGCGACGATTATCTATTCTAGCCAGTCTTCCTGCTTCCTGGTTATTCGTGGTAGGAGACACACTGGAGAGGTAAGTGCCGGAAACCAATCATTGTCACTAATAGAGAGACGTGGACAGGGAATCCGGAAGGCTGGTCAACCTTAAATGCTCTGAAAGGTCGGAGCTAATCTCTCATTGCTTAGTTGAGACATTGGTAGCTAAAGCAGCCTCCACCTGTAGTCTTATGTTAATGCTTGCTGATTGGCTATTATTGAAATTTCCTGCCTAAAGGATATGAGTATATCCCATAACCTTAATAAAGGGGATAGCAAAGCCAGAGCGGGGTGTAGTCCTCCCCACCGAGGTGGAATCCCGCCTGGCCCTCAATATTCCCAAATTAATTCTTTTCTAGCCTCTTTCCTTTGTGTGCAGCTTTCTCTAGAACCGGAACCCTGAACCACTGGGGACATGAAAGGGGTTCCTACAGAAAAGAGCTAACATTTCCTCTAAGCACACATCCTGACTGTGCTTCTTAAGAACCATCCCTTATGCACGTGACGAAGTGGAAGGGACGTGGATTGGGGGTGGCACTGGGAAGGGAGCACTGAGGCAGGGGGCTCAGAACACTTGAGTTCTAGTTTCTGTGTTGCCACATCCAAGCTCATGACGTCCATGGATTTATTTAACTCCTTACCATGACAGGGTTGACTGAGATGACGCCTGATGATCACCCAGCACTGGGATTCCATTATTTGGCCCTTTTCTCAGCCAAACACCCGTTAGTCCTTCAGCCTCTCTATGCAAACGGTGGTTGGAAGAGCCTGGTCATCCCGGCCCGTTTTCCACTGAACACACTCTAGGTTTTCAGCCTGACAAGCAAACCCGCCTCTCTGCCCCCGAAAGTGCCCACTGCTCCCAGCACGCGGATAGGGAGCGGCCAGGGTGCGGCCAGCTCCGCGCAGGCTGGGCCGCGGGAGCGACTCGCGCAGGAGTGGGTACAGGCCTCACCTTCAGTCCCAGGCTCCCCACTGGCAGCTCCGATCCAGAGGAACCCACATGGGGGTCGGGTCGTAACTCCATTTGGCCGTCACTCACTTCGCTGAGACGGCAAGTGAAAACGACCCACTTATTACTAACTCCGTGCAAACATTTACCACGTGCCACGGAGGCGAATGTCGTTGATAAAAATGCCTTTGACACACTGCTACCTGCAGCTACTTTATGACAGGACATTGCACAGCGTCCCAGCCAGGAAACCAACTGGTTACCACCTCACTCCTTCTCTCTCTCTCTCTCTCTCTTTCTCTCTCTCTCTCTCTCTCTCTCTCTCTCTCTCTCTCTCACACACACACACACACACACACACACACACACACACACACGAGACAACTACATGGAAAAGCAACAAAAGCGTGCTTTTTGTTTTCCACTTAAGAGCAAAATTCCACAATTTTAAGTCTGTACCATGGGTGGGTTCTGCCAAATTGAAAGGGCTGAGCTTCAAAATCTAAAATCAAAGCTCTCAGCGATGCAAATGCTGCTTCTGACAGAAGATGTAAACTGAAGCAGGTGTAGCCATGAGCAAGAATAAGATGTATTTGTAATATATATTTGCAAAAGCTTACCCAGGAGGAAGGCAAGGATAAAATGATAGTGACTTGGAGTGAAAAATAACCCGGATAAGCTACCCACAGGACTCCTTTGCACAGGATACAAAGGCCGCCCAGAGTGCTGTCTAATGAAAAGGCACATTTCCATCTCCCTCCTCCCTGCCTCCCCGTCCTCTACAGCAAAGACATTACAGTTAATAGTGTATTAAGCTCTCTTTAGCTTTTATGCATAGAGATAATTTTCTAACAAGTAGGACTGTACTCTATGAACTACTAATGATTGCCTTTCAATTTAATGTCTTTTCATTTTTTTGGAGCATTTCAACATAATCCCCTGTTAATGGATAGTTAGGTGGAAGGGAATGGCTACCGACTGCTTTATGTAAAAAAACAGAGGCCTGGTGTACGACATTCGGGCCCTGGAGGGTGAGGGGGTCCCTCAGCTCGGCCTGCGCCTTCTCGTAGTCTGGGACCCCCAAGGTGTCCTTAGCGCTGCTGTGGAGGCAGGAGAGGCTCCCACCACCACTGCTGCGCTCGCCAGCCATGAGCCCAGCTTCTGGCTGAGCAGGGCTCCCCCTGTGGGAGCAAACTGACCACCAGGGGACAGCTCCTGCATTGAGTATCTGCCCCCTGGTGGTCAGTGCACATCATAGCGACTGGTTATTCTGCCGTTTGGTCGATTTGCATATTACCCTTTTATTATATAGGATGAGGAACCTGAGTTCCCAAGAGAAGAAATCTATGCATCACACAGCAAGGCTCAGAGTATATGCACCTCTACTCAAGGTTTACTCACCCCTAATCTAGTATTTAAACGGGGAAATGTGGTTGGCGGAACAGAGATAAAAAACAAATCCTCTTGTATATCTCATCCTCATGGGCCTTCTTTACAGAAATGAGAATAATTAAATAGTTGGAGGAGTATAGGGTCATTGAGACGTTTATTCTACAATATTTCAAGAGAAGGCTTTAGGGTTATACTTTATCTCTAACGTCTCTATATCAATAAAAGCATAATATGCTAATTAGACCAAACAACCTTTCGGACGAGGTCAGGGCTGCTGCTGTGAGGGCTGGGTTGGCAGCTGGGGCTGCCACCTTGGACCTTGGTGCCCCTTGCACGAATTTCATGCATCAGGCCTCTAGTTAAAAATAATAAACATATTAATTCAGTTAAAGCACTTTTCTCCCATCTTCCCCATTTTGCATTATTTGAAAGTCACAATCTGCTAAAAAACAAAACCAAAACCCAGCCATCAATCCTGCCCTCCATTCTCAGTCCCCTGCCACTTCAGTTATTTATTTGTTTGTTACCAGTTCCTGTTTTCTGTTTAAACATCTTCCTCACGGTGTGGCAGGCAGAGCCGTCCCCAAGGCACACTCCACAGCGATCCTCTGTGGCGTTGGAATCGATCTCGTAGTCACAGCCGACCATCTGCAGGAAGAGGGGTGGAGGGTGAAGGACACGAGCAGGAGGCGTCACACCTGCCTTGGACCTTGGACTTCCCTTTGCCCCTTTGCTCTTGCGCCATGACCTAATGCACCTAGAATGTCATCATTTCCTTCCACAGCTCCTTGGCAAAGGTGGAGACCGGGAGAATGCCTGGTTCTGTGGTGAGATAGATTCCCAGCCAATGAAACGTAAAGTGAGAAGATAGGAGATATTCATGCTTAACTGAAAAGAACTGGTCTCGCCATTTAAAGAGTGGGACAGCAGCAATAAATCTTTTCTCACCATAATGCTCCTGGCCAAGAGATAGGATCTGAAATTCTAAAGAGAGATCTGCCCAAGAGAAATTGATTTTTGGTGTTCAGTAGATCACAAAAGTAGCCCAAAAAAAGAACCTTGTGAGAGAACAAAGAAGGTTCCAGAGAGTTTCCAAGAGGAATGGGAGAGGGAGCTGACTTAGGACAGGTAGAAAGGTGATCAGATGAGGGTGAGGACTCAGATCCTTCAGATATTGACTCTGAAAGGGCACAAGTTCACAAACTTCTTTATTTTAGGAAGTACACAGTGGGCGGACAGTAAGACCAAAAAAGGGCTGTGGCTGGGTTGATAAGACCCGGGATCCTGGAAGGAGAGGCTGGTGAAAGGCTCAGACAGCTGATGTGATAGGTCAGGACATCTGGGCTCTTTGGGAGAGACCTTGGTCATAGCCATGATGACTGGGAGAAAAGGGAGGAGCAAAGGAACTGATGGTCAAAGAATGGGTCCCAGGAGAAGGACGAGAGGGCTGGCAGGTGAGCAGGCTGCCCTAAGACAGCCGGAAGACAATAGAGCTGGGAGAGAGTGAAAAAAATGCCAAAGTTTACATTTATCTATTTGATAAACAAGCTTAGGAGTTCAGTACAATTTTAAAAAGTGGGGCATATATAGCTATCTCCTAGTAAAAATTCATATTTAACATGCCAAATCTGTTTATCTAACATGCCAAAACGTTTGCAAATATAATTTCAACATAGAGAGGAATATATGAGCAAAAGCATATATAATAAATATTTTCATATCCACAAAGAAGATGGATTTGACACTGTATACATCTATTTTCTGATGGTATTCAATTCCTTCTAAATAAAACAAACAAACAAAAAAACCCCCCAAAAACTCTGTAGTAAATGAATAAGATTAACAAAGCTAAAATGTCTACAACCTGGACCTTCAAAAGATAAATGGCATTGAGGTTATTAAAGGAAATTTATTGGAGTAGTTTTTCAGCTTAAAAACTTAGCTCAGTGTGGTATAGTGGATAATTACACCTTCTAAAAGGCCTTAACTGGTTTCCAGGAAGAGGAAGGCAAGCAGAGAAAACATGGCGTAGCTCATTAAACTGATTTCATTGGTTTTTTAAGAGCCTTGTGTTTTATTCAGAACACCTAGGTTTTCTGTCACACGCTGCTATGCCGCCTCTATGCAGGCAAAGGTGCTCAGGCCTAAGAGATCATTCTAGCACCCCATTCATTTCTTGGTGGGATAAGTTCTCAGCTTTAGCTCTAGCTACGCAATCAGCCCTAGCTGCGTATGGGGGAGTTTCAAAAATATCAATGGCCAGCCCCAAATTCCAGAGATTCTGAATGTTGAGGTCCAGCCAGATGGCAGTGTTTAAAAGCTCTGGCTGTTGGAATTATAGGCACCCGGGTCCGAGAACCACGATTTGGATAGTGGTGGGCTGTTTTGGCCTGGATTCACTAAACAACCCCTTCCCACCTGGGGAACACATCCAGCCTAAATCTTAGCAGTTAACTTTGGCTCGTTGTGGCTACGGTGATAATTAATGAGTCTGAAAGGAATTTCGCCTGAGCTTTTCCAAATCGAGAGTCTGATTAAGTCTGGCTGTTCATCACTCATTCCTGGAATCAACATATCGCCTCCTGTGCTTCAGTCAGAACGGGAATAAATCAAAAGGCGACTTCACGGTGGTAAGTGCCCTCGCAGGGAGCTGAACATTCGTGGGCAGGAGCTTCTTACAGTGGCAATTTGGTCCCATAGGGAAAATACGACAAATATTTGCAAAAGCAAATAAAACGCATTAAGAGTTTATTATGTGCCAGGGCTCTGTTACAGGCTTAACATAGATGACCTTATGTCAATCTTTTTGACAATCACAACTAGAAAGATAAATATATATGGTATATTTTAATTGAATTCAAAGAGGAAAGCAGAGGGAGAGAGAGATAGAAACATCAATGATGAGAATCATTGATTGGATACCAACTGGGATCGAGCCCACAACCTGGGCATGTGCCCTTTACCAGAATCAAACCTGGCACCCTTCAGTCCACAGGCCAATGCTCTATCTACTGAGCCAATCTGGATAGGGCTAGAAGGAAGTATATATTAACATTTCAATTTTATTAAAAAACAAAACAAAACAACTGAGCCTTAGAAAGATGCCCAGGGTTACAGAGCTAATAAATAGTGGTGATGAGTTCCCATTCTGGAGCCCAAGTGTGACAGCATTATGCTTTGCTAACAGTGAGTTGGGCATTTCTATAGCATAGCTTTCCTTTCATTGATTGCAAACACCTTCTCTTTAACCTGAGGCTTATGCCTGGGTGTTGGAGCACAAAGCATGTTCATTAGTTCCTTGCAAAACAAACTGTGAGAAATTAAAAGGACTTTTTCACCGGCTGTACACATAATAGCATTAACAAGTCAGTCTAAATAACTTACATAAAAGCAGAGGCAATTAATGGAGTCAGTGAGGGAAAGGTAAATAGAAATCAAACCTGTTTATAGCTACCTGTTAAGCCATCTCTCTTCCTAGGACCATGTCGGCAATCAATGGAAATTAAATGTAAAAGTGCTTCATGGAAAACACTATACAAACTATTATTAATTTTCCTAAAGTTTAACGACTCTGTTGGCAAGAAACCATGAAAAATGTAATGCCACGAAAGTATTCTGTTGCCTTTTTCTAACAATTCCTCCTTCAATTTGGTTCTGTTTCAATGTGCCCCTGCTCCATGCCTAAAATGATATCCCAGAGCCCGTCAACTAACCAAGAAAGGAAGAAGGACAACAGGAGGAAAACGATTCCACTCCAAACTGTGCCTCTGATATGCACTGAGAAGTCTGCCTCACAGACTGAAAATAAAACCAGACCATATGCCAATGCCACAAAGGCTTGAACATCTGACTTCCTGAATTAATAAAAGCACGATTTTATGAAGTTGTAGATTAAGGAAACATACCCAATACCTTACATATGCCATTAATACAGACATTCCTGCTGCTGCCGCCTTCAAAGCAAGGGGTGCCGTCAATGACCGCGTCCAGCATCTTCTCGGAAAAATGGCCGTCGATGGGTCGGCAGAAGAGCTCACAGGGCCGTGCTGCGGTGAGAGAGACAGGTCAGCTCTGCAGCTCAGCGCCCCCTTCCTGCCCCCTGGGATTCTCCTGAACATTCAGATATGACCCCAGCTGTCCTTCTCCTCTCTGGAGACTCCCACCTTTTAACTGGGAGATTGCTTTAAAACGCCCTGCTCTTTGTCATAAATAACGAGACCTTTCAATCCAACATGAGGCTGTGCTTGTAGAAATAAGGCCCGTGCATGAGGGTTAGCCTAGAAATTACATCATGTGAACCACTGATGCAGGACTTCAGGCAAGCACGACACCTGCCCGCTGTCCTCAGCAAGGTCAGCAGACCTCCAGGGGAGGGGTGGGGGAGGGGGGTGTCCTTCTGATAGGGCCAGCCCACCACTGTCACCCACACTCCTGTCATAACCCTACCCTAGCAAGGCTCCCTTATTCCCTTCAAGCCCAACAAGTCCTCAGACACAGATTGAAAGCCACAGAGGAACAAGGGACCTGCTTTTTTTCGGATGAAGTTGGAGGGGCGGCCTCCTTGGTTGCCATGGGACTGTGTACTCCTGGCAGCACGAGAGGAAGGGCAAATGGCACATGGGCAAGGACCGAGGGCCTTAAAACAGAGCACTGGAAAGGTCTCCTTTTCTGTGATAATCATGACCTCTCCCTGAAGAACGGCCCTGATGTCAGGGCTTCACCCCCCATCTTGCTTCTGCACTGCAGAATCATGGCAGCCTTGAGGCAGGGCGGGCGGAGTGAAGCACTGGGCAGTGGGCAGTGGGGTCTTCGTGCTAGCTAACAGTAACCTTCCTGGCAACCAAAGGAGCAGCCACGAAGCCACTGCTGTGGCCCCAGAGCTTGCACTATGACGACCGAAGGCCAGAAGGACCCTCTACTTGAAAGCAGCCACTGTGAATGGAAGGTTCAGGCTGTTTAAGCGTGTACAAGGCTTGCCTGGCCCCGTGTGGCTCAGTGGTTGAGCATCGACCCATGAACCAGGAGATCATAGTTCTATTTCTGGTCAGGGTGCATGCCCAAGTTGTAGGCTCGATCCCCAGTAGGGGGCGTGCAGGAGGCATCTCACCATTGATGTTTCTTTCTCTCTCTCCCTTTCCCTTCTCTGAAACCCATAAAAATACATTTTAAAAGAACTTTTAAAGGGTTTATAAGGCTGTTTATAAGGCTGGGTTTATAAGGCTGTTTCTCTGCCCTCCTCTCTGGCCTTTGTTTTCACGGCGCTCTGGGCATTGCATGACGTGGCCCTAGGACCCAGGACTCTGCAGAAGGAGGCAGTGGTGGCAATGGTTGGTCTTAATGCTCATCATGAGTGCCAGAGAGTCTTTGCCCCAGACATCAACCTCATGGACTCCACAACCTTCACAGCATTGAGTATTTTTCCCGTCTCAAAGGTCCTCCTCTGTCTGACAGCCTTCAGTCTGGGCCATGAGACTGTTTTCCCTCCAGTGTCCAAATCTGTTCATAATGCAGCTAAGCGAAAACTCTGAGACTGATTTACCGGCACCCTCTCCCCCTCACTCATCTCATTAATCCTCCCCCAGTGCTCGAGGGGGCTGAAGAAACTCATTGCCTCAGAGGCTGCATTTTCAATTTGCTGAACCAGGACAGCCCACGTTTTTGGAGGATGATCATTAGAAGTGAGAGGTAAAGCTTGTTAATAAAGATAAACACGTTTCTCAAGTCATGGAAAAGCTTTGATGCCTGTCATGTTTTATGAGTAGATTGCAATTTCACTTTCACCATTAAAAACAAAACAAAACAAAACAAAACAAAACAAAACAAAACAAAAAAAAAACACCAGCCGAAACCAGTTTGGCTCAGTGGATAGATCGTCGGCCTGAAGACTGAAAGGTCCCAGGTTCGATTCCGGTCAAAGGCATGTACCTTGGTGGTGTACAAGAGGCAGCTGATCGATGATTCTCTCTCATCGATGTTTCTAACTCTCTATCCCTCTCTCTTCCTCTCTGTAAAATATCAATAAAATATTTTAAAAAAATAAAACACCAGCCTCTAAAATCCATAGACAGGCAGCTCCACGGGTCTGAGCCCTGTGCAGGCGCCAGCATCCCACTTGGCAGAGGCTTTGCTGCTGCTGCCTTGAAACTCTCCATCGGTTTGTGTCAGAGCTTGGGCTCCGTGAGGGATGTCGGTGGCATCATGAAGCGCGTGTGCAGACAGAAGAGACATGCCTTGTGCACGTCTGTGGGCCCTCACCAGACTCCGAGAAATACTAACCTTTAAGGTGAAGGCCTAACTTAAATGCTGTATTGTTAAAACAAGCTATATTCAACTTAGAAAAGAAGCTCAGTTTAATGGCGAGGCTCAGATTGCTGGAGGGGAAAAACAAAAGCAAAGGAAAACTCCTAGTAAACAATCCCACCGACAATCAACCAAGTAATTAGTTGGACTCAATAATCTTGGGCAGACTAAGATGGCATTCCTTTACTTTCCGGTATGTATATGTTACTGCAGTCCCCAAATATAAAAAAAATGGACTCTGTTGACTAATGAGTTTGCTGCCCACTGGGCTAGTGGGCCATTTAGCTTTCCCTCTCCTAGTGCAGGGGAAAGTGAGAGTGAAGAGGGTTGTGAATGGCTTTAGGTGTCTGCAAACATCCTTATTATTCTATCATTTCCCCTCTTGAAGCCAGATTCCTAGTCTGTGAAATGATAGGCGTGGCAAGATCTCCCAAGCTTTCTGCACATGATTTCTATCTAAACCCAAGGATTCTTGTAATAAACTCTATGCTAGCCACCCAGGTGGTCCCAGGTGCTAGGACTATCCTCCCAGCTTTTGGGAGAGCTGCCAACATCAGCCCTCCATGGTCATCTGGGCTTGAAAGAGCTTTCCTGCCCGGGACACTCACCTCTTCCAGGTATGGGACAGACAGTACCTGGCGACTGGTCATGCTGGGCACACAGACATGGCTCCTCCACCCTGAGTGTGGCAACTCTGAAGACCAAGGCAGCTCCAGAGCTCCCCATGCAGTTGGCGGAGGTCTTTGTGGAGGTTGCATTGCAGCCCACCTTCTCCCCTGCCCAGCCCACTCCCGCCCCTCTCCTTCCACAGTGACCGAACTTCCTGCACGCTAGTCTCTGTCTGTCTGTTTCCTAGGGAATCCGACCCACAACAACTGCTTAAAGATGTCCCTGAAGGATCCTGTCCCATGAGGAGCAGACTGTGATCTGACCTCATGTCAGACCCTCCATACTTGCTGGAAACCTCCTGGGCATTCAGCATTAATTGAGCTTAAATATTTAGAAGCAACAATAGAAATAATGAGCTCACATGAAGAGTTATTGGGTGTTCTGAGAAAATTTAAAAGATCTAAAAAGAAAGAGAGATTCCAAGAAAGTGACAACATCAAGATCAGATACTGGTGGTTTCCTAGTAGACGATGCAGGATATAAACACATTCTATTAACATAGGCCAATGAAGTCCCTGGGAGTCTACATAAGTGTCTCTCTCTCTCTCTATCTATCTATCTATCTCTCTCTCTCTCTGAGTGAGTAGAAAACTCTGCTGTACATTACTTTGTTCTCTGGAGCCTTCTATGGGAAGGTTGGAAGGGTATAAAGTACTTGGTGCCCAGAGTAAGTGCTCCATACTCGGTGGTTGATGTGAATGAGCTACTTGTCACTCATAGAGGTGTCTGTCAACTAAGAAAATGACAGCTCTGTTAAGGTAAGAGTTTGATGGGAAAAGAAATCAACATGCTGGTCAAGGCTGTAGTGACTCCTATTAGCAGGTAAGCCACTCTGCTCGGGTAATAGCAGCAGGGCCTGAAAGAAAACTGTGCAATGGAGGAAGGAGGCTGACAGCCCCGGCGGGCAGTGAGCTTAGCTTAATTCCACCGTGTGGTTTATTCAGCCTCATACTAGTTTCAGATGCAAACCAATCACTCCAACGTGAGTGAAATTTATGGCTACTTTTATAACTCTCATTCTTTAGTACCTAGTCTATGCTACACAAAAAGTGTGCATGTAGTAAATGCTTATAAAAAATGAAAACCCAGTTGAACCAAATCTTTTTATTCCAAGTCCAACTACTCAAGCCATCGGAGTTCAGAACACACAAGCCTGACTCTGCATCTACAGGGAATCAAGGGAAGGGAAATAGTTCTGGGGCAGCTGTGCTATGTGAGTTCTAGAAGGCTGAACACAGAGCAACAGGATCATGGACCCAAGAAGTTTCAACATACAGAGAATGCCCGGAGTGTAAAAAAGGCAGTACCTTTCGTCATTGGTTTTGTTTGTTTGCTTTTTCGCGGTCAAGTATATACACAAGTTTCCTGATACTCAAATGCCTGGCTCAGGAAGCTAAATTGCACCAATAATGAAATGATTCGCTCTTCTAGAACATGGGTGATGCTAAACAATGGGGAGCAAGGAGCAGACGTTGCCCATGACAACCAATAGCTCCAAAGTGGACAAAGCACTCTAGGGTCTTTCTTTCCAAAGAACTGACAATAGCATGTTTATGACAATAGCATGTTCAAATACGTGCTTTTCATTCATAGTCCCACACCTAGGATCCCTCTCGTGTGCTACTACACTGGGATTTCAGAAATGTAAAATCATGAAAAATTTGGTTAGTTATTTTTTACTTCCTGTCTCAAATCTCCTTCGCTCAGGGAAATCTTCCATGTTTCATTCCTCGCGGGAACAACGACAAATAGCCCAGATACTTTCTGATGGTGATCTATAGCTGATGGTTAGTGACCTTCTTCACCTTCAGGAGAGAATGAGTGACTGGCCCTGCGTCAGCGCAGCACCCTTAAGGCTGCATCTCCCACGATGTGCATTCTGTAGATGCTTGCTTTTACTCTTCACCCTTCTTACATCGTCTCGTACACACAAAATGTTCCTTTTGGCCCAGAGCTGGTGCTCATTCATTTCTGATGAAGTCATTCCTACATCTTTCCTTGTCCTGGTCCCTGCCCACGTGGGATGCCTGACTATTCCGATGCCTCTCCTTCTCCTTCTTGCAGTGGAGAGCCTACTCACCCTTAGGATCATCGCCGGCTGCCTTGGAAGCCTTCTCTGGAATTACTGCAAACCCACAACAACCTTTCCTGGACTTCTGCCCAAAATCAGTCAGTTGCACGCACTCATCAACAAGCTCTTACTGAATCCCATGCCCCCCTGACCACCTCACTGCACCTCAGCTGTTTTGAAGAGCCACCAAGTTTGATAAACTTGCTTTTATCTCCTGCAGAGCTCTCAGCACAGCGCTTAGACATATTCAACCTTTCATATTTACTGCACCCCCTAACTGGATCCCGACTTTACCTTCTACAGTACAAAATGTCTAAGGGTACACTTCTCTTTTTGTTGGACTCTGGGGGCGGCACAGACCCTGACATGTGCTTCCTGATCATGGCTGTGGACCTACATCTGGAATACACTGTTACAACTCCTCACCTGGGTTAAAAACTGGAAACCAGTGGTAGAACGCATTCTTGTAGGGCACCGTGTCGAACTCGCTGCACTGCATCTGCCGAAAGGTTGGTGCATCCGGGCGGCAGGGGTGGACGTTGCACAGGCGGTAGCGCTTCCTCTCTCCTGTGCAGTACTTCCCGCCAAACTTCGGTCTGCAGAGGAGACAGAGCTGTCCTGTTAGTTCCCTTCAAGGCCAGCGTCTTCCTTCAAACTCCCCTGGCAGGTGGCCATGCCCACTCCTGCCCGAACCATGACCCTCTCTATCCTTCACACTCCACTTTTAAGTAAATTCTTCCAAGTTTATACATTTTTGTTTATGCTGCTGTCCAGGAACATTCAATCACAAGTGTATAGATAACTATTCTGAAATAGCTTGATCCCTTCCCACAGTTAGTCAGTGAACTGGTCACTAGCTGTATTTTTATATTTGTTTCCTCCTCTTTATTTCCATAATCACCAAACTTGTCCAACCCTAATCCCCATTCCTTTCTCACCTCTATCCATCTTTCTTCTTTTTCCTTATTCAACCTATTGTACACACTCTCATCTGGTTAATTCTTACAAATACCTGAATTATTTTAGTTTCTTGTTTACAATCTGTAGTGGCCACAGAATGAAGTTCAGCTTCTGGAGCTTGGCCTTCAAGGCCCTCATGATCTTGACCCAATTCACTTGACTTCCATATTCCCTTTCATCTGCACACTGCTCCAGTCATACATGCTAATGTATTTTGTATTTCTTTTTTGTGCTTCTGGATAGAACAGACTAACAGATCCCTGGGGTAGTGGGGGAAGAGGTTGACCAAAGAACATATATGCATATGTGTATAACCCATGGACACAGACAATAGGGTGGGGAAGGCCTGGAGGGGGGTGGAGGCTGGGTGCAGGGAGGCAAAGGGGTGGGAATGGAGGGCATTTGTAATGCTGTCAACAATAAATAACTCACTAAACCTATAAATAAATAAATAAAACATAAGATTTGGAACTAAGGTATTGAGGGAACTATAATAAATGCTTGTCATTTGCCTTTTACAAACTGTGACTCTTACTCTTCAATTTAGATGAATGTAAAAATAGGTCAAGAAGCTTAATACATTTTCTACTTACAGGAGGTATCATATGTATATATTTTTTTAAATTATACTTGGGAACTAGTATACCAGGAAATAATGAAATTGAGAATGTAATATATATATATATATATATATATATATACACACACACATATACATATATATATAATATATATATGTATATATATACACACACACATATATATTTATATTTGAAAATCAATGAAATTCAAATTTAATTTATATATACTATTATCATACAAATTTAAAATATGAAAAAAGTAAGCAATTTTTTATTAAAACTTTGAAAGCCACTTGTGAAATAACTTCTTTGAAATTCTTAACAAGCTAATATGGATCTCTAAGGTTTACAAAATCCTTATCTAAAACCATAAAAAAAAAAATAATAATTCCCAGATATGTGCTTAGCTATTTGCTTACCTAAGGGAAGAAAAACATTTTCGCAAAACTGGACATTCATTAGGACTGAAGGAAAGCTGCTCTCTTATCAGCAAACTTGGGTCTGACTGATCTCTCGCTGATGGTGAGATTTACTGGGAGAATAAGCCACATAACCTCCTGGAGGCTTTCCCTTTAAGAGAAATGTGCTTATCTTTCCCAGCGATGGAATCAGCTTATTTATCCAAGCTCTAGCGAGAACCCGGTGCCAGGCCAAAAGGAAACACGAGAGAACCACTAATTCTCCCCGCTCTGTGAATCTTCAGCGTCCCCCCTAATTTCCCTCAGGAGGTGCGGGTCACTGATGCCACAGCGGCCAAGCCGGGTGTCCTGCCGCAGCGCAGGGGGAGGGCAGGGCGGGGCCCCACTCACTCGGGGCTGTTGCAGAGCCTCTCGGCACTCTGGGCCCCGGCCCCGCAGGTCCGGGAGCAGTGGGACCAGGCCGACCAGCGGCCCCAGCCTCCGGGAATGCTCTCTGGCTTCTTCCCCACCGTGATGCACTTGCCAGCCATACACCACTGGGGAGAGAAGAGGAGGAGATGTCAGGAAGCCTCCTGCCCAGGCTGAGCCGAGCCCCCTAGACGTCTAACCCCGACTCTCCTAATCAGCTGCCTACAGCCACGGGTCAGGTGGAGGATAGAGAAGAGCTCATAGAATTTCCTCCGAGAGTCTCGGGCCTGAGGAGCAGAGAATTTCAGGAATTGGGGGCACTGCATGGTACCTAGTTGCAGCCAAAGCAGGAGTGTTACTCAAAGCGCCATTGGCAGATGGTATGCCAGAATGTACATCAATACAGCACTCCTTCTCGGAGCACGTCCCGCTAGGAAAAGCTCATCCGCTCAATGTGCTCTGTCACATAGCTGTTCAGTAACATCACTGATTTACGTTCCGGTACAAGCTCCTTATCTCGCTGTAGACAGCAACAAACATTTTGCAGACTGGTACTGTGATAACACTTCTTTACAGCCCCCGGGGGTACTTCATGCCAGATAACGTTATCCTCTGCTTGCCAAAACCACTACTTTGTTAAGAATTTTAAGTTCTTTCTAGTATCAACAAAAATGTCTCTTTTCCTGTAACTCTACCCAATGTTTTTAATTCTGGCCTTTCGAGTGATTCAGAAAAAAAAAAAAATCCACTCTCTCCCTCTTCAGGGAAATACTTTTAATAACGATCAGTTTAGGAGGGTGAACCATACAAAAATAAAAACAAAAAACACACACACAAAACAAACCTACAACTTGGTTGTTAGAAACGGCCCCACCACCTGGAAAATCTGGGCATGTTTTATCTGCTGCCCTCCTGTCCTCATTATTTCTGATCACTGTGTATTGACCAGGTTCTAACATCTGTGCTGGGCCAGGCCGTCCACAAGCTGCATAAAGATTCCCACCAAAGACTAAAGTTCTAGACCCACAACCACCTGACGGGCTGTGTGGAGTGGCACGGATTGCCTGGGTCCAGGGGAGTCGATAGTAACATCTCTGAGTTTGTGGGCGTCTGGTTAGTCCAGCTCTGTGATCTGCATTCACTCATAGACAGCCGCCCTGCAGGGCCCTCTCCCCCAGAACTCAGTGCCCACCGCCCGCCGCCCGCCTGCCTCAGCCCACATGTCACCTTCTTCTCGCCACACCGGGTCCCATCTGCAGCAGCGTCCAGCTTGGAGCGACAAAAGCCTTTCACCAAGCACCACAGCGTCTGGCAAACATTCTGGAAAACAAACGTGAGACCGCACCTGTTTATATTTCAGCCCCTGCACAAAGCATCTCGGCAGTGACAGTAAACACACACTCATCCCCAGTACGCTCCGCTGCTCCCAGTGAGCAGAGTGGTGGCCTGGGCTCAATGAGAGCTCCTTCTCCTTGTCCAAGTGACAGAAAGGACCCACAGGAGCACTCACAGCTCAAATGTCATCTGGACTGTGTCATAATTCAGCAGCGGTGTGGAGGCCAAACGGGGCAATGAGAAAACGGGGGAGAAAACACATTTCCTGGAAGCTGAGACTGTGATCTCTAGGTGTGTGGCACAGTATCAACGTCCTGAGGTAGGGTAACTGGTGGCATTAGCCATCCAGGGCCAATCCAAAAGCTGCGGACAGAAGTTTACAAAGAGCTGGGTGGCGGTAACTGGAACCTGCTGGCTGAAGGAAGCGGGAGGGGTTGCATCCAGAGAGTCTCCGCTTACTTATTCCTGAAAGCAGCCAGCCTGTTTGAGCTACAGCCCTGAGAAAGGAGGCCACGCCAGGGACACTGCAGCCCAGGAACAGTGGGGTGTAGAGATATTTAGGAGGCAGGGTTGGTGGGACTTGGTAAGCAGTTAGAAGGGAGGGGGAGGGGTCTTTGCATCAACTTTATCAACTCTGTTCAGTTTTGCTTTCTCTGTGTCAGCACCGATTTCCTTCCTCCGCAGAGTCTTCCTCTAAGTCTCCTCCTGTCTTCATCTCGTTGGGTGGCCATGTCTGCATCTGCCTCCTCTCCCAGCGCTGAGCAAAGCCAGAGGCACTGATCCCTGATTTGGAGTGCTCACCAGCTCCATCTCCCTCAGGACACAGCACAGAATCTGGCCTGGGCTCCATGCGAGTTGCTTCTCCTGGTCTATGTGTTCAGAACAATATGTTCACACCGGAGGGCAGGACTCAGAGAAGAGTCAAGATCCAGCTTACGAAGAAGTGAAAGAAGTCAGGGTTTATCCTGGTCTGTGGGGACCTTAAAATCAGAGATGAGACATGGCTAGATTTGTGTGTTGTTTTTTGAAATAACCTGAGAAACGTCGGGGGAAGATTAGGTAGGCGGTAATTACAATAGCGAGGAGAGATGATGAGAGACTGAATCAAGAATGAAGCGGTGGGAATGAGAGACAGGACAGAGCCACAGACTCTTTCGGAGGCATCATCAGATGTTGGAAACAAATACATTGGGGATGAATCTTATTCCGATCTTGGGATCTGGTGGAACTCTTTAACCAGATGGGAAATTCAGGAAAGAGATCAACGTTAGGGATTGCACTGTTTTCTATGAGTTTATAGGTGCGAATAATTGTGCTTATTGAAAAATCACTATAGCATTTTCTTCACTACCACCCAGTTGCAAAGAATTGCTGGCTCCCCAGAATGCCAAGGAGCTAGAGTCAAGGAATAGAAATAACCCAACATCATCCTTCTGCTTTACAGACACCGTGCCACAGACGGAGAGTTTGCACTTCAGTGTCTGGATCTTGGGATTTCCAAAACTCTCCCTGACCCTTCTTTCAGCGGGCTGGAGACGTTCAGCCTGCACACCCCACCAGCACCACCAGGACACCCACACTTACTTCCACTTCCTGGCAGAAGGTAGCATTGGGGCCATACTGCAGCTGGCATTGGTGGTGAACGTCATAGATCACTCCAGGGGCAATGACCTTGGACTTCAAGCCTTTCCTTTGGGGCATATCATCGAGACAGAACCCCCAGCCTCGGCTGAAAAGAAGTTCATAGAAATGAGAAGATACTTATGATTTCCTTTATCTTTAGTCTTAAGTTCAACAGAAGCTTCTGCCCCTCCAGTTTACTCTTTGTCTTTAAGACAAGCTTATTTCCACAAGACAGAACCCCTCCCGGCCCCTGGTAGGAGCCGTGTAAAAGCAAACCCAAACCACAGCCCATTCCATTGGTCCCGTTGTGCTCTAGAAAATACAAGCAATGGTAAAACTAGAGAATCATCACCTGATCCCCAGTGGGGTTTGGGGGACCATTTCTCACAAATCTTGGTTGTTCCTGCCAGTCCGCACACCCAGCTCCTAAAGAGCCACGGTGACACTGGAGTGATCAGGGGGGCGAGTGTTCCCCTGGCTGTGGCCGGAGGGCAGAGCCCACCTAGATGTCAGGGCCAGGACGCAGACGTGAAATCCACCCCTCAGACGCTATGGCCTGGGAGAGGACCGGAGACCTTTCCAGGCCTCAAGTGACACTCAAGGTGACTTCCCATGTGGGGCTGCTCAGAGCCGCGCCGTCACTCACTCCAGGAAGCGGGTGATGTACTCCTTGCTGCACTTGGACCAGGTCAGCGGGGTGGGGTTGTACTGGAGCTGGCGGGACATGATGTAGGGGTGCCGGCCTACAGACTCGCAGTCGTTCTCTTTCCCGTCATGCTGGATGCCGAAGCTGCGGAAGGCACAAGGCCAAGGCTGTCAAGGAGGCAGGCATGCAACAGGAGGAAGCCAGCTCCCCAAGGCGAATGCCGCTGAGAGCTACTCCCCTACAGAGGCCTTCTGCTTACAAAAGGGCCTTTGCAGTGGGAGGGGGTAGCTCATTTTCACTGGGAAAGCACAAGGACCATCCTAGGCAAGCATTGTTTCTTCTGGGCACCCGGGGGAGCCATGTGACCAATTCAGAAATGTCTGCTTGGTAGAAAGTGAAGAGCGACCGGTTGGCTTTCTGTAAGTCTTTTTTTTTTTTTTTTAATATATATTTTATTGATTTTCCATAGAGAGGAAGGAAGAGAGATAGAGAGCTAGAAACCTCGATGAGAGAGAAACATCAACCAGCTGCCTCCTGCACACCCCCCTACTGGGGATGTGCCCGCAACCGATATACATGCTCTTGACCGGAATCGAACCTGGGACCTTTCAGTCTGCAGGCCGACGCTCTATCCACTGAGCCAAACTGGTTTCGGCAATTTCTGTGAGTCTTGAGTCCGAAGGGCAATGCTGCCTCAAGCTGCCTTCCTTCTCCCGCTGCGTGAGCACAGCACAAAGGATCACTGCCCTTCTCCCTTCTCATCCTCATCTATGGGAGGCCTGGAAGGGGAAGCGCTGGGACACCTGGACAAGGGACATAGCTTCGGAAGGCAGCTTCTTTGGGAAAGACAATGCTGCTGGCGGGGGCAGGGGGACAGCAGGAAAGGGAAAGACCAAATATGACATGGGTGGACTCCATAAATGAAGCCACCGGCAGGAGTGGATGGGAGCTGGGCCAGGCTGCCGAGGGGGCACTGCGGCTATCACTCACCATAGGGCTGCCACGAGCTAAGCTGACTCAAACAGCATGTAACACAAGACGCTGGACTATATCACATTGATCTCGGGTTCAGTAAGCATCAAAGACATCACAGTACCCACCAAACTGCCTGATTCAACCTACTCATCTCACAGAGAAGGAAACAGGGGCAGAAGCGAGGGCAATTCTCTGAGGTCATCACAGCTGTGGGTGGAAAAGCCAGAAGAGACACTCTCTTTTCCCAAGTCCAAAGCCAATCCTCTACAGGTGAAAGCAGTTTGCACAGTTCCAATATCTCATGAAAAACATGATGAGAAAGCCCAGGCCAGAGAGGCCAGGCCTGGCGTAATCCAGTCTCCAGGGTTCTTCCCAACCCCACCTTTCCCGGAAGTCCCTCTGAGCATACCCCAGCCTTCTGGCCCTTGCGTGGGGAGGGACTCCAGGCTGGCAGCTCCCTGGGGGCAGGGAGCACAGCAGAGTATTCACATGCTCCCCTCTCCGAGTTGTTATCTAGTGCGATGTGCTCTTATCTGTGGTTTCTAAATGGCCCAACAAAGTGTGTTACAAATACGCTAAGATCTCTCCTCCATGGGGGCTTCCTGGACCCTCCTTTTTCCTTTACACAAACATTCTGAAACCTGCCTTCAAGGAATTCATCTCATCAACCTTACACATTTTTGTGACAACTTGGAACTCGGTTCACTAGTGTTTGTCTGGTGGCTTTCCAAGTTTATAGCAGCTTTCAATTTCTTGTCTATTCAATGGTCTCCTTTCCACATGGAAGTGAAGTGAGACTCACAATGTTACCCACATCAGAAGGTCATTGCGATGGTTCAATGGCATAACGCCAAGTGTCAGGCATGAAGGAAAGGCACAAACTGTTACGGTTTGTGACTTTTTAAGGCTATCACACAATTAATATTTCATAAGAATTAAATAGGAATTGTTCCTCCTGAATTAGACAATGAGTTCAAGCTTATCCCCTTGCTTCTGCTCACCTCCTTTTAGCTCAGGGAGCTGCGGTGTGAGGCAGATGGCAGGAGCTCAGGGCAGAGGAGGCACGGGAGTCCTGAAGTGTGTGATCCTGTCTCACAGGACAGGTGAGAAAGCAGAGGCGGAGAAGGGTGAGTTTCAAGCCACAGTGCCATCCCGCTGCCTTTGCCCCATGCAAGGTGCTTTCCGTGCCTTCTACCTGGCGTTGCCGCAGGGGCCTGGCAAAGCATCGCCGTTTCCTTGGCCTTTACCTGTGTCCGAGCTCATGGGCGATGGTGAACGCCAGCGGCAGGCCCGAGTCTTCGTTGATGTTACAGCTCAGGTGAGGCTGGCACATGCCCGACAGGTGAGACAGGCCCAGCGTCTCACAGGGGCGGTTGAGGCCGCCACAGATGTCTTTTCTGGAAGCAGAGGACAGAGGGCATGAAACACCTCCCACACGGCCTGGGCGAAGCTGCGTGCTAACCACACTCAGTGAGGTCTGTGAAGCTTCATCCAAGTAAGCTTTAAAGGTCCATGTGAGCACCAGGAGTCATTTGGAATTCATTCAGATTATTCTGGTTTCACCTCTTGATTAATGAATCTCCCTAACATCTAAGGAATGAGAGAGTTTATAGCAGATGTTTTATTTTGAGTTGCTTTTGCTCTTGATCTCAGGAAGCTAAATTATTTTATTTGTTCAAAAAAAAAAAAAGAAGAAGAAGAAGAATCTGGGTGAAAATTGAAATTCATTTAGAATTGTAAATAAGGAAGGGACAACAGCAGTCACTGAGTTCTTTCAAATGTAAAATAGTTTTGTTTTTTCTGAGATCTGGGTTCAAAACTCATATGAGGACTTTTTCTCACTCATGAAAAAGGCAACTTCTCTGATAAACCCATCCAGAGATCAAACCAGTTTTCTTTCTAGCTTCCCTACCCTATCACTATTGATATGGGAGGGGATGAACAATCAAAGTCAGAGAGAGAGAGAGAAAGAGAGAGAGAGAGAGAGAGAGAGAGAGAGAGAGAGAGAGAGAGAGAGAGAGAGAGAGAGAGAGAGAGGCATTATTCCTCTTTTCACCAGTAATTCATCCGCCTCATTATTTCCCTGCCCTGGAAGAGGAAAGGAAAGACTCCGGGATCTCCACAAAGCTAGTTAATGCTCTTAAGTAGAAAAACGTGCACCCACATCCTGCTGGGACTGTTTCATCCCTGACAAGCGTCTGAAAGAGTCCTTCATTGGCCACTTGGTTTTCTTCGGTCAAGAAGAGCTCTTTGCCAAGAGTGACTGGCGCAAATGCCAACGAAGTGTGAGCTTTCGTCAGCTCCAGACCTTCAGTGCCTAGGTTTTGTGCGGACGCCATTTTTGGCCACGCATGGCCTGTTGTGTGTGTCCACTGTTTGTGGGCCACAGAAAAGATAATGCCGGAAGCTTGATCCATTAAGTAATTGTTCATTGAGTGCTTACTACGGGCTAAAGAGGACAAAGGGGGTAAAAAAGAATTGCAGGAATATGGCTTTTGTAGGTAACCAGCCTAAGCTCCCCAAAAGAACATTAGCTCGACCTCCCCCGGGCACGGGGTTATCAAAGAGAAAACATGCCTGAACATTCAGCCACCTGCCCCATTTCATGGAGTGTGTTCAAGCCAAAACCCATCCTACTGACTGTGACCGTACAGATAACGCGGCTAACATGGACCTCAGCATAGTCTTCCAGAGGCCAGCTCTGTCTTATCCCTCCCCCCCTTCCTCATCCTACCTGTTTATTCAGACCAGCGGCTCTCAGCAGGGGTGTTATGCTCCCCTCCCCCTCCTCGGGCACATTGGGTAATGTCGGGAGACGGTTTTGGTTGCCACAACTTGGAGGAAGGTTATTGGTATCTCACGGATGGAGGCCAGAGATGCTGTTGAACACACTACCGTGCACAGGACACCTCCTCACAACAAAGACTGATGCAACCCAGAATGTCAGTGGGGCTGGGGTTGAGAAATCCCGCTTTAGAAACTGGAATACTCTCCACTGCATAGCAGCTAATGAGGTTCATCATAAGCCCCTGTTCTAAGAAAGAATGATCCAAGGAGAGCAAACCCTTGATATGCACAGTAAGAGTATAGCCAGAGCCGTCTATCTGGATTTAAGTCCCAGCTTTACCTGGTAATGGCAATGAGATTTTGGGCAAAGGGTACAACCAAGCCTCAGTTTCCCCACCTGTAAAATAGGAGTGATTGATGGCAGTCAACCACCAGTGTTCTGTGGGGACTGAATGGCATGGTGACTGTCCTAACAGATGTGGCACAGAGCGTGGCTCATGTAAAACACTCCGCAGTGCCAGCTCCCTGTGAGGGTGAGAGAACTCCTGCTTCAGAGAAGAAAAGAGACCGAGCTGAGACACAGCTGCCAGGTGGTCAGTGCTGGTCCTGGAACCCAGGGTTCTTCCCTGGAGACAGGTCCTGCCTGGATTGGTCTTTTCCGGGCTTTCTGCCCAGTCCCCCAGGTTCCCTGGCTGCCTGCTGCCCCCCCCCCCCCCCCCAGCCTCCAGGCTTACATCCCACACCCTCATTAACCTGTTTCCCAGGGGAGCTGTTGATCAATAGGAGGTGTCATAATCCCAATGAAACTAATGTGATAGGCTGATGCCACAGATTTCTTATGGAACATCTTGGCAATTTTTTTTTTATCAATAAAATATATTTTTAAAATAAATAAATAAATAAATAAAGAGAAAATATAACCGCTGGGCTAGGAAAGGGGCCAGCATTTTGCCAGCGGACACAGCTTATTAACACAGGGACTTGCTATCTGTCCCCCCACTCATATGGGAGTCAGGAGTTGTTTAGATCGTAGAAGCTACCTTTAGAAATGACCAAGAACAGCAAAGAGTAGGAGAATCTCATGAGTCTGAATATCTGGCACCCCTTCCACCTGCCGCCCGCCCTGCCTGCAGCCCCTGGCCTCCCTGTGTCTCTGCGGTACCTGGTGAGAAGGACGGCCACATCGTGGTGGGCAGGGTTGAGGTCACTCTTGGGATTGATACTCTTCTGCCACTTACAGAAGCTGGTCAGGGTCTTCTCGGCATGGTGCACTATCTTCAGGCCTTGCTGGAGGAGGAAGAGGAAAAGATTGGCACGGGTGAGGTCACCGTGGCGGGGCCCATCAGGTCAGTCTCCAGAAGAAGCCGAGTGGGATGAGCACGGGGTGAGTGCCTCAGTGATCTGGCAGAATTTGGCAGCGGCCAAGTTCCTTCTCTGAGCGAACCCTCTGCTTAAACACTACGACTCGCCTGACTTCCACTAAAAGAACCGGGGGAGGGGAGAACTTAAGACAGAAGCGATCACTCGGACAAGAAACCCTTAAAGGGAAACCAAGAATATGTTAGCAAAGACCCGCGGCTGTTTGAAGTTCTATTTCACTGGCTCTCTGCTTCCAAAGTCAAATGCAAAATGAACAGACTTGCAACAAAAAGTTCTTCCTTTCATGAGGCATCCGAGAAGGCCGGGGTTGCACTGGGTGGCTCCCTGCCAGTCCAACCTTGGTGGTTTGACATCTGTGGGTGAAGGGCCACGATTGGGGCCACTGGCTGTCGGGCAGCCACTGGGATGCTGTAGAAGGTGCCCCAGGCTGCAGCTGGCAGGGCTCCCAAGGCATCTTGAGGCCCACAGTTGCTAATGGGGATGGGAGGAGAGTGTTTGTTCCAGACTAACTGGGTGAACACTTGTCAGATGAGGGAGAAGGAAAATGGGCTTTCAGCTCCAAGGGCACTCCAGTTCCACTGGAGTTTCTGCAGGAGAAATTCCTTTCCCGTTTGGAGGTAAGGGAGGGTTCTACCTGGAGAAGGACTATGCCCAGGGCCCACTGGAAGCTCAGGCTCTTACTCTGGGCTCAGCCCCAGGACACCACACACCCTCTTCATCAGCTATGAACCTGCTCCTCACCATCAGTGTTTTGGTAAGGCCACACCCAAATCAAAGGAGGCCTGAGAGGCTCCAATGCCTATTAGAGACTCTCCCAGTCCCCCCCTCCCCCCCAGAAAGGAAGGGAGAGGAAGAAAAAAGAAGGAAATAAGAGGGAGGGAAAGAGGGAAGGAGGGATTAAAAAAACCGGAAGGAAGCATTTCTTTACCATTATGTGACAGAGAATTTTACACCTATTCTTTCATTTAATTGCATCCTCTCAGCATTATTTGTAAAGAGAGCCTGGTTATGTTCATCACTGAAGAACTAGCTGAGGTCACTCGGGTCAGATACTGACAAAGGCAGCGAGAACCAGGGCTCCTAGAGGAACCTGCGGTTCTAACGGGACCGGCCGCCCCACAATGTCCTTTGAAACATGGGCTGGGCTCACCGCCTCGGGACACCTTACACCAAATCACGTGTATCCGTCTCAGGAAAACTGAATGCTGATGCACACAATACACACAATTTAGACGGCTCTCGAGGAAGTCATGCTGACTGGGAAAAAAAATCTCATCTCAAGAGGCGCATGCTGGATGATTCCATTTTCCAGCACTCTTGCAATGACAAGGTCACAGAGCTGGGAAAGAGATGAGTGCTGTCCCAGGGCCAGTCGGGAGGCAGAAGGGAGGTATAAAGGGTAGTATCCCCTCCTCCTCATTCCTGAGCCAAATTCAGCGTCAGCAGGGGCACAGCCTCAGCACGAGGAGAGTCCTTTTCCAGATGTTGCTGCATAAACTCTGCTTCTAGTTTTCCCGGCATTAGGGAGAGCCCATTTCCCTGAAGGACCATAGGATCTAGGCCTCCAATCCGCTTGTTTAAATGATGAGAAAATCCGGGCCAGAGAGGGGTGGGACCTTAACCAAGTCTACAGCAGGCTTTGGCAGAGTAGGTCCCAGAGCAGCCACTTCTAGGACTAGTGGTTCCCAAGCGACTGAAGGCTTCTTCCCATGTGCTTGCTCTGAGTAACTGGAAAGCTTTAGCAGTTCGCCAGTAGAGGCTGAGGATTACCGCTTAGTTCACCTCTCACTTCCACAAGTAGACCCTCTACTCTCTGTCTGTCCGCCTCCTACTCACTGTTCACTTCTCAGTCCCCTCCATGTGCTCTTCTTCTGCCACTCTGTGGGCTCATTGTCTAATTCATTCTCAGTCACAGTCCTATTTTGGGAAATCACCTATAAGCTATTGACTCTCAAACCCATACCTCAGTCCAAATCTCTCTGACAGGTCACGTTCATGTATCCAAACCTCTTGATGGGTATGTCCTTCTGGATGGCACATAGGTACCCCCATCTCAGCATCCCGGATATTCCTCCCCTGCATGCTGACCTGCTGTTCTCCCCGTATCCTCGGGCTTAGTTACAGGGACCACCATCAACCCAGTGTCCCAATCTAAACATGCCAGTGTCCACCTACTGGCCTCCTCTCCCTCATGTCCTGCATCCCAGTGTGTCCTCCTGGGCTGCTCATTCTACCTCCTCTTCATCTTTACCCCCAGCCACCTTAGCTCAGACCCTCACCATTGTGTGCTTGGATTTATGCTTGCAGCATCTCTTAAGTGCTCTTCTTGTTTCCTTGTTCTCTCTCATCCCATCCTCCTTGCTGTTGCCAGGTCAACCTAGTCAAAACCAAAATCTGCCCAAAACAGACCCAGGATGCAAGACCCTGCGAAGTCTAGCCTCTAGGAAGCTCTCCCTTCTTTGGCCGCCTCACAGTTTAAGCTCCAGCAACCTCCAAACTGCTTCTATGACCACTACCCAAAAGCCACATTCCCAGACCCCGTGCTATTTTTTACCTTGCTCTCTTCAAGCTGTTCCCTCTACCCAGAATATCTTTCTCTCCTCTCTTTCCCCTCTTTAACCTACGAAATATCTATGATTTCTCCCCGCTGCTTTTGTTTGTTCTTCCTACAAGTGAAGTGACGGCACACGGAGCTGAGCTGCTGACCACTGCTGCTGTGCGCTGCCCCTGTGAAGAGCTTTCCTCTACAAGATGGGACATTCAACACAAGTTCAGTGGCATGGTCTTAAGGAAACCTTACTGCTTTTCTGCTCAATGTCACGACTCTTCCAGCAGATTTTAATAGTGCACACATTTTTTCCAGTCCCCTCAGCTCTAAATCTCCAAATCTCCTAAAAGATTAAATCCAAAGAGCATTTACTCATTTAGTTTTTTGAATGCAGTTGATCACAGGTGCCTTGGGGAGAGTCATTCGCTGTGCCTCGCTGCAAGGCAGCCCTAAGCCTGCACGAGATGTGAATGCACGGCAGAGATATTGCGCGGGCTCACAGCGAGCCTGGGGAGACTTGTGCTGACCAGTTTCTGTGAAGCAGTTCCTAATGATTTGAGCTTGCCTAAACAAACCCCCATCCGCACGAATTTCCCCCATTTCCTTTGTAAACAAAAATGGATTTTTCCTTTTTGTTCTTGCATCAGTTTTTTCTCACCTCATTTTCTCAAGTGAGTCCAATTCACTTCCCGCGCCCCTTTCCTATGCTTTGGAGGAGGTGACCTCACCGAGCAGGGAGGTGATCCCGAGGAAACCAACAACAGCTCACAGAAGCAGGCCCAAATGCGAAATGGAAAATGATTTTGCCAAGTACGTGGCTTTTATTATAAGTTGGTCTGTCCCTTTTAAGCTCTTTATAATGGAAAAAAAAAAATCTTGTCTTGATTTCTTTGAGAAGTCCTGCTGGTAGCAGCTTTTGATTCAGCACACAATTTAGCCAGGCGTGGGTTCCCGGAAGAAAGAGAATGGCAGAGAAGAGAAAAGCAGTAAAAAGTTTAATCTGAAAACTTCCCAGGTGCTTAAGGAGTAACTCATCAAACTATCAGAGGAAAAGGTATTGGTCTTTCATTTAAAAAGGGAACGAGTCTTCGCATTCTTTGTTCATATTGTTAACGTTTATCCTGAAACAGCAGAGCTGCAGAGGTTATTACAGAACCACACATCACCCCGGGGACAGGAAATTGTCAGCCTGGATTCCCAAAGCAGGGGGTTTTCAGCTCCAGAGTCTCACAAAGGCGAGCCCCAGACGAAACCACTGAGACCAAGAGGGACAGTCCCCGTGAGGACATTCACTTCCTGCCTGCTGTCAACCTTCTGCTGCTTCGTACGCCAGCTGGACACCTGATGGCACAGTGATGTGGGCCCTCCCGGCTTTATCCCAGCTCCCTCCTCCCCTCCCAGTACTGTTTCTATCCTGGGCTTTAAAGAAGTCTCCAGCCTCTTAGGACCCTGATCTGACCCTTTAGGCCTGTGGCACAGTGTTCTCCTCTGGGAGATGAGCTAATAATAGTAAAGAGTTTATGGAGTTGTTGTGGGACCTAAATGATGGCAATGATAATTATAAGAATCATAAAAATGATACTAATAAGTAACACGTATTGACTGGGTTCTAAAGCCCAGCCAATGCTATTACGTGGGGTAACACGTTTGATTCTCCCAGCAATTCCAGGCAGTAGAGGTTATCATCCCCATTTTATAAAAGAAAGCTATGGAGGCACAGACAAGCCAAGTGCCGCCCACCTATCCAGAGTTCAGGGAGGGGGAGGGTGGGAAGCAAGCAAAGACCAAAAAGGCCATGACCGTCTCTGCAGGACGTGGTGAGAAAGCGGACATCACCGGATCCCCACCTTCTGGTATCCCCTCTCTTGTCCGTTAAGTGTTTTACTGCAGAAAGGAAGCAGGGAGTACGAAGGTACAGGTCAGAGGAGAAGAGGGAAACTACCCCTTACCTCTTCCTCTTCAAGTAGAACCAGCCGCACTACAACAATGTGAATGGCATTGCCGATGCTGGGGTTATGGAACAGCCCGGTGACCTAGATCAGAAATGGAAACCCATTAGCCCATGTGAATGGATAACAGACAAATGCCAGGGGGCAGGGGGGAGGACATCTTATGGGTTAACAAGTTTTGTTGGAGGAAAGAAGGAGGAAGGCCTCCAGCCCAAACCGCATTGTGATATTTAAAGACAACATTTCCAAGGTCATAGATCGGCTGTGTGCTTAGGGATTGGTGCGTTTCTTCTCTTTGCCCCTGTTCCTGACCCAGGGTCTTCCTCTCTCACTATCAGTGACCCAGGCAAATGTCATTCCCCATTCAATAGAACTTACTCTCTGGGAAGCTAGAAAACATCAATCGTGCAAAGGGTAAGCTGGAAATCCAGGATCATTAACTCTATTCTAATTCTAGCTCTAACCACCTTGAGGAAATCACATTCTAGTTCTTTGTGCCTCAGTTTACTCATTTGTGCACTGATGGAAATCACTAAGATAAAGTCCTACTGAAAGGACTGAGTCACTTGATAAATACTTAGTAGAAAGTGTAACTGGTAAATTACAAATTTTTCTAGGACACACATTTTTAAGAGAAAGACTAATATGTCCTGAATTTCCATCCTTCATCACTTCAGCAGGGAATGGATTCATCCATCTATGTTCAAAGCACAACCAAAACAGGAAGGTCTCTCTCATTTTTGGTTAGTGTGGAGCATTTCTAATGCCAGGTTCCCCTTGAAGTCTGACGTACCATGTTCATGATGGTGAGGATGTAGGACTCCACGTTCTCGCTCCCGTGATACTCAACCATCTTGGTGTCGGCCACCACCAGCGTCTCCACCCACCTCTCCCTGCTGATGGAGCGCCGGGAGATGCGTCTGCGGGGCCAGGCGTTCCTCTCCCACTCCTCTCGCCGCTGCTCCAGCGTCTGGGAGGTGCCAGGGCTGTCTACACATTGAGCAGAAGGCAGTCAGTTCAGTCTGTCTCTCTCTCCAATATTACCCACTTCCACTTGTGAAGATGCAAGGCCATAAATTTAATTTGTGGTTAATGGTGTATGAATGCACGTTTTTATATATACATGGCTGCAATGGAAGAAGGGACCAATTTTAAATGAATATGACCAAGATAACCTCATTTCTCCTTCCTAGTCTCCAGCGATGGCCACCCAGCCTCAGTTCGAAGGCCTCCGTGGCAGGGCACTCACCTCTGCCCAGGCATCTGGTTCTGTCAGTCAGTCCCCTCCTGTGCTGAGCGGAAACCCCACTGCTGTCCTTCCCCTCATTACCTGCCTGCTCTTAGAAGCAGTCTGAATCCTGGCCCTCCTGCAGGGGCTGCAAGCATGTCCTGCCCTCTCCCTCTGCTCTCTGTGAGTCGGATAGCTGATTACACTGATTTGCTATACACCTCTTCCCAGTTCCTCAATTTTGCTGTCTATGTGAAATAGAGCACAATGACTAATAGTTACAAAAAAATGAGACATAATTGCAGGTCTGAGTCTATTCAAATGCTCTTATTGTGAATTTTACTTGAAAATAACAAAATTCAAATGCTATTATTTGAATTTTACATCAAAGTGCTTTGATGTAAGGCTTTTGGAAAATAATCTCGGGCTGTGGAAGCTTCGGAGGGAAGTCCTGTGAAGGCTCAGAGAGGGGGAGATGGTTAACTTTATCCGCGGTAGAACAACTTTCTACTTCCCTCCTCACGTACCTGCATGGGTAAGTATGACTCCCCTAAGAAAACCCCAGAAATGGTATTGATGGCTTCTAATTCTGCACCCCTTCTTATGCCCCTGTCTGTCACCTTCTCCTCCCTTCTGGAAGCTCACGGGAAAGTTATCAAACTACAATCTGTTTCCAATTCTATGCAAACCAGGGAGCAAGCCATGCTGGAGCCCATGTGGGGCCATGTTTCGGGTCCTCACACAGGATGGTCCCTCTCACACAGGATGGTCCCCTCACACAGGACGGTCCCCTCACACAGGATGGTCCCCTCACACAGGACGGTCCCCTCACACAGGATGGACCCCCTCACACAGGACGGTCCCCCTCACACAGAATGGTCCCCTCACACATGACGGTCCCCTCACACAGGACGGTCCCCCTCACACAGGACGGTCCCCTCACACAGGAGGGTCCTCCTCACACAGGACGGTCCCCTCACACAGGACGGTCCCTTCACACAGACACACAGGACGGTCCCCCTCACACAGGACGGTCCCCTCACACAGGACGGTCCCTTCACACAGGACGGTCCCCTCACACAGGACGGTCCCCCTCACACAGGATGGTCCCCCTCACACAGGACGGTCCCCTCACACAGGACGGTCCCCTCACACAGGACGGTCCCCTCACACAGGACGGTCCTCTCACACAGGACGGTCCCCCTCACACAGGATGGGCCCCCTCACACAGGACGGCCCCCTCACACAGGACGGTCCCCTCACACAGGACGGTCCCCCTCACACAGGACGGTCCTCTCACACAGGACGGTCCTCTCACACAGGACGGTCCCCTCACACAGGACGGTCCCCTCACACAGGACGGTCCCCTCACACAGGACGGTCCCCCTCACACAGGACGGTCCCCTCACACAGGACGGTCCCCTCACATAGGATGGGCCCCCTCACATAGGATGGGCCCCCTCACACAGGACGGCCCCCTCACACAGGACGGTCCCCCTCACACAGGATGGGCCCCTCACACAGGATGGGTCTGAGTGAGGAGCAGACACTGGGGAAGGACCAGGTGAGTCTCGTGCAGCCTCTGAGCGCCTTGTCTCTCCTCCTCACTCAGGGGAGATTTCAAATGCCAGAGGCATCAGCGGCCACAGAGGAGCCATGGTCTGGAATGCCCTCGCAGGAGTGTCTTGGGGCAAGAGCAAGTCGTTCACAGGAGAACTAGAGGCCTCGGTGCAGGGCTGGGCCACAGACCAGGGCATCCGAGGCCACAAACTGAAGGCCAGGGTCTGGTTCTGATGGGAGATCTGAATCCCACACACACTGGGCTCATCCTTTCTCAGCTTTCCTTGCGGGTCCCCTTCATTCATTCAAGGGACATGCCACCCACAGCAGGCTCAATGGGCCATCGCATTAACGTAGACATTTGTTCTTCCCCAACCTCTGCACTTTTCCCAGCATCTTTCCCGCCTCCAACTCCCAAACCCCAAAGTGAGCACGTGTCAAAACTGGGCAAATGTTGCTTCTTAAAGGAAACACTCTTCTGGAGTAAGGTGCTCTCCTGCCTCTAAGGGATAAGAGGTCCTATAAGGAACTAGGCATTCCCATGTCGGATCTGAAACTTATTAGTTCATTGGAGAAAGTGAATTGTGGGCAATTTTTTTCTTTTATCTACTTTATTATAGTTTCTATATTACTCTTATAGACGTTCATTAGAGAAAGTAAAATTGTGGGCAATTTATTTCTTGTTTCTGCTTTATTATGTTTTCTATATTACTTTTATGGCTAGAAAAAGAAACCTTAAAAATATGGTGACGATCCTGACTTTGACAAATTTTATAATTTAATAGCAGCATTTTGCTGGACTTCTCTAATTCTCTCATTGATGTCTATCTTTTTAACCAAGGCACCAAAGGCTATTTTCCCCAATCACGTTAAATGGTCCCTTAGCAACAGCCTAATAATATAATTTCCTACATATGTATTGAGAAGTAGAAGTCTGCCCAATTTGGCCATTTTACCTGGTTCTCCAAAAGGAGAGAAATAAACCTGGGGGGCGGAGGAGGGGAGAGAGGATGCAAAATCCAGGAGGGGGAAAAAAGGAATTATTCCAACTAATAATCCAGCCTTTCTTCTATGAAGGCAAGAGCTTTGAAAATCTGAGCCAGCACTTCCATTAAGAAATTAGACATACGTGAGGTCTGAAGGGAGACGCTGAACTTAGCCAGATGAACACTCTCCCGGGGCAATGGAGAGAACACCGGGGCCCGCAGGAGCACAGGACAATACGAGCGCTTGAAATGTGCTAAATTCAGAACTGAAATGTTCTGTCAACTACACCCTGGACTTCCATAGCCGGTGTGAAAAAAGAAAAGTAACCGATCACAGTAACAATGTACCCCAATTTCATATGGCAATGATAAGATCCGCGGATCTTGGGCTCAGTGAATTATTAAAATCAATCTCACCTGTTTCATTTTTATTTTTCTCTGGGCAAATAGGAAACTGGGACTTGCTTTTGTGGCTCACATTATAGTTTTATTGCACAGAATGTATTTGGAGCTCAAGGCACATCAATCCAGGGTCTCCTATGTACTTGCTGTCCTGTCTGAATCCCGACTCACAGAATTGCTCTGATAAAGCAGGAAATCGGGATGTGGGCTAAGCATCCAGCAAGAGACCTGCCATGTCCTGGAGTCACCGTGTCACTTTGTGGCCTCAACCATATTTTGAGACTAAAACTATCCCTACATCAGTAAGCCCCCCCTCCCCAGTGCCCTTTAGGTCCCTAGAGAGACTCAATCAGAGATCCCTTTCTTGATCTCTAAAGTATGCGTTTTAAGGCATTGGTATTTCAAGAAGTGGCGTTATCGGAGTAAGACTTTTCTAAATAAACTAACAGTTTAGTGAAACAGAAATCCCACGTTGCAAAACATTCCAGCAGAATGAGGCTTGGCAATAACATAAATTAAACGTCTTTCCCTGGGCTTCTCCTGACGGACCCTTGACAGCATGCAGCCCGGTGGTCCCGCCCCCATGACTTCCACCGTGTCCCGGGGTTACGCTCCATCCATCCTGCTGACAAGCCAGCCCTGGGGTAACCTTCCCGCCTCTGCTCCCTCTGGATGGTGAGGCATTTCCTCGGCAGCTCAGTGTGCCTTCGCGTGGCCAGCCTGACATACCGTCCCTGGCAGGTCCGCTTGCTTTCTTGGATTCTACATTGGAGAGTGTAGGTTTTGCTCTCTAATCCTCCATCTAACTCCTTGGTTGTTGGCCCAACAAGGCAGCTTGCTCATCAGACATCGACCACACATCACTCCTCCATGAGATGGCACTTCAGGCCTGCGGGTTTAGAAACGGGCTCTAGGATGTTCTCTTCTCAAAAATGGGACAGTGAACTCAACATATGTAAACTGTGATGTTTAATTAGGCCTCAGGTTTTGTGCAAGTATTTTCTTTCCCCTGTGCTGGTCTCTCTGGGGAAAGATAAAGTGGGGGCGAAGGGTTGATCGTGTAGCCTTTAGAGAGCTCAGAATGGCTGGATAATTCCAAACGGCCTGACCCTACAACACCATTTGCATTTATACCTAGTGATGAAGGGACATCAGTTCTCCGCTGTAATTATGTTACCCTTTGCTTATCAAAATGAGCTTGTGTTTCTGAACCAACACAAACCAAGAGGGTGGGAGGGATCCAGAGAGGCTGAAAAAGGGCTGCAGCCAGAGGCTGGGGTGAGATTCTCATTTCACTGCGAAGACTCCATAAAGTGGACGTTTCCCATGTCCATAAACGAGCGGTGGCTGACTCTCCGTGGTTCCCAGCATAGGGGCATGCAAGTTGAACGGTGCCACCAGAGGAGCTGAACGAATTTAAAGGGAACGAGTGAAACTGTTCTTCCCAGTAGGAGCATGTCCAAGCTCACACAGTAGTTGCAAAAGCAAAATCTCAACCTACCCATCTCCCAATTCCAAGCCCAGAGATCAGCGACTCCTCTGGCACAAGCCCATCTCAGCCCCGTGTGCCTCCTTCCTGAATGAGTGTATTTACCACCAAGAAGAGTGACTTCTGAGGACCGGGGTTGGGGAGAGGAAAGAAGTGTCCATGCTAACATTATCAGGGATATAATCTGGGTGTGGGAAATCAAAGACATGTGCATAAATACAGGCAACAATGAACTCCATCCACATCCATGATGGACCATACAGACCAGTGCTCATTCCTCCCTTTTGAGTTGCCCCTTGACATTCAAAAGGGAATGGCATGGACA